TGAATGGGGAAGGGAATAGTTTGGTCAGCTGTGGAAAGGCAATTAGCACTAGAGTGGGAAGTATTGCAGATGTGGTCCATCTATTTCTCTGTCTTTGTAGGATCTGAAGCCAGCTTTGAAAGTAGCTGTAGGTACAGGAGGGAGAAACAGTTTATCTGACCTTGGCTGATGTTCCCTGCACTGCTTGTGATTCATCCAGTCCTGCAGGCAAGTTGGGAGAAACAGGTGGTGCCTCAGCTGGTGAATTACTGGAGAGAGAAGAAGAGTCTTTTGTTTGGCAGCAGCAGCCAGCCTGATGAGCTGTTGTCACTGTTTCTGGCACAGGTTAACGGGAAGAGGACGGGAAATGTACATGGTGCTTGCCACAGCTGCTATTGCTGCTGGAGTCTTCTCTACTGTTTTTTTTTTTTTTTTTGCTTGTTTTTAATTAATTAATTAATTAACTTATTTATTTTTGTGGCAAAATCAAGCAAAAGTGCTTCAACAAAACCAGCATGGTGTTCTTCTGGGACCAGGAATCTGACACATGTTAATTAACTCGAACTGATGGGGAAAATACCACCTCGATGTTTGTGAACCGAATGAGGCATGATATGAAAATAGGCTAGTCAGCTATAATCATGTGGATTTCTCTTCCCAAGTATGGGTGACAGTGTTCTGCCCAGGATCACTCTGAATATTACAAAAAGAGCAAAATACTGCCCACCATCCAGCATGCTTATAGATACATTAAGCACGTAAAGAGAAAACACGAGTATTTCAGCCTTGTGTTTCTGAATTTATGATGGGAAGCCAATTATCACAGACATGGATAAATTGTAATATATGAACAGTTTCCTTGTTGTGTTTTTCTTTTAGGGTTTCTTCTTTGACAGTATGAAAAATAAAGTTTTATTCAGCTTCAGCGTACAAAACATCGTGCTAGCTTTATTCAGCAGGCTTCAATGTGGTAGCTTGGGTGCTTCAGTTGGGCTGGTTTTCCTAAAGTAAAAATATACAGGAAATGACCTTACTGAAAATATTTGTATATTTTTGCTGTGATAATATAAATTTAAGAATTATAACAATATTAAAAACAGTTTGAGGGAAAAGTGACTTTTTCTTTAATTCTTCCTCCAAGTGGAAAAGAGTATTTCTTCCTAGCCTGACAAAAGAAGAATGATTGCTCTTAGAAAAATAGTTTTATATTTTGTGATCCAGGTGCTCTGACATAATTTTAGGACTTAATTTCTTATCTGTCAGGAAAGCAAAACCTCTTCATGCCCTGGGAATCTTCTGCAAGCAGACTTTTTTGTCTTCCCTGATTCCATTCCAGATGTCAGGGAAGTCATTTGTGCTGTTGGCAGCTTCTTGTGCAAGCTGTAGTGGTGGTGCTTTTCTTTCTTTCTTTCTTTCTTTTTCTTTTTCTTTTTCTTTTTTTTTCTTCAACAACACACAGAGCAGCTATGGAGGAGGAAAAAAAACAAAAACAAAAAACCAAAACACCCTACTCTTATTTTGATAGGACTAGAAGTGAAATCCCCGTAACAGGAACTCATTGTGCGGTCTGTATGCGACACGCTTCTTCACAAAATGGCAGCAGATCAACAGACAGGCAAAAACACATCAGTGGTTGTTTGGTACAATGAAGAAATTCTTTTCTATTCCTTTGAATTTGAGTTTTCAGTCTTTATGTGCTCTAATATGTTATTCTCTCTGCTTGGTGTTGGGCTGAGACCTACACTAATGTTGACGAGTGTTGAAGTGAGCTCAGCGAGCTGCGCAGCATTCTCCAGGAAACGAAGATGAGTCATGATTTACTGACGTGTGCATGATAAATGGAACTGCATTGTTTGAGATGATTTTATTTTATAAGCATAGGGATCATGTATTCCAGTTGCTACAGTTGTTGGGTCAGTCCAGGAGCTATTCAGCTGTGTCCTCCCGATTTGTAATGCTTTGCTCCTTCATGGTGCTCAGTAATGAGTCTGGACGTTGAGCAGCAGCTCCTGAGTTGTGACAGAACGTTAATACTATCTCACAGGAGTTTCTGACTTTTTTTCTTATGTGCTTGATTCTTTAGTGAGTCATAAATTGGGTGAGATCTCCATTTTACTCTGCTTTATTTTATTACCCATGCTTTTTTAGTGGTTGCTAATGTGTTATGTAGGGTATCTTCAACAGCTTCTATAATTTTATTTCTTTTCAATTAGCTTGGCAGCTGTCAACTCCTTAGTAGTTTCTGGGCATCACTGTATATTTTTCTTTTCATGTCTGTTATTTCTATGCCGGGTTCCTCCTTTAAGCTGTGTCTGCAAATGGCCTGCTTTTTATTTGTTTACTGATCTCGAAGAACTGTTCCTGGCTGTCCTCACTTGATGTTCAAATAATGCTGGAGTCTTTTGAATAGTCGTCTCTCTCTCAGACCCACTGTGTGATCATGCAGGTTCAGAGGCAGTTTTCCATAGTCACAGTGGACTGACTACCTTCTACGGACACAGTGGGCTTAAGGTTATTTTATACTGTAACAAAAGCAATTACTTCTCCATCCTCCCACCTGATGAGAGCTGTCTGTGCTCCCTAGCAGAATCACGGAGCAGAGGGTTTAGTGTCAGTGGTGTCTCTGCATTACAGGCAGGGGGTTGGTAAGGGCATTTGGCATCAAGGGGGCATTTGGCATCAATGGGGCAAAGCCAGAGGTCCCAAGGCTTTGCATTACGGGTGATGACGGACGGACGGACGGATGGATGGATGGAGGTCTCCTACTTGATGTACCCTGAATTCTATCTCACCACTCTTCTGGGAAAGGTGCAATAATTCATATAGCTTTGAGATATGTATGGTTTCCTAGTACTTTCATGTAAGTGCTTAGACAGATTCAGTGCTTTGTGGGACATAGTGTTAAAACTTTTTCAAGAAGCAAATGTGCATTGATGGGAACAAGAGCTGGCAAGTCTTTAAGAAAAATTAGCGTCGTGGCTACACTACCCCTGCCATACGAGGACAGCAACATAACATGTTGACTTCTGCCAAGTGGTTGGAAAGGGCTAAAGTCACCCTAGCCCCTGCCTGCCTTAGTGACCTGTGGCTGGGTTCTGCGAGAGCTTGGATTTTCCTGGATGCAGTTTCTGATAACCTCTGCGGATGAGAGGTCTGAGACAGTTCTGCTTGGATGAGTGAGGAATCTGTTTATTGCAGTTGATGTATACTCTTGTTGACCTCATGACTCTCAGCTAGTATCTTGAATCGCTCAAGAATAACTAATGCCCCAGCTCCCAGCTCGTTTTCTGTTTCACCTTCTTCAGCCAGCTGAGTACTCACCTACCTTCAGGGTTACGGGAAATGAACATCTTCTGGGATAACATAAATGCTGATGAGCAGTATGTTTGGTCTATGGGGAAATAATGCAAGCAGAGAGAGATTACAGATAGTAAAAGTAGACATGATTTTTAAAGGTAGTTTTTTTTTTTTTTTTTTTTTTTTTTTTTTTCCCTTTCAATGTGGAAGTATATTTAAAACCGTGCATTGGTTTAGTGAGAGCTTTCAGAAATGAATTTCAAGTCAAAGAGCTTAACAGGCTTTCACTATATGTGGGATTGTTTATGCACGGTACAGGCAATACATGCAACAAATTTGCCATAACCCCTGTAGATATTCATAGCAAAGAAGGATATAAAGGGCTGTTGTCCACCAACAGTTAACAAATGAATTAATGGACTATTTTGCTATCAATAAAACATTAGAAAGAAAGCACAAATAGTCAGGAAAAAGAGGGATTTAATAAAGCTGAAGGTCTACATCATTGTAGAAAGTGATATGAAACATGCAATATACTGGCAATGATCCAAACTTAATTCTGTTTATGTCTTGGATAACTAGATTTGTTTCGTCAGTAATAAAAAAGTTCCCAGTTACATAGTCCTCTTCAGCAGAGAAAGGATCCCTGCTTGGGAATGAAAATATTTAAGTCCCAGAAGAGAGAAAAAAAAAGGCATGCTGTGATGGCTATCCTTCCACACAGGGGTTATTTATTGCCTCTTTTATGGAATTTGCACCACGCCAGAATTTAGATGAGTTCGTGTACAGTGTACAATGCACAGTGACTTGGAGCTAAACAGTTGTGAAATACATGACATTTGTGCTCTTGAGGTGCCAGTTTTTAATGACTGAAGAATATGTGTGCCTGTATGAAGGATTATCAGTGTAAGATTTTAGTCTGCAGTATGCGGATATTTTCAGAATGTGTCTAAGTCTTTGCAATGGAATGAATTCATAAAAATTATTGATAGCCTTTGGACCTTGAATGTGATTTCTTTCTTTTGGGAATGACTTACTGTACATCTTTTCTCGTTTCCAGTTCTTGAATGTGAAACATAACAGAACTTACTCTTTTTTTAAATTTCATTAGTGATATTACTTCTTATTTGATCCCCAAGGGTGATTTTCCTGAGAAGGGGAGAGTGAACACTGTCATTAACCAAAACCAGGTGCAGCTGACTGTGTTGTTTAAACCAATTTACTTTACAATAGATTTGATTATTAATACATCAGAAATCTTACTTGTGGTTGCTATGGTAAAAGTTGCACTTCATAATAGTATCTCCAGACTAATTTTAATTTAGAAATTAGGGGTTCATTTTGGCTTTTCTTGTAGTAAATTTGTAAAGTGCTAGGACTATATTTTGAAAGTGACTCATTTTGCTCTTGCTTGATTGTAATATGAGTGCAGGGTGGAAGCTGTATTTGAGAGAACATTCAGTTTCTCAGCTTCAAGATTTCATTGTTTAACTCTTTCTGTACTCTGTGCAGATAAGCTTTTATATCATGTTAAGATAACAGAGCCCCTAAATGCTTTATAAATATAGTACTTATTTTAGATGCAGAATAATATTCTAACATGACTCTGCATCCAGAACATAAGAAACAAGTTGTTTTGGGAAACAAGTTATAAGCGTAAAATGCCAAAAACTATTCAAGTATTCCTGAATTAACTGTTCCCCTATTTGTCTTGTTTCATGCAGGCTTTCCTTCACCGAATGATCCAATGTGCTACAGCCAAAGTGGATAAAAATGTTACAGAAGAGACAGTTAAGGTTAGTCTGCTAATTGCATATGTGTTTTATTTTGTTTCTGTTGTTTTATTTATCTGTTTTATTCTTTTGCAGATGTTGTTTTCAAATATTGAAGATATTCTTGCAGTTCACAAAAACTTCCTGTCCCTCGTGGAGGAGTGCTTGCAGCCAGAACCGAGTGCGCAGCATGAAGTTGGAACTTGCTTTCTTCATTATGTATGATATCTTCTCTTACAGCCTTATTTCATTTTCACTTTTTTTTTTTTTTTTTTTGCCTTTTCTGATTGTCTTTATTAATTACTGTCATGATGATGACTGTACATAGTCATGAGGACAAAATATGACTTGATTGCGTAATGTAGAGTACTTTGAGGTCATCTGTTGGTTACTGCCATTGCCCAAAAAAAAGGGGGATGGGTGAGAATAAAGAAAGAGCATGTAAGATTGGCAAGCTTTTGCTATTTACTCAGTTTTATATTCAACAAAGTAGCCTGTAATGTCTTTTGTAGCTATGAATTGGGATACTTTTTCACAAAATAGTGACTGCTTTTATTTTAAATGCAACAAAAACTAAACCTGTTGGTGATAGCATTTTCCTTCAAACAAATGTGTAAGTTTGTATCTGCTGTCAGAGGCTTCGCATAAACCCATGTTTAGGACCCTTGCAGCCAGCGAGTCAAAAGTATTTTCCTAAAAATAAGTATAGCCTTAAATGTTTTGGCTGCCAGAAACTTGAACATTTCCTATGACTCCTTCTGAATAGCAAAAGGAATGACAAATGTCTTGCACTTGCTGAGGCCTGCTGGAAGCCACCTGAGAGCTGAGTGGTAGCTAGGGTGCTGCTGGCATGTGGGGCTGTGGGAGAGGAAGGGACCCTGTACTGGGCCACCGGTGTCTGATGGTGGCCCGCAGGAGTGCTGATGAGTCAGCAAATAAGATACTAATTGTTTTCTTCCCTTTTTATTTTTTTTCATCCCATGTTTTGGTGACAGCCCAACCTCTGAAATTTTTCAGAAAATTCTCAAGTGATGCTTCCAGACTGTTCAACTTCATAATTCTAATTAAAAACAGAAATAGAAAGTAGAAGAAAGGCTGGAGCTCAAATAATAAATGTAGGAGGAATAGCTGGCCTTCCAAAATGAAGACTATATTAACTGTTCAGCTTTCAAAACTGTGATTTCCATGTTTGTTTTTTTTTTTTTTTTTTTAATTAAAAAAAAAATCCAAATGGCAACTGAAGAACAATCTATTTCTTTGTTTCTGCAGAAAGAGAAATTTCGTATCTATGATGAATACTGCAGTAACCACGAGAAGGCACAGAAAGTTCTGCTTGACCTTAACAAAATAAGAACAGTACGGACATTTCTTTTGGTAAATAAACTTTGAATTGGTGTTCTAGCTTGGTATTTTTTGACTGGGCAGTGAATGGTTAGCACTGTTGTCTCCACCATGCAACAATAATGAGCACACCTGCTTGTAGTGGGCAGTGGGCGTTTCAGCTGGGGGCGATGTTTTCAGAGGAAGGGTTATGTATATCGAATTTTCACTGCTGCCATTGGACCCCTGCATTATCACAGCATTAGGCACTATGCCTAGATCTTGCTGGCCAAGAAATAAGGGTGTAAATCCAACTGTGTCTGTAGGAAGAAAAAAAGAATAGAATAAGATATATTAGGAGTTTTAGGGAAATAAATTAGAAAAAGGAAGCTGAAAGTTTAGGCAGAGCTGCTGAAGACATGGTACACAGACTGGTACTGTAGTGAAAGCTGTGCCAAACAGAAGAATGTTTTGTTATGGATTGTAGAGTAGCCATCCTGATCTTAGACACTGGCTTAAGACACTGGCTTAAGCAGAGGTCAAAGAAAACAGCTACACAATTAGTCTTCACTTTGCCAGACAATTAAGGAGGAGTTTTAAAATAATGAGTATGACAGTCATTGTTTTTCTGCAGCAAAAAAAAATTCCGTGCAAATACTGAGTTTCCTAATAGTTGACATGATTTGTTAAAAGAAGATTTTAGTATGGAATGATTTTTGTGTTTTCCTTCATGGCATCCTGTGATAACAAGGTCAGCTTTGAAATGCACGGCCTTCTGTGTTGGAACTTACACACTTGAGAAGGTGCCCTCAGATACGATACTGAAGTTCAGAGTGATCAGGTCTGATTATTGCATTTTGGGACTAAGAGTGAACTTAAGCAAATGTCACTATCAACAAAACATCACAAATGTGGTTGAAAATGTCACGTTTTATTTATTTATTAATTTTTAGCATGCAGTAGGCTTTTACTACTGCTGTTGACAGAGTTCTTGGTGAAATTGTCCTAGCGCATCTTACTAAATTTTGGAAGGATACTTTAGTAAAATGTAGCCAAATTGGGGGATATGAAACTCCATTAACTTACAGCCAAATTAATAGCAGTGTGGAAATTTCCTCATTGTGGGGTTGTACTGGGTGACATAAAGCTCCATCTGCTTTTTTTTTTTTTTTTTTACTGTCTCTTGTTCAGCAGTGTTCCATTCATAGTGAAAAACAGCTTCAAAGTTGATCTTTTCTCAGCAGTTGACACAGACTTGAGGATGGGCACATACATGGTTCTTATTTTGGGAGCTTTGGGAGCAGTCTGGCTGGACTTAAGAGGAAGGAGTGAATGGTGACTACAGAGACAAAAAGCAAAATATTCTGGAGATAGATTTCACAGAGCTTTTTTTCTGATAAAGGAACCCAAGTGTGCAGCTGTGGCAGTTCATGATATGTTGGTGTCATGTATTCCCAGGAGCAGGTATAGGGCTTCCATATCAGCTTTGTGTTCCTCATAGATTTGGGATGTGTCTGTAGAATAAGTGGCAGCAGTCTAACTTAGAGAACAGGAGGTTCTCCAGGTTTACTCTTCATTTTGAAAGCAAAATTGAAGCCTTCTAGCCAGACAGAACAGTCAAGATCATTAGAGATGTGGTTATCTATAAATAGCTGGGAGTTGAAAGCAGACTTTTGAGCCTTTAAGTATAAAGTCAAATATTACATGAACATATAGCCCACATTTCCATTATCTTGTTCAAGTTAGTCAGTCGTTTTTTAGTAAAGCTTTTGATTGGCAGATTAAATGAGAACTTTTAGGATAAAGGATCCTTTAGGATAGGACAGAAAGTTATTGACCGGGAACACAGAGCAGACACTTAAAGGTGAGAGTACAGACCCCCACAGCAGCACTGTGTATGGGGCATGTGCTTTGTGTATTTGGCACTGAGCAGAGTGGCCAGGCACTTTTGTAGCCTCTGTTCCATCAACAACGTGTCTGCATCCAGATTTGTGGCCCATGTCAAGATACTATCTGGTTGTGTTAAAATACTTTTGTTTATTGTTCTTGGTTTAGATATCTTGATCTATGAAGCCTTAGTTTATCTTATGCCATTGCATCACAATTCCTTCTCATCTCTTGATAAAATAATTTCCATCATTACCGTAGGTCTTTATGTACTTACACTTTAATTCCAGCAATTCCAAATATTTGCTGTGATGTCCCTTGCATACTTGGTTATCTCAAATAGCCCTTATTTTCTCTCTCACAGCTGCTTTTTCATGGATGCTTCCACCATTTAATTATATTATAATACATTTAATTTAATGTATTACTTGCTTTGATGGTTGAAAGTCTTGTCTAAACTCACATATTCTTTAGTCCATATTTTATTCATTGCACATCATGTTTAAATATAGAAGCATGTAAGCAGAAGACCTTTATTGTATTCAGATGACCTTGTTGAAACCAAGGTCAAACCATTTTTAACACTACTTTCTATCTTAAACAACATATGTACTGATCACTCTGAGTTCTTTGTTGCTGTTATAGAAGTGTAAAAGCATATTTTTAGCATTTTATTTATTGTCTTTTATTTTCATCACTTAAATAAAAGGCAACCGTTACTTAGATTGGATGAAGAAAGGGTACCTGCATCATTATGCCTGCATAATATCGTTGCAGTTTTTTTGTCATGGATGATAGTCAATGTACCTGTCTGTGCATGTAGATCAAGTCTGTTCTTGCAAACCTCCGTCATCACATAGTTAACACAGATGCATGTAATCCATACACAGGTTAGCCATTTTTGCTGTGTGTGTATGCATTTATCTTTATTTCTGATAATTTTCAATGGCAACTGCTTACGTTATAGAAACTTGGTATCTAATGGAGATTAAAACCAGTAACAGACTCCTCTCTTGAATTCTTGCATAATTCATGATTTGAGAAAGTGTAATTTTCTCAGGGTTTTTAAATCATTTGTTGAACTTTTGCACTCTAGAATTGCATGCTCCTTGGAGGACGTAAGAACACAGATGTGCCGTTGGAGGGGTATCTAGTAACGCCAATACAAAGAATATGCAAGTATCCTCTTCTTTTGAAGGTACTTAAGAGTTTTTTTTATCCAGGATTTCATAATCTCTATGTAAAACTGGTCACTAAGAATATTTCAGAACAGCTGGAACAATCTCCCTATGCAGTGAATAATCTCTGTTAGATACTGGACCCAGACTTGTTCTATTAAAAGTAGTGTCAACTCTTCTGACTTCAGTATCAAAAGGACTGAGGAGTCTGGCTCAATTAAGATTATTAGGTCCCTTCTGCATTTAGTGGTGATGTTGCCTCCTGATTGTTGAGTTGAAGTGAACCATTTAAGTGAGTTTAATGAGACTAGGTTTGGCCATGTCCTTGCTTAAAAGGCTTGGGATAGCAGAGCTTGTTGCCAACATGCTTTGCTGAATCTAATCTGCCATCAGCAAAGTGTAAATAAAAAATATTTATGAAGATGTTTTTAAAGAAACACTTCAGAGTAACAGTAAGATGCTGTATGTGGTTTTATGCATGTTTGCACGTTTATGCTTACCTTACTGTTATGGCTTAAAATAATATAATGTGTTAAATGTACTAAAAAGAATTACATATTCAAATCTCCAAGTTACTGAAATTTTCTAATGTTAGGAAATAATACAATGATCAGGAAAGTAAATATTTAAAATGCATTTATGCGTAACAAATTTGAATTTAATCTTGTTTATTGTTTCAAACAGAGAGAAAAGCAAGAGCACATCCTGCTTTAGAAGCAACTTGAAATATGATTGTTAGACTGTATTTTTCACAATGCATGTGTGAGTTTAGATCTGAAACATTGCCAGTTATGAGGCATCTACATTTCATTGCACTGACATAAAAACATTAAACATGTTAAAATAAAGATTTTTTTAAACAAGTTAAAGGATACAGTTGCAATGAGGTTTGAGTCATCCCAGATACCTGTGGTTTTATAGTTCACTTGGCCAATTATTATTTTTTTTTAATATTCTATTTTTTGAATGGAGGATCTACAGACAAAGCAGGGGAAATTGACTAATGAATTACACTAGGGACACATTGAAATGAAGATATTTATGTACAAAAAAATTCAATACAGGGTGTAGTGTCAACAGGGTTAAAGCTTCTTGCTAAGCCTCCAGAAAGAATGTACCCAAGCCTCCATCAGGATATGCACTGAAGGCTGCATTTAGTCAGTCCAGCTGTAAAAGTGGAGTTGGTAGTTTGAGATGGGAAATCTCCAATGAATACTGGCAACTCTGCTTTTGGTTTTCGGTATTGCTGCCATTACCAATAACCATCCAAAATCAGTGAGTCACCTAAGCTATTGTTCACTTCTCTGGTGTATTGCAGTAGATTAAACAATAGACTGGGGCTAAAGAAACTTTTTTTTGGTCCTAAGTTGCAGGAAAGGCAGGTGTGGATTTTGATGTCAGTAAACTAACATTTTAAAGCAGAGTTGTTATCTTTGTTGTTGAACAATTCCATCCCATGGAATAATAATAATAAAAAAAAAAACAAAAAACACAAATGTGAATATGAAGAAACATTGTCGGGGAAAGAAAAGTAGCAGAAATGCCAACTTTTTCTTACGTAGTGATAATTTTTATTAATAGCAATTTATTTCTCTGACTTTTAATGTCCTACTAGAACACAGCACTAGAGGGTTTATTTTCTTTTCCACATAGTAAAAGAAAAGTCTGTCCATGTTTTGATTTTATATTCTAGTCAATTTAAGCCTCTTGTAATGTTCATTTAGAGATCAAAGACAAGTTGTTTTTTCTTTTAATGTCTACATAGGAGTTACTGAAGCGGACTCCAAGGAAGCACAGTGACTATGCAGCACTTATGGAAGCCCTCCAGGCCATGAAAGCTGTCTGTTCCAACATAAATGAGGCCAAGAGACAAATGGAAAAATTAGAGTTTCTGGAAGAATGGCAGTCTCATGTTGAAGGATGGGAGGTAATGTCACAAGATGTGTTGCTTTTTATGAAGGAGGAAGTAACAATTTTCAACAAGCCTGTATTGCACTGTTTTTGTGATCCCGAGGTACTGTGAAATCCCCTCTTCTGTGAAATTACAGCTTTTATTTAGTATCTGTTCTCTAAATTAAGTGTTGCTCCATGACTGAGCACTGCTGTATAGCAGGCTTCCAGGAAAGATGGCAAATGTTCAGTGTTTTATTTGAAGTCTTGGTCATTTACATCAACATATATGTGTGCACATGTATACATTATATAAATCCCAATCTTAACTGCTGCTCTGACTCTATTGTTGTCAATACCTGCTTAAGAATGTTTATGTTTAATGTTAAGAATGTTTTCTGGTAGAAAAATGTTTTGATTGTTGATCATTCTGTAAGAATCTCTATTTTTTGTCAGTTTGTACGTAGACACTCAGCTTGTAGCTAGTCTACATAGCTGAGCTAAGGTAACATAAATGTGTTAAGCAGACTCTATGTAAGAAGTCTTGTTTTGTTTGGTTTTGCTCATTTTTAAATGGTTAGCAAATATTATGGTTTTAATATTTTATTTTTGCGAAGAGACAGTAAGTCTGCTCCTGAGTTAGACATCTTAATAGTAAAAAGAAGAGGCAACCTTTCCCCTAAATAGCAACATGATCAAGTAGTTGTGCTGCCAAAACCTTTATTTTGTGTTATATTGAGTGCTATGATTATTTTCTACAGAAATATAGATACAGATACAGGTATTTCTTCAAGTTGCTTTGGGTGTTTTGTATCCAAATGTTTGACCTGCACAGATTGAGGTAAACACAAGTGAAGTCCCAGTAAAATAAATGTAAAGCAAACAGTGTTAACATTTTTTTTGGTCATTTTTGAATATTATACACAGGGTTTTTTAACACTAATTTCAACATGGAAGTACTTTGCTTTTCTGAAAACTGTACTCAGATGTTCTACTCCTCTTTCTAGGAGAGCTGCTTAAGAAATAGGGGAAGGCATTTTATCTTAGTAGTACCAAACACCAGTGGAGAGTTTTATCTTGTCTGAATTTGAGTCCTTTTCAAACAATAGAGAGAAACAGGCTATTTGGTGATAAGATCTACCTGATGTACTTTTGAGCTGTACTTAGCTGAGTTTCATCCTGAATGCCCCTGCTTCTCTCCACTGATAATGAGAGAACCTCATTGATTGGCATCTGCATTTGGTCCAGTGAGAAACTCCATCTTCTAATGCCTCTGTATCTCTGTCCAGTCTGATAATTGACCTTCAGTTAATCACCCACACTGGCTACCTGCCAAGCTTTAACAACTTGACTGCTGTCTACAAGATTGGTGACCAGTCTGAAGGCTGGCAAACTATAGTGAGGGGATCACATGCTCTTCATTGTAAAGTGAGGACTAATGCAACCTCCGAAGCTCTCCCCTCCAGTCCTGTGCTAATTCTGATGTGTATAGGCAATGACTCTTTACTTTGCTGAAGGTTTACTGGCTGGAGAAGATAGAAAGAAAAAATTATTGTTATTTTTTTTTGCATGCTAATCTGTTAGTCTGAGATCTGATTTTTGGCTATGTAGTGGAAAATGGCTTCATACAGTGCAGAGAAAAGAAAGGGTTAGCGACACTGGTGGGACCCTGAGTCAGAGGAGACTTTGTGATGGACCTGCCTGAACTTTAACTGACAGAGTACCACAGTAAGTATAACTACAGAAAATAGAATATAGGCAAGAACAGTCAGCTGTTAATTAAGCATTCATAATAATAGAGACATCAGAGAGGAAAAATAGTTTTTACATAGCTCTGTTCCCTCCCTGCTGTTGCTAAGACTGTGGGTTTATGATGCTAAACAGTGTTTTCTCAGTGGCAGTAAACTTTGTACAGGACCTGCTGGTCCCCCCCAGAAACTTCCTCTTCTGTTTCCCTGTACTCTATCCTTGTGCTCTGGGTTCCCAATTCACGTTTTACACGTGCTTACACCTGCAGCTTCTTGAACTTACTCTGTCTAAGGTTGCCCTCTGCTTGTCCAGCAGAGGATTCAGTCTCCCCTTGCCTTCCAGAAGGGTTCAATGAAAAGCCACTATCTGAAAGGAGAATAAAAGTTACTGTAAACAGAGAACTCCCTAAATACTGTCCATGATGCTTTCCTATCTGCTCCATGTGTAATCTGATGATCTGTGGAATAAACCTTTCATTTATTATTAATGGAGTAGTATGGGAAGATCTGATTCATTCTAAATGTGGATTAAATAACTAATTTTACTTTAATCATTTTTTTTTCCGTGCTTCTTCAGTACACTGTAGTATTTGAAATACATTTTATCCATAGTATGAAATACTTACAGTATTTTTCCTTTTCCTGTGTGACAACATTTTCAAGAACTGCTATTCCATTTCTGTAATTGGGGTAGGTACAATTTAGAACAGAGAAATCTGCTTATGCCAGAACTCAGAGCATAATAGTCTTGTTCTAGGACTGTTGATACAATACATTCCATGAAAATTCACTGTGCCTCAAGATGAGGAATCCTAGCAAGTACAAAAACTCTATAATTGCTGGTCTGTATTCAGGCAAACCTTTCTGCCTTTAGTTATAATCCTCAGTCTCAAAATAAGCCATTAAAGACAAATAATAAATGACATAGAGTGTGTAGTCATGCCAGGATATTGTCTGCAGATTTTTTAAAAAGAAAGAACTTGGATAAAATAAAGCTTTAAATGTTATCATTGAGAAGTCTACTTGACCTAACACCTTCCAAAAGAAGCAAATATCTTAACAGCTGCTTGTTTAGACTACGTAAAAATAAGTTTCTTTTTTATAATTACCTTGAACTTGTGGCCATCATCTATATCTCGGAAAGATTAGGGCATGTAAACATTAAAATGCATGTTGTTGCTTGTGCAACACCTTCATGGAAGAAGAAATAACAAGTAAAACCATGATGTTACTAATATTTTAAGGCAAGGGAAACTTGTTAAATAATCCTTATTGCCTATCACAGATTTTATTCCTTCTGTTACTTTCAGATTTTCAATTAAGTCTTCTGCAGTGCTGCAGTGATTAAATTTTTCTACTTGCTTTCAGTGCCTTGAGTTTTATACATATGTCAAATACATCTTAATGAACACACTCAAGTATAAAGTTACAGTATGATTAACTCAGTACATTATTAGTCATGTAACTTGGTTAAGAACTGACTGTTCTCAAAGTTCTAACCCTGAAAAGGGAATCGACTTTCCTGCTTTAAGCTTCCTCTGACTCCTTAAGAAGACATCCACTAGTAAAATATGTATGCTGTTGAAGATATATTAATTGGGGACAAAGGAAGCAATATGGACAGAAACATGCAAGGTGTAGACTTATTCTCTCTCTGCTCTGTATGTGTTCTGTGAACCATAACATAGTAATTTCCTTCCAACATTGATTTTTTTCCCTAGATTTAATTTTAGGATTTCACTTGTGCTTGAACTCTGAAATAGTGCCATTGTCTTAAAATAGTCTGTTTTCAGTAGAGTTATATGGTGTTTATTGTAGCTGAGCTGATCAGGTTTGATGTTATCACATGGCAGACACAGGGTACCCAATCTGGCAAAATTGCCCTGATCTTAATATATGCATCTTTGAAATGGTAAGAATTCCAGAGCATTTGTGAGAGCTAACAATATTTTGAATGAATCCCAACAACAACTACAAAAAATCTCTGAATGCGATGCATGAAAGTGGATTTAATTAAATAAACATCTGGTTTTCTGCATAGCCTAAAAATAAAGAGACAAACTTGTTGGAGATTTCCTTCCAGAAGGAAATGCTTAGCACATTGCTTGGCCCCAACTAGAAGGAGGAAAGGGGGAAAAAGAAAAGACTATTTTTAGAATCTGTTCAAAGCATGACTTGAATTCCTATACATAAGTGTCATAAAATGAAGCTTGCATTTGTTATGATAAAAATACAGATTCATGGAAAAATGGAACATCTGCTTCACGAAAGAAAATTTTGAATATAATGACTTTCTTATTTAATTTCCTAAGTGGTTAAATTTATTGGCCTGAATTCAGAACTTGTGTAGGTGGCTGTCTCAGCTGGAGAATGGCTCAGCAGCTGAAGGAGCCTGTCAGTAAAATTTGCGTGGATGTTTCAGTGAGAGAAGAAAAAATAAAATTATTGCATTTGTTGTAAGCTGAAAACAGAACAACCCAGGTTGAGTCACAGGCCAACTTAATAACTGTAGCATCGAGTATTCCATCTCTTTCTATTCCACCATATCATCAAATGGTATTTTAATACAGATTTCTGTTTTAAACTCCAGAATTTTTAGCCCTTTACCCTGTTTAAGTCTATGTCTCATGAACACATGAAGGTGTTCATGAGTAAGTTAAAAAGTAAGTTAATATCTGCAATTTCTAACCTTTATCACTATTAGAGTGGTGGCCACTGAATCAGTACACTCGGACCTCCATGTTTGACTGAAATTTGCCCAAAATATGTGGAAAAGTAATTTTTCTAACAGCTGAAATGAACAAATAACTGCTTTTGTTTGCATGGTAATGAAGGACATTTTTTTTACTGTCTGAGATGGGTATTTAATGACTTAAGGATGAAGGGGATATTATTTTCTCCCTCCAATGCATTTTAAATGTATTTATTTTGTGATAAGGACTGCTCTAAAGTAAGACATTTGGAGTCTTCAGTGACTCAGTAGGAAAGATGGAGGACAAACGAGTCTAAATTCATGGTAGAAGTCTGCTTTTCAGGTCATTTTTTTTTCAACTGAATCCATATGTTTTGCTGGAACATTTTAGAACAGGTCTGTTTCTACAATAATAGAATTATTGATTATTGCTAATTTTTAAACCAACATATTACAAAAATTCTGGTTTCACTGAAAATACCCCATCAGCTATAATTGCATGTATTTTAAATGTATAGAAACATGAGTTGTAGCCTGGTAGCACTGACTTTTACATTTAGGTTAAGCAACTATATGATCTTCATGTGAAAGAAATGAGTATAAATGCGTGTATTCATGAAAACTTTAAAAAAGTGAATTACATTTCAGATTCAAGTTGCTTACATTTGAGATTTCCTTGGTAGTTTGAGTTTAAGCATTTAATGAAAACTTGTTTGTCTCAGAAGGTTTTGATAATATTTGTTCTAAAATATTGCTTGTAGGTATTGTAGTTCATTTTTAGCTGTGGAGCCAGTAGCCTCTCCTGCTTCTGGGACAAGAGTATCCTCTCGTTTGTTATTGCAGCCTTGAACCTTCCCCATGAGAAAGTCCTCCAGCTGCTGGATTAATGAGTTATCCTAATGCTCTGGGTATAAACTGTAGCTTGGGTGTTTCTGCCGTAAAGCCACGTTCAAAGTGTGGATGTGTCCTTCATTAAAAAGTTCTTACAGTTTTCATTTCTCCTTTGCACTGTATGGGATATGGTGGCCCTTTGTCCTGTCTGCTTTGTCATTCTTTTTTTTTTTTTTTTTTAACCTCTTGGTGATGCAGTAGAGTGCTTACCCCAGGTGTAGGGACAGCAGTACTTCCATATAATACACCCTTTTGTCCCTTTCAGCTCCATGCCTATCCAAACTGTAAGAGCAGAGCAGGCTGACCCTCACAGTGTTAAATACATAAGACATGGTGGGGGGAGCAGAAGAAAAAAATTTTTGGCACTGGCAGTGTTATGTAGGACAGCCAGATGTGACTTCTGATCCTGTTATCTTATTCCCTTGGACTTCAGTAAATACAACAGCAATAACAAAATTCACTGGCCTGCGGCCATACCACCATGGGTTGTGATCTTGTCAGAAGGTATAGGATAAGTGAAGTTAACATTGTTGAGTGTTTGGAAGGGAGGTCTCTGAGGGAAAAAAAGTATCTCTAGAATGTTTTTTTTCATCATCTAGCAGTTTGCATTAGAACAGGAGGAAAATGAAGAACAAAACAATAGCAGAGGGTAGTAATGTGACACAGATAATACTTACTGTGATATTGCAATGCTGAACTTAAATAATGACTTAGGTAAATCTTAGGAATTCAAGTAACCTGAATTACATACATTTAACATATGTATAGAACGTGGTATTTTAAGACATGATTCTGGCATACTAGCAGAACTCGATAGGACTGTTGGGAAAAGGTTATATTTTTCTACAGTGAAAATGATTTTTTTATTTCAATAAGAAGAGATTAAATGATTTCATGAAATGCTTTCTCTGAAAAAATACACCCTTTTGTTGAAAACTGAAACTGCTGAAACAGTTTTGAAGCCTTAAGCTGAAATATTTGGTGTACATAGAAAATTATAATTTTCCAGCTGATGTTTTTTTTTTTTTTTTTAAAAAAAAACACAAGGAAATAAATAAAACCTTTTAAAAATCCAGCCTTTTAAAAGTAAATGCCAACAAATTTTAAAAGCAGCATAACATTGATTACTCTTTTTAATGTACAGAAGCTATGAAATGTAATGGAAAGAAACAACTTGCTTTTCTGTAGTTGTCAGCAAGAATTAAATTCAGTTCTAATTTATGCTTAATTTATATTACAGAATGTGCTAAGGTGTTTCAGTGTTTGGTTTCAAATAAAACTGTAAATTAATATACCAGCTTCTGGTGTTTATTCTGTCTTAGTGGCTAGAGATGACATTCATTTTTGCCTCATTTGATCCTAAATGGAAACAAGAATGGTTAGTTAGCACTGATACTGAAGTTGCTTGATTTAGAGACCCAAATTATGCTCCACTGTTATAGTTGTGCAATCTCTCTTATCATCTCTGTAAACAGCCTGCTTTCCCCTTAGAGCAGAGTCTGAGCTATTGCTCAATATTCAGGACTGTGATGTACAAAGGATGCATGGTAAGATGAAGAGCTGAGAGCGGAACCCAAGATTGCTTCTTGGCTCTTAATTGAATACATTTTTCTTTGGGCTGCTGTGATTAGATCAAGAAGAGGAAGTAACTACAGTGACTGCAAGTAAAAGTCATTCAGAACATGTGTAGATGAAAGGAAAGCCCTGCCTTTTGCAGGTTTTGCAGGTTGAATGTTGACTGTCTGAAATTAGGAAGCTCCTTGAGCCAGGGGTGTATGCATAATTATCAATAGGATTTCATGGCTTGACTCATATAGAACAAGTACAGAAGGTCACTGTCCCACAGGAGCATGGACTTGTATGGCACTCAGCACAGCTAAATGCTGGGTGTTTCATTTGGGTCATAACAACCTCTGCAGTGATACAGGCTTGGGGAAGGGTGGCTGGAAAGTTGCCTCGCAGAAAAGGACCAGGAGCATCAGCGTGCTCATGTGGCCAAGAAGGCCAATGGCATCCTGGCTTCTGTCAGAAATAGTGTGGCCAGCAGGACTTGGGAGGTAATCTTCCTCTGGTGTTCAAGTACTGTGTTCAGCTTTGAGCCCCTCACTGTAAGACAGATACTGGGTTGCTGGAATGTGTTCACAGAAGAACAAAGCTGGTGAAGGGACTAGAAAACAAGACAAGAGGGGTGGCTGATGGAACTGGGGTTGTTCAGTCTGGAGAAAAGGAGGCTGAAGCTCATAGCTTTCTACAACTACCTGAAAGGACATTGCAGTGAGGTAGGTGTTGGTCAGTTTTCCCAGGTGACAAGTGGTAGAACGTGAGGAAATGACCCAAAGTTGCACCAGGAGAGGTTTAAACTGGGTATCAGGAAGAATTTCTTTAAGGAAAGGGTGAAGAAATGGTTCAAACAGTCATTAGAACAGATGCCAACTGCCCTGGGAAGTGGTTGAGTAATCCCTGGGGGTATTTAAGAGATGTCTAGATGTGGTGCTTAGGGACATGGTTTAGTTATGGACTTGGTAATGTAAGGTTGACATTTGGACTTGATGATCTTAAGTCTTAATGGTCTTTTCCAACCTAAATGATTCAATGATTCTATGATTTTCAGAAATAGTGCACCTTGATTTAAAGGCAGGATTCTTTGAGAGGTTCATTCATCTTTGTAAGGCATTGAAATGCTAGGAATTTGTCATAGGAATATTTTTGGGAAAATGTTATTCTTTGTTAAAGTTGCTTCTTTTTGATTAAGTTTGTTGAAAATGCCTGCCTTGTTTTCATAAAAAAAAAAAAAATAATAAAAAAAAATCTGCTTCAAGCAATAATGAGGCATGGGAAATTTCATTCCAAACATATAAAGATTAAAAAAATTCTGATGTCTTCAGAGTATGTTAAGGAGGAGTATGCTAGTCTTACTTGTAGATGCCGCTATTGTTTTTTCCTAAATTTGAAACCTTACTTTTTTTGGTTTGATTCTGTCTAGCTCAATTTAGTATGGAAGTATACATTAAATGACTTTCAAGTTTGAGGTTACCTCAGCTTCCAAATTATTTTTGGCATAGATTATGTGTTTCAAAGCCTCATTTTCAGACTTTTCTTACTAAATATTAAAATCACAAAGGATAAGACTTGTTTTATAAAGTTGGCCTGATTTGTCATGAGAGATCTCGTGCACAGAAGTGACATAATTTGGAAACTTTAATGATGAATCTTAAACGTCCAATAAAGCAACAAACCCTTCTCCTAGTTAATTATGATACCTGGTGAATACAAAGCTTTGTTAAACATTATTAAGTAAACATTAGAAATTATTATTTAGTTAAAATGTAAGAAATTACCATAAGTTTTAGTCTTGGTGTTTTCAGAGAATTGTGAGTTTGTGTAAGAAATTCTGTCCTTTCTTACTACAGAATCCTTCAGTTAACACAAAACAAAAATGATTGATCTCTTTCCCATTAATTTTAGGGGTCCAACATCACTGACACATGCACAGAAATGCTGCGAAGTGGACTACTTCTGAAAATCTCAGCAGGAAATATTCAAGAGCGGATATTTTTTCTGTTTGATAACCTTTTGGTCTACTGCAAAAAAAAGCATAGGTAAATGGTCCATTTATACTTTGAAAAATCATTTGTATTTTTTTCTTACAGTAGAACTAGTTCTCTGTATGCTTTTTCTTAACAACATTTGAACAATACAAAAGTGTTTACTGTAGTTAATTGCAATATAAACCTAAGTATTTTCAGAGGAAACCCTTCATCCAGTAAGAATTGCATTTAATTCAAACATTGGAAAAAAATTGTAGGAATGCAGAAACCAAATGGTGAAATAGAGGGAGAAGGAATCTGTTTCATCAGACTTCCACAACAGGTACTATGTGGTGGTCTCACTCTCTTCTAGGAAGGGTAAACAGACTGAATTTTTAGTTAAACACATTAGGATTGTAGCTTATGCTGTAAAATTAGTCTCTAAAGTTTCAAGTGTTTCAAGTCTTTGTATTTCTAATCAGGGAAAAGAGCCAGAATGCTGCTTCTTGCTGCATTGTAGGGAGTAATTCTGTAGGTCAGCAACAACCTTATGCAGTTAATGTTCATTCAGCGCTCTTACGCTTCTGAGGAATAAGGATTCTGTGTACAGGTGTCCCTTTTTAAACTGCTTGAGTTTCTTTCTTTGATCCAGAAACTGCTTTCAGTAGCCACTGAATACGCACATTGCTAGATCCTTGGTGGATTCCTGGAAACATAATAGACCTTGGAAATGTTCTGTAATACCCCTGCCAAAATAAAATACATTTTATGTAATTTTTAAACATCCTTTTGTTGCACAGTTGTATAACATGTATAAACATGGATCACTAAGCTTTGGTTTCATGGATAAAAAGTTCTCTAGGATTACTGGATTTAACTCACTTTGGAAAGAAAAAATATACTGAACCTTTATATTTGCTGCTATTTTTTTAAAATATATCATTCAGTTTTTGAATAAGAAGCTTATAATATAATGGAGTTACTCAGACAGTAATGATTGAGAGGCAGGTCATTTTCTGAAGATTAGTATCTCTCTGGAGTGAGGGAAGGTCAGAACTCAGATGATCATTAATTCTCAGGAACTGACTTTTGTTTGAAATACAGTATTAATTATCATTATGGGCTGAAATGGACAGAAAATCATCTCTGGTTTATCTTACGTGAGAAAAGCTGCGTAGGACTGGGAGTCTCAAAAGGCCTTGACTGCCTCCAAAATACCAGAAATTCTTAAGTACAATTTTTTGTTAACTTTTATGTGTGGAAGAAAAAATGTGTTCATAGTTCTTCCATGCATAAGTGCCACATATGAGGCTAACATACATGTATGTGTGTGTAGGGCAAGATTTACATCCAAAAGTGTTATTTCATTTTTTCAGTCATGCTAATCTTGTATTGAATTTCTTGATAAATATAAGGAGGCTAAACCAGCTAGGAGGACACGTCCTCCCAGTGCATTATTTTGTCTTTAATTACAGAGTGTGGCATGTAAGTATCAAAGTGTTGGAACAGGACATTTAGAGTGAGGCTTTGCTGATAAACTCTTGTCATCTACCAATTTGAAGCTTAGTCTTGCCAGAGTTGGCATCTTTGCTTTAGCATCAGCAGTGTCCCATTCAGGAATGGGACAATTTGATTAGACATGTATAAATGAATTGTGACCTTGACAGTTTCCTTTAGATGTTACATGTACAAGTAGCAATACAGAAACATAACACAAAGTTGTGGGTGACTTGCTCATCATCTCTTTCTCTTATCAGGCGATTGAAGAACAGCAAAGCATCTACTGATGGCCATCGTTACCTTTTTCGGGGCAGAATAAACACAGAAGTGATGGAAGTAGAGAATGTAGATGATGGAACAGGTGAGCATATTTTAGCTGCTAATTTACTAAAATAGTCTTTCAAAGTGATGAAGTCAAATGAAGCTTCATGGTTTCTTTGAGAATGGAGGCTTCTAGTACTTTGAAATTATAAGATGCTACTTTAAAAGTGCTCTTATCAAAACTCTGCTTCTGAGACACTTCACTGCTTCCATACTTTACTAGCTGGGCAGTCATAGATGACTGTTTTACACTAACATAAACAGAGTAATAAAATAAGGTGACATTTATTGCTGAACTGAAATTGTATATTTAACTTCACTTTACAGCATTACAGCACTGCTAGATAGGTTATCCCTAGGAATGTGATGTATTTGTACAAGCAGATGGGAAAGTTACCTCTGTTGGAATGAAACCTCAAACACTACAAATGCTGAAATTGTAATAAAAGTATTTAAGAAAAAGGAAGTTTTTCAAAATAGCTGTAGGGATATAATCCATATAATTGCTTGAAATTGTCTTGACAAACATGAGAGAAATGAAAACCCAAAATACTTCTATAAATGTTACTTTTTATTTTATAATCTTGAGTTTTCTGAAACTTTTTTTTCCCCTCATTATTATTTCCGCATAATTACTAAAGAAAGCCTGGAATATTTGGGGCTGTTTTATGTAAAACAAAATGAAAAATAGTAAACTTGTAACGGTGTTGCAGATATATGTCTGAAGGAAATTTCAGCAAGTTATCTATTACTTGTCCTGATTTTAAAACAGCATTAGATTTTCCCCATGTGTGGATCCCAAGCATTTATGAATGTAACTTCTATGTAAAAATGAACCAAAATAACAAGTATTGTACAGCTTAAATAAGCTGCTTCAGTTCTTCACAGAAGTTAAATATTTCTTAAAAGTGAGGATTTTTTTCCTAGTAATTTTGTGTTTATTTGTTTTCAAAATAGTTCACTTACTCTACTGTATAGAGAACAGTCTGAATACCATTCTATGTATTGGAAGGCTCTTAGGTCTGTCTTCCATCTCTTCTTTGTAAGTCTTTCAACCTTTTGTCTTGTGCCATGTTTTCTACATTTTTATTATTTTTTTGTGTCTTTTGGTGATTTTTTTCCCCAGTTTGTCTGCCTCTTTTGTATTAAGTGGTGTCCAGAGCTGAAACTTTGCTGGTGCCAAGTAGAACAGAATAATTACAGAATAATTGTTGCTGTACATGGATTGTCTATTAGTAATCCCACAATGGTTTGGCTTCGCTTTTTTTTATTTTTATTTTTAATACTTTATTGACCTAGTGTACCACCAGATCCTTTTGTGCACTACTGCTATCTATCCCATCATATTCTATACTGTATTAGTGTATATGGGTAATTACTAATAATTGTTTTCTTACCTCTACTAAATTTTATTTTACTGAAGACCAACTCTTTCTACAATTTCTTAGGAATTTGGAATTCATACTTTGTTCACTGGAGTTCTTGCAACTCTCCTTGCTTTGGTTCTATAAACAAACCATTTGATTTCTCGATAAAACTACTGGAAAATGGTAAACAAAAGGTATAGCAAGGGTCACACTTGATAGGTTTTCTTTGTTTTATAGAAAAAAATTCACAGTAATTCTTTGACATCTGCTTGGGCTATGTCCTTCACTAGGCCAAATTGTTAGTAGAGGTTTCTGTAAATGGACTATATTGAATTTCATCAGGCCTCACTGACTTGAACATAATTTAGCCTGCTATTTCCATTTTCTAGTTTGTATTCCCATCTAGTTGTTAGTCTTATTTGTGAGAAATATGAAATCTCAGTTAGCATTTTGCTTATGCAAAAAAGACAATTGAGTATTTTGGTCTTTTATATCACCTGTTATTTACTACCATCCATTTATTTTCCTTCAGCTTCCTTGTATGCACATTAAAAATAAAAGATAGTTTTAATGTTTCCGTTACCTTGTGACCTAGGTTTTCTGATTTTGCTGTTATATGCATGTGGTTTTCTCTCAGACTTGACAATAAGTATGTATTTCCACTTTTTGTATGTATTTGAATAAGTATAGTGTAGTATGTGTGTATAAGTATGTATTTTCCACTTTTTTCCATTCATGTTTGATTTCCATATATCTTTTTTGGAAAATAGATTTTTCTTTGCAGTTTTCTATGGCTTTGAAAATTCTTTTTCATAGAAAACCAATCAGCTGTCTCTTTACTTAAAACTCTTGATGTTACTGTGGCCACAGAAACTTACAGCGACCATCTTCCTGATGAATATTCCAAGGACTTTATGGCATTTTCTTTTATCTTTTCCAATTCCACATACTGGCATGCTTTAAGTATTGTCTTTAGCAAATATTGCTTCCATCTTCCAAGTTTTACTTGTATTTCTCAAGTTTGCTGTAACTTTCTTCATTTGGTTGTTCTAGCTTTCCATTCCTTGGTCTTGTTTACTTTGTCTATTTTTATTCCTGCCCATTCATCTTCATCCTCAATGAATATTCAAGTAAAATTTAGCTGAACACAAATTATCTCCTTCTTCACTCTAAACCAGTAGTCTAATTTCCTCCAGCAAAATGAAATTTAGCAACCCTTCCCATTTCCTATAGCCTTGCAAACAATACTGAAAGCCATCTTCCTTCCTTCCCACTTCCTCTTCTGCATCATATCAAATCTTGTCACTTTGATTTTTGCAACATTTCTAAAATCCACACTTTCCAAACTTACAAGACATGAATTCATTTTTTTTTATATTATTATTATTTTGTTTTGCATATTATTCTTACCTCTTCTTTTTCCCCATCTCCAGGTTTCCTGCTTTCTCATTTTCTGTTTGTCCGATATTCTAAAATAATATTTTATTGTAATTATTACTGCTTCTTCTCTGCTTTCTGTGGTTCTTTTTAAAATATGGAAATATTTGAGTCATTTCACTGGTATGTGACAGACTTCTTTGCTTTACTGGTATACCTCCCCTCCCCCCCTTTTCACCTGTTTTCCTTCCTTTTAGCCAAGAGTTCACTCTTCATACTTCTATGCTGATACTTTTTTCACTCATACCATGATGCTCTTTTTTAACCTTCTTCTGTCTTGGTTTCTGTACTGTTCTCATTTGGGGCACCCAGATGTCATTTCTCATCTCTTGTAATCATTCACATTTGAACTGTAACCCAGTAATAGTCTGCTGCATTCTTTTTGCCTTATTTCATTCCCAAGTGTAGCAATCTGTTCTGAGCCTCATTCATGTTAGCTTTGCATGTGCTTTTTTGGTATTTTCCTCTCCTTAATTATCTATCATTTTCCATAATTCTTAATTTAGAGTGCAAGCTCTTAGGGGCATAGTGCTTATATTTTCATAGCTATGCATGACCCTTTGTCATGTATTATTCATGGGGCTTTTGTAAGCATTAATGTTGTTTACTGTAACTTTTGGGATCATCTGCTCTTTAGGTATAAGGAACCTCAGAACTTCAGGGGTCTGGGTAACTGAGTATGTTTGCTGTCAGCATTGATAGATCTAGGAATGTAATCTTTGCAGCTAGTAAATAGAGATAGTAAAAGAGATAGAGGTAGAGATAGGAAAACAGATTCCTGGTGTGGTTTATTGTCATGCTAATGACATGCATACAAAAATTAATAAAGCTTTTTCTAAAAAGAAATATTTATGTGGTGGAGAAGCTTTGATGCTCAAGCTTTGGCTGAGCAGTAAATTGGTGAATTGGTGGAAACGTTTTTTGTTTTTTTTTTTTTTTTTTCCCCAGCATCGTGAAGCACTTTGCTTTTTCAACTGCATTGATTAAAGTGAATTGCATATTAATTACCAGGGCAGACTATTTGTCTATTTGTGTTCTTAAACTAACATGGCTATACAACCACTTGTGATTATTAGAAAGGTGTTAGAAATTAGAAAATTAGAAATTAGAAAGAAATTCTGATGGTATTGTTAGGTATCTATTTTTTTTTCTTTATTCAGTTTTTAAAATTCAATTTTGAGAGAAAAGTATGTTTCTGAAGGCATTAACCAGCCATTAGATGAGCGTTATCTAGTTTATGAAGACAAGCACTTGAGACTTAGGAAATACCAGATTTATTGTATTTTATACTATTTTAATTCTGCTCCCTGTTGTCTTGAAATGAAGCATGAAACAGAAAAAACACAATGTAATAGTAACAACCAGGAACTGCATGAAAAAATGTAAGGTGTTGGAAAGGAACTGAGATTATGCAGCAACTTTGTGCTTGATGTTCCTGAACATTGGTACTCCTAAGAACCCAGAGTCTCTGAAACTTAGAAGTCCTTCAATATGGAATTTTCTTTTCTTTTTTTTTTTCTCTCTCTTTTTTTTTTTTTTTTTTTTTTTTTTTTTTTAAAGTGGAGAAACAAACTCTGTTGCATATGGCTGTAACCAATTGCTTGGTATGCATCCCTCAAAGCTTTGAGTCTTGAATTTTGAACAACATAGTAAAGTTCAAATTGCAAGCTTTAATGCATTATAGAATATCATTAGAAGATGATGTCATCTTTCATCACCTTTTCTTGGGAAGTTAGAAGTTTGATGATTTGTTAAGCATGCTTGTTTAGGCTTTACATGGAACATCTCAAAATCTCATGTTCTTCTTTCAGCTCTAACCATAAAGTCAGGTTTGCAAATCCTTCCCTTAGCCTGACTGGCAGATGTGATCGCCTGTGTTTCCTGTGCAGCTGGCCCATGCACACCTCCTGGCTGCCCAGCCAGACAACACGTGTGCAGATTTTGATCAGATTTTGTCCAGTAGCCAGTCCAAAAGTGGTATGAGTTTATATGGGATGGTAGCAGAATGCTGGAATGCTGAGCAGAAGATGACTGTGCCAGCAGTATCAGGGAGGACGTACTGCTTGAGGCATTGTAATCTTGGGGAACACAGTGAGCAGAAGAGAAAGCAGGGGTGTTGTAGTTAAAGGCTGAGTCAAGCTGGGGCATCACAATAGTGGGTTACTATTGCAAAATTTGCTGACAGCTACCAGTTTTCATCCACCTTAACTCATTGCCATCTGTATAACATTCTGCAGTCTTAGCACCCAGCTAATAGGGCTTTTCAGAGAAGTCCATGAGTTTGTAACGGCACAAGATAAATGTGTTATCACACTGTCAGTGCTCAGGGTCATGCAGTTACAGAACCTAGGCAGCCAAGCGAGCTACGTGTTTGAAATACCATCTGTACACTGGGATATTCAAGCGGCTAAACGAGCCAATTTTGGAGAAAAACTAAGTTAGCACCAAAATTCTGTCCAGAATGAAATATCTATGTATAAAGCCATGTATGAGTCTGAGCTGTACTTTTTGACATACATCTTTTGCCACAATTTTAACTGCCATGGTTCTCTGCATTAGTGATCATAATATTTCCCTGCCAAACAAGGGTGTTATGATGACAGATGCATAGAAACAAAGACCACAGGATTTTTTTTTTTATACATATTAACCTGCAACTTAAAAATGAGTAAACAAAAAGGCACAGCTAATGCTTTATTGCCAGGTTTTTAAGTCCATGCATAAATAATACAGAGGGACCTTAACTTTCCTTCCTCCAGCAGCCCTCCTGCCTCTGATCTCTAGAAGGCTGCAGTCTGTCAGCTGATAGCTTCTGTCTGAGGCTTCTTTCTTTTCACTGACTTTTTTTGGTTTTCTGAGGGTGCATGAAGGATATGATGGGTAGTTTACACTTGCTTGTGCTTATATTCTTGTGAGTATGAGAAAATTTTGTTGGTTTAGAAATCAGCCATCAGTCTCATGATTTTCTAGTAGTTCCTGACATTTCCCAGCTCACTGTACAAAACTTGGCTGCTTTCCATCTAATTAAAATGCAGAGTTATTGAAAGGATACTAGCATGTCTGCTGAGATTTATGATAAATTGTAGCAGGCATTTCAGCAAGGGTTTCAGTTTCAGAAAATCCCATCTCATTATACAAAACAGGGCTGAATTATGAAGCTGTATTTACAAAGTAAAGAGGTCTGCAGCTATTACAGTAGTTCAGGGCTGGCCCCAGGACTTTCTTGCCTCATAATGAAAGTTTTTGGTGAGAGAATGCTGACCTTCTGATTTTTGTAATAATTTGTACAATAGTTGCTAGTTCTAGTTTTAATCTATCTTTTATGCAAAAAAATGTATTTGCTTCATAGGCCATTTATGCCTCATGAATTTTCCCCCAGGAGTTGCATCTAATCCTATTGAAGGATATTCACGCAGGGGTGTCAGTTTCAGAGAGGAAGTCTGCTTAGCTAATTTCTGAATAAGATTTATAGACTGGCATGTTAAAATCAAATGTCATGTAAGTCAAGAAGGAGTAAAAAGCAGTAAATTGTCTGCTTTTTATAGCATAGCAGTTTACATGCTAAGAGGCAGAAGTTCAATATTTTTTGTTTAATTAAGTTTAAGAACATCAGCAGCAATTGTTACCTCTCTCTCACTATATGCACTCTGAAATTAGGGTTGTTAGGAACATATTTCAAAAATTACACATTTGGTTATGCATATATTTGAAGTCATAGTTGTTTTTTTTTTTTTAATATTTCAGCTTGTGTAATCACTAAGTGTATATGTATTTCTTTATTCAGATAACAAGTAAAAATGCATCAAATATCAGTGAAAATATATCAAATATTTATGATTTGCTTACTCTTCAAACCAAAATTGCATTTCCGTAACTGTATATTTAGTCGGTTTATAAACTTAGTAGTAAATCATTCAATCAGCAGAGCAGCTCTGAATAATTTTAGGTATAAAACCACAATGCTGGTTTTTATGGAATTATTTATTTAGCACAAACAAAAGTACTCTAAATACAGTGATCTTTTCTTTTAGGAGGACTCAGCTTGTTTTAGTATTGAATTCATACCTTCTTCCATAGAATCACTTAGGTTGGAAAAGACCTCTAAGACCATAAAGACCAACCATTAACCTAGCACTGCTGAGTCTATCACTAAACCATATCACTAAGCACCACATCTACACATCTTTTGAATACCTTCATGGTTGATGGCTCCCATATGCCAGGCAATTCTCTTTCACATTATAAAAAACACATTAATTTTACTAGAAGTAAAAAATATAGCTCATTAAGTTATAACAGTTCACAATCAGCACAGATAATTTTACATTCTTTATATTTGTTCTGTTTTTCTTTCTCTTTTATTCTGTATTTCATGAGTTTTATGCATAACAATAGAAGGTGTTCTTAAAATATATTACCTGTTTCTTTTTTAAGAGTTTTTGTTCTTTAAGCCAATTTGTCTATTCCCAGCTGACTATCACAGCAGTGGCCACACTGTCATTAATGGCTGGAAGATCCACAACACAGCAAAGAACAAATGGTTTGTGTGCATGGCGAAAACACCTGAAGAGAAGCAAGAATGGCTGGAAGCTATTTTGAAAGAGCGAGAGAGACGAAAAGGTAGGTTAATAAACTTCCTTGTGTTGCTGTGCCAGAAAGCCATGCTGTATTTTTATGTTGAGATATAAAGCAAAACAGCTGCTAGGCAAACTTGTGGTATCAGGTTCAACTGAAGGTTTATGAATAACAGCTTGGAAAAAAATAAATCAAACTAGTACTGGGAAGGACATAATGACTTGAATCATGTGTGTTGGTAGTGAATGTCATTTTGTAAATGGGAAGATAATTTCATCTACGATTTTGCAGCTTATCCTCAACCAGAAAATATTATCATAATTTTACTGAGGCCTGTGAAATGTTGTGGTTTGTGGTAAATGAGGGTCTATCCTAAATGCCTTTTGGGGTCTGTATACATTTTGTGAATGGAAATTTGAAGCACTGAAATAAACAGATTTTCTAAGTTTCTTCATGCAGATGATTCAACATGAAATGGTACAGAATACACCCACAACCACATCTTTGATCCATTCTCCCCTATCCAAGAAAGTAACAAATCACCATTGCAAACAACTGTCTTTTGAATCACTGAATTAAGGTGGAAGAATACTTGGCTGAAATATAATCCTGATCTCTAATGTGACCACAAATAACCTTGTGTATTGAAGGTGAACCCAGCACAAAATAGATGATGCATCATCATCTTCTGGAGCTAATTTCATTTGCAAGCTAAAATATCCTAATCAGTGAGGATGTATGGAGCCTCAGTACTGAAAGAAAATATGACCTTGTAGTCAGATCTGTGTTTCTGTTCCTGGTTAGTGTAGATTTTCTGTGTCCTGTTTCAGTAGCCATTGTTTCGTGCCTCTGTTGTAAATGGAGGATAAGAATACTTTCTTTGGTCTTTTAAAGTTGAATACTGTATTTGTATAACATCTGCTGTAGGACCAGAGTTTCAACTACAATAGTCTGAGCCCTGGCTAACTAACAGTGCCATCAAGAATTAATAGTGAAAAAGCTAAAAAGTTGCTTTAGAGGTCTAAAAGCTCAACATTTTAGAATAAAAAATGAAAACCAATGTGCTAGAGATGATGTCAAATACAACAACAACAAACAGTTTCATAGAATCATAGAATATCCATATCCCAAGTTGGAAGGGACCCATAAGGATCATCGAGTCCAACTCCTGGAACTGCACAGGTCTACCCAAAGTTTTAGACCATGTGAGTAAGTGCACAGTCCAAACGCTTCTTAAATTCAGGCAGGCTTGGTGCAGTGACTACTTCACTGGGGAGCCTGTTCCAGTATGCAATCACCCTCTTGGTGAAGAACCTCTTCCTGATGTCTAGCCTAAACCTCCCCTGCCTCAGCTTGACACCATTTTTCAAAACATCTGTATAAACAAAGCAGGATGTATCAACTTAATTGCAGGCAAGTTGCCAAATTACTCAGGAACTAAACAGATACCTTTTTAGAATTCAAATATTGTATCTGAATGTAGCTATAAGCATTTTCCTATTTACTGTGAACATAAAGATGCTTAAATTGTATATTTACTTAATAAGGTGTGGAGCCTGTTCATGCGAGAATGTATTTATAGACAATTACACTGAGGTCTAAGTGACAGCGCATGTGAGAACAGTGCTTTGTCTCCTTTGCAAGTGAGACACCAGCTACATCAAATGTACACACTTTACAAATCTCTTGGGCTATGGGCGGGTGTTGTTTGAATCACTGCCCCCTTACTGCACGGTGTGGCAGGACTTGCCCACACATTCCTTCACAGCAGTGCTGTGGACCCCACATCTCATGCAGAACCATGGATAGCAGTGATCACCAGACTAGATAAATAAAGAATATGGATCATGGAAATACAGCTTGAGTATGCCATGTAGCTGGAGCTTTCTGGACCATTAGTATTGGGAGATTTGGAGATTCAATGTACTTAGGGAAGCTCAACCTATGCCGTTATTTGGAGTCCATAAAGCAGAAGCTGAACAGAAGGGAGAGGATGCCCCAGGTGAAATACTTTAACAGAAATTTCAGTGGTTATTGAATTAATAACTAGGACCACTTTATAGATTTTATTTCTTTGGCTAAGAGAAATCAAGCCAAATTAGAAACTTTTTGCTGGTATTTCTTTCAGTTTAGGGGCTTTCATGTAACCATCTGAAGCATTCAAAAGGTTAGATTTTTTTTTTAATTGGTGAACATTTTCAAGGCTGATGGTGCTGTGATGCTGCTGATGATTCAAACAGTCAGCACAAATAAAAACATCAATGCCCTATTAGCTCCAAAAGAAGTATACTGGCTAGATTTTCTTTTCCTGGGAATAAGTCAGGTTTTATGTTTGTATGGCATTACCACTAACCAGTTCGTGGGTAATGAGAGACACTTCTGTATCCGAGACCAATTTGTTATCTTTTTCTTATGCCATGTAACATTTTTTTCTGTCTTTTTTTTTTTTTTTTTTTTTTTTTAAATTATAGAAGTGTCAGACTACTACTCATATTGATTATATACAGCTAAAGTTTTAGAAATGTGCAAATCTAGAGAGAAGCTGAGAACATGTATATAAGACATTCCTGAAATGTGTGGTTTTATCCTGAATTAAGATGGTTTATAGAGAAAATACATGGGTTATGAAGGTCTGTGGTATTCATTGGGAGAACAAGCTTCTGTGAGTGACCAATATGATACATAATTCAACAAGAACTGTTTTCAATCATCTGCTATTCAGAAAATGTAATGATTTTCCTGAGAAGAAAAACAGGAAAAAATAAGAAGAAATGTTTAACTAACCCCCTCGATAGATTTTGGTTGTTGAGAAAGTCCCCCCAAAAATAAAAATCAAGTTGTGCATGTGATTTTGTGGAAAAGGGCTAAACTAATCCTCTATGAAACTAACAAGTATGTAAGAGATAATTAGTTACAGTTAATTGAAAAACTGAAAAATGTTCGTGAAAAATTTTGTGAAAATGTGAGAATTTTTATTATCAGATGACAAGAGTGAAAATATGGACCTTTTACTTTAAATTTGTGAAGACTCCTTCTTTCTGAACATTCATATGCTGAAGTCATTGAAAATCACAGCATTAATATTTATTACTGCAATATCAATGGTGATGTTGGTATAGGTGTACATTTTCATTAACAATTTGACTTCACTGTGAGGAATTTACAGATATAATTTGATTATGCTTTATGAAGGTTAGATGTTCATAAATAGATCTTGATTCTGAGAAAAATAATGGAAAAAACTCCTTTTACTTTTTTATATGTAGAATATTAGTATTACTTGTCCATTCTGTTGAAGACTGAAATATAATGACGGTATCACTTCATAAAATTTTATTGTATTTTTGACAGGTTTAAAATTGGGCATGGAACAAGACACTTGGGTGATGATCTCTGAGCAAGGAGAAAGACTATACAAAATGATGTGCAAACAAGGGAATCTCATCAAAGACAGGAAGAGGAAATTAACCACTTTCCCCAAGTGCTTTCTTGGAAGGTATTACATGCATTTTATAGCATGATTTTTAAGCAGCTTTTATATCTTCTTTGGGATTTTACGAAAACCACACTTTATTTGTAATGTCTGTTAGGACTATTTGCCTCCCAGAATTTAGCCAAAATGTAAATTGTTCTGCCTGAAATTTATGGATATGTACTCAAATCCCAAAGTACCTTTTTAAAGGGCCAAGGCTGCAAAGGCATGTTGAACATAGAAAATGCATCAAATAAAATAGTTTCTTTAGATAAATAATTCTCAACTGTTTTTGATGCATTTTAGAGTGCCAAATTTGCTTTAATCCTCTTTAAAAATCTGTCTCTAAAACTGTTCCCTTCTCCTCTTGTCTGAACATCAGGTATGGAGTTATTAAAGGCAATTTATATGTTTAAAAATTAAACCCTGTCAAGAGGAGGATCTTTAGAATGTCATAATGTACCTATGGCTTAAGGAGACTGAATGCACAAGGAGGAGAAAGCAATAGGTAGCATGATATCACATATGTTACAGAAAAACATTTTTGGGGACAGAAAGTTTATCCCTTATTTCATCTGACTGTAAGGCAGATTAGCATGGAGTATTTTTCTATAGTACAGTGATTGTTTTACACAAGCACATTGTGATGAAGATCCTCACTGCTGTGTTCAAAAGAGGAAACAAAATAAGAGATTTTCAGGTACTGTCCAAAGTCATGTAGCTGGTGAGAGTTGAAATGAGGATTAAGATTAATTATTGAGTTGTGATTGAATCATCTCCTTAGAGCGACTGTTGGAAGGAGATAAACAATATGCTCCTGGTATGGAGCCACGTAAAACATTTAAACTGACTGTCAAAAGTTTGCTTTTCTGTTCCATCTTTGAAGTGGATCCTTCCAAAGTATGCTTTTGCTTGTCTGTGGGTCAACAGTTAAAACCCATTAATGTGGATGTTGCACTGCCTCACTACACTGCTATTTTGATTTTTAACAGACATGCAAATATTTTATGTACCATAAAATTGATATCTCTGAACTGCATCAGATTTACTGTGAAATAAACTTGGTATTTCTTGGATGTGCGCTATATGCTTTGTTTATGTGCTCAGGATGTCTCAGAAATAACAGGCCTACTGTTCTATCATGCTGCAATTATGGTCTGCCTTCAGAGGATATCTTCCCTGTGTAGGTGCAGTAGGTGTGCCTGGGATTTTCTTATATTTGACTGTCTAGTCAAATTTGTCTATTCTACTTTAGAAAATCATGGAAAACAAAGGCATATTTATCATGTGCCTAGATAAAACTTCTGAACAGAAAAGAAAAGACATGTCAAGGGAAACCTTTATGTATTATATCTAAATGATAAAAAGTGGAAATTATTTTTTAAAAGATGATATGACATTCTAAAGTTCATTCTAAAGGCTTAAGAAGCACTTACTAAGTAAGGAACATTGCTTGTCTTGCAACTAAGAAGAAAATGTAGTAGACGTAGTGGAATGACATTTCAATTTTTCTTTTTTTGTATCTGTTTTAATTCAGTGAATTTGTGTCCTGGTTATTGGAAATTGGAGAGATACACAAATCTGAAGAAGGCGTTCATCTTGGCCAAGCTTTATTAGAGAATGGCATTATCCATCATGGTAAATATAATTAGTTTTAACTTACTTGTTTTCAAGGTAATTGTTGTAATTAGAGTGGACTTAATTTTGTTTGATAAAATGATGGTCTCATTAATGCAAGGCAGCTTGTTGAATCTGCATTATATCCTTACAGGGACCTCATGGGGCCCTTGCCCATGCCTAGAAGATTTACTGGATAACCTCCATGGATATAACTAGATTAGATCTGTGCTGTTGGGATCACAATGTTGCAAACAGGGACCTACAGAAACATTGCTATTCTGTTATAACTTTGAGGTGAAGAAAGGAGGGCAGAGTTTTTTTAAGAATTTAAGCTTTTTATTTAGGCTAGGCCTTTTAGGGACACATGTTTGAATTAGCATTGTAGATAGCAAAAAATGTTACAGCTGGCTGCTGATAAATATGCCTGATCCTCTGTTAGGAATTACAAGTTTAGCAGGTAAAACCAACCAAGAACACAAAAGTTTAAACATTTGAATTTTCAGGCCCTGTTTGTCCCTGGTTTGTAGAGTTGCTAAAATTCAAATTTTTATGCTTGAATTTTCAGTCAACTATTTGTGCTAAGCTCATTCTGGAGAGAAGCATCACTGAAATGGTTTAGTTTTTGAGCCAAAAAGGTTTGATTTCTTGAGGTAATTTGAATTGGCAGCATTTTTCATATCAAGCCTTCTTACCACAGCAGGTTCTTGTCTCTTTTCCTTTTGGAAGTTATAATCCATCAGGATTATAAGCAAAGTGAAGATGCTTCCACTTTTTAAGGCATGTTTGATTTAGTTAGGTTCAGTAACTTTAAAAATCAGTTAGTGAAAGAGTTGCAAACTTAGGTGCTGTTCTGGCATAGATCCAGGGTGTAAATTTAGAAGGAATCATTGATAATTTACATTTTGATACATAAATACTTCAACCAGTAATTGATTCAATACTTACTTTGTGCGTTCTTTGCCACCATGGTTTCAGTGTTCTTGGCTGAAAGGAAAGCGGGAGTAACTGAGTGCCACTTGGCTATGTGCGTTTTGAATATACACTGAGTAGGAGGAAAAACATTGAAGTTATTCATCAGTAGTCATGTAATCTTTAATGCTTTAATGTCAGTCTACATGATTTTCTTCAACCATCATTCAAATGTCAGATGCTATTATGTTTACTACACACACAGAATTGTTTTCAATGGAATGATTCTGTTGCCAAAGATTCTTCTCCTGATCTTGTAATTTACATCCCAAATACACTGATAGACTTTCTCAATACAGAGTTAAATGAATATTGTGTAATTTCATGAGATAAAAGGGTAATTATATTAGAGCACAGAAATTTGAGCCAGACATGCTACTTTGAATAGTGGATCCAGCTGTGGTTCAGTGAAAATAGAACTCTTAAAATAAAGTTGAATGAACCATCTGTTTTCATAGAGGGAGCAAGGGAGAAAGAAAGTTTGGCTGTTACTCACATTGCAAATGCTGTAGGGGGCTTTGTTAGATTTAGCATATTCTAGCATATGCTTCATTCTAGCCATGCAAGACCCACACTGTGATGGACATTGTTTTACTTCCTGGTGTGTGAACTCTGGCAAGTTATGGCTGTTCTGTGTTTTTTTTTTTTTTTTTCCAGTTTTGCAAAAGGAAAAAACAGTTTATATGTTGCTATCCTAAATCCACCTGGTGGCATTCTCTTATATCTGAAACAGTGTAAAATTGATCAGCCAATGTACTTAGATACTGTGTCTGGTCACTCGTTGCTGATGGTTAGAGGTGGAAGCTTCCTCTCAAGGCAATAAGGAGCTTTGTAGTTACAAAAATATCTGAATATCAGCTTATTTTAAATATCAGATGATTTAAAATAAATAGGTATTTATATGGTTGTGCAGTTCCTGGATTGGTGTACTGATCTGAGTAAATATTATGGTGGCAGAAAAGTAAAAGTAAAGACCAGTTGAAACCTGATCATTTCCCTTTTCTTGGCATATGCCCTATAAAATACTTATCTCCAAACAAAGTACACATAGATGGTTGGCAGTGACACACAAAACAACTTGGTGTCCTTATGTAGTAATGAGCATTTTATCATACTTAACTGTTTGAAACTATGGACTTGCAAATGTACAGCTCATACTAGTTGATACTAGTAGCTGATAGATGATCCATTCTTCCTCTTGAGCCAAATCACATCTATATCATAGAACGCTAGGACAACCCACCCCTCCTCACACCCAATGAATAGTGATTTACAGCTTCTCTCACAGCTTCCCTCAATATATTTAGTAGGTAACACAATGCAGTTCAATCAGGAACATCCTTGTTTGGTTTCCTTGCTTTCTAGGGTGCAGGATGTGCCAGGTCTGTGGGCCTGCTCCCATAGGTTTTGGAGTACCGTGTGTAAATAAGGGCTGCAAAGAACCCTACAAATGACTACAAACACTACAAAGCAATGCTCTTCAGAGTGCAGAGCCTGTTCTGTTCTTTATGGACATGCAAGAATGGAAAGGTGCTTTGGAGTCATGGTTCCTTCTCTGTGCATCTCTGTAACAGCAAGGAACAGTTTGACCTTAAGCAATATGATCCCGGCAGTGTTTCTTTCTTTCTTTCTTTCTTTCTTCCTGGCAGTGTTTTTTGCTTTTTTTTTTTTTTCCTATCTTCTGTAGTTACTGGTTTTAAAAACTCTTAATGTACATTGATCTACTGGAATATATCTTTTCTCCAACAGTAACAATTTATTTTTAATTACAGAACTAGAAGGTATCTTTTATTCCTGAGTTAAACGGTCACAGTCCAGTAAAATCAATTTCAATACTTATGCTAGGCATTATATATGAGAATTTTGTAGTCTGTATCTGATGTACTGGGAGCTAATGATATGTAAAAAGCTAAGGGGTCATTGTAGATAAATCACCTCAGCACATACCATGAGTTCAAGGAAATCAGAATAATGTCCTGGGCTTTACAATCAGTAGATATACTAAGTGCAGGTAGAGAAGTTATTTTGTTTTGCATGACACTGGTGAAATCACTGTATATATGATGTCCTGATTTATGTCCATGTGTCAGATGATTGGTGGATATACTGAAGAGCTTGACAGTGTGTGAAAAATGATGCAATGGTTAGAGAAGACACCTTACTATGTAAAGTCTGTGGTGCTCAACTACATTTTTGAAGAGGATAATGGATTGATATTGTAAAAAAAAAAAAGATATTATACTATATAATATATTATATAATATATTATTATAAACAAAGACATTAAAGAATTACAGAATCATTAGGGTTGGAAAAGATCTCTAAAATCATCTAGTCCAACTGTCCACCTACCACCAATATTACCCACTAAACCATGTCCCCACATCTGTCTTTTTCTTAAACACCTTCAGGTGTGACTTCCCTGGGCAACCTGTTCCAATGCCTAACCACTTCTGAGAAGGAATTTTTTCCTAATATCCAACCTGAACCTCCCCTGGCACAACTTGAGGCCATTCCCTTTTGTCCTATCACTAGTTATATGTCAGAAGAGGCCAACCCCCAGCTCCCCACACTTTCCTTTCAGGTAGTTGTAGAGAGTAATAAGGTCTCCTTTGAGCCTCCTCTTCTCCAGGCTAAACAATCCCAGTTCCCTCAGCCACTCCTCATAAGACTCAACTTATGATAGCCTCCTTTAATAGTAGATGGCATGCAAATTTCCTTTCAAATTAAAGCTTAAATTTTCAAGCAAACCAATAATAAATACAGTATCCCAGGATGGTGCCAGTGCTTCCTGCTGTCCTCAGTCATCAATTGAATCAGCTTTTTTTCAGAAGGCCTTACTGTAGTCCTGTTTCCATGAGAAGTTTTGTATCATATGATGTGAATTTTGATGAAATATTTGAAGTTGTGAGGTTTGTTGTTGAAATCTTTTAAAACTGCTGAATGGAAATCCTCCTGCTAAGATCCTTTTTCAGGGGTCTTTGGTGATGAGGACCATGTATATTGACTTAACAGATGATTGCAAGTCTCTTGCACAGAAGACCTTCAGCTGGCTATATATAGAGGAAGACAGGCCTTCTTTGCTCTCAAGTGCAGGACTATTCAAATGTGTTATGAAGGGTTCTTTATCGACTCATCTGAGATTGGCCTTAGCAAGAATTAGAACAGGAAATAATGTAAAACAATACATTGATAATGGCAAAAGAAGCTGTCTTTTTGGCTATTTGATTGATAAAGGTTGCAAATGCATTGAACACACTTAAATACCTGATGTTCTAGGCTGTTCCAGGCTGTTTATCGTTCTTATTCTTTGCCCATTACTTAAATTTTTTTTGTTTCCTGTGGGCTACTTAAATGTTGTGAGAATATCATCATCAGTGACATAAAGGAACTTAGGGCAGATAATTTATTCATGTTTCCTACCCTCCCTGTCTGAAATCTATCATGTAACAGACTATTATTTGAAGGAATGACTTTGCCCTTCTTTTTGTGTATTTCTGTAGAAAGTAACCTGGCTATACATGTTTTTTTTTTGTGTGTTTTTTTTGTTTGTTTGTTTGTTTTTAATTTAGTTACAGATAAGCACCAATTCAAACCTGAGCACATGCTGTACAGATTCCGATACGATGATGGAACATACTATCCAAGAAACGAGATGCAGGAAGTGATTTCTAAGGTACATAATGGAACATTTGCTATTATTAGGAAGAATGCACCAGAAATCGAGATTCTGCTTGAGAAATAAAATAAAATATTATGCTAGAACACATAACATTCCTTCACGCTTGCCTGACTTTATATTTATGTGAATCAAACTTAATTTTCCATTTGTAAGGGAAGATCTTGCCTTGTTGTTACATATTTTAAATATGGAATTAAAAATGTATTTTAATTACTTCATGATTTCATATGTGGGATGCATTGCCTGTGTTTCTGGGTAATTCTGAGGTTGGCATTTCAGTGCATTGCATTTTTCAATCCATTTTAATAGATTTGAACTTACATATAGATTAAAAAAAATAAAAATCAGTGTCTTGTATTAGTGTCTTAACAAGGCAGTAAATCAAGAGTCACATAGATGTTTCAACATGGGTATTAGTATCCATCTACACTACTAGGTGTAACACTTCTATTGAACAACGTTGTCTTTAAACTCATCTCATGATTTTGACATAGAAAATTGCAGTGTCTTGGATATTGCATTACAATGGCACTCACTTTCTGCTGGCATTGTTAATGTAAGCTAAATGTAGGAGAATCTTCAATACCAAATTCTAGCAGGCATGACAATGTAGAATGAAACCTGTTTTGACACAATTTTTTATTGTTATATATGTTTTGTCGTGCATGTTATAAAGATAATTGTTTTTTTTTTTTTTTTTTTTTTTTTGATAGTCTGCTAAGGAATGCTTATGTGATTTCTTTTTCTTAATGCTATTTTCTGATGGTAGTATCTTAAATTCCTTCAAGCATTCTATTTTTGTTTTCAATTGAAAATGTATTACATCTTTTCACATCTTCAAATCATTTTTATTTTTATGCTTACTGTTTAGTTGTAATTTTACTTTGTATATATATATAAAAAAGGTACTTATGCGTGTAATATTTATTTATTTATTTTTTTTACTTTAATTGCTTGTTTTGTGTGTAGAGCACCAATCAGTGATTTGGAAAACCTTAATGCATAGAACCATTACTTTATCTTTCAAGTTTTGTGTACTTTTTTTTTTTTTTCAAAATACTATACCTTAATTATTATTTTTTTAAATTCTACCTTAAAGCTGATCCTTATTTCATGTGTATCAGTTGGTTATAAATGATTTATGTCTCATGATTTTTATGTCAATATAGTTATCTGGAAATAGTAAGTTTTGGCACATAAAGAAATTTGAATAGTTTTGTTTTGCTAGCTAAGTGAAACATCTAGCTTTTTTACTGTGTCCATTCCTCTCATGTTCTCTGGGGTGTGAATATGTAACAACATTATAATCCATGTAAGTAACCTCATCTTTCTCTTTTACAGGGTGTACGACTGTACTGTCGCCTTCACAGTCTCTTCACCCCAGTAATTAGGTGAGTCTAGTTAGGAAATCCTTGGAGACTCATTCAAGAGAAGTACGTATTCTGAAGATACTGTGTTTGAATGTGGGAACCTAACCCACCTTTCTAAGATTGGTCTTTGGGGAGAAATCAGAAAAGGCTGAAGGGCTATAAAGTGTAACTGCATCATAAAATGAGTGCAAACTCAATCCAAGATTATCTTTTTTTTTCCAGACTTTTAGAGCCATCTAGATGGCTGATAGATGTGCTTATATGCTTACTGTAGATATTAATATACTCACTTCTTTACTAACGTTCCATTACTCATTTGTAGAATCTCAGCTGCAAGAAGGCAGCTATCTTTATGTTGCAGTGACAAAGTAAGATATGGTCAACCTTCCCCTTTCTGTCTACACTGAAAGGTTTGACTTGCTTTACTCCAGAGGCAGCTTCTGAAGCTCTGTTTCTGAACCACTAAAAAATGGTCAATTCATGCTTGTACTAACTTGTATAGAACATAAGTGGTTTTTGTTTGTTGTTTTTAGTTTAGGCTCTATTGACCTTTTGCTTCATATATATACCTACATATATATTTTTGTTTTGGACAGGGATAAAGATTATCACCTGAGAACCTACAAATCTGTAGTCATGGCTAACAAACTCATAGACTGGTTGATTGCACAGGCAAGTGTATACCTTTGGATTTATGTGCTTTTCTAAATACTGCATTTAAATTATGATTTGAAAGGTAGTGATGTGGAATAACATACACTTTGTATAAGAACAGTGTGTGCGTGTGCACGTGCACGCATATTTGTGTGTAATCCTCTTAACCAGTAAAGTAACAGAAATCAGCTGTCAACAGCCATGCTATTCATCCCTTTTGTACTTCCTTATTTACAATGGAACTTTAAATGTTTTAATGAGACTTAGCTTTGTAATTCAGCATGTGATATTTTTCAAGGCTTAAAATGAAATGGATAGCCCTGAAAACCCTAAATTACTAGCTGGAAGTCAGTACCAATTTGCTGTTATGATTCTGTTTTATTTTAAGCAAACCAGGAACAAGAACAGGGCAACCTGTTCATTCAGTCAACATGTACCAGCTTTATAAAATAGAAGTAAAAAATCTCAATACTTTTATACTTGCCCAGTGAGACTATACCACTGTGAATAGAATCCATTTTACTTATATATTAAAATATAAAGAAAATATGCTATGGTTTAACAGGGGGATTGCCGGACCAGGGAGGAAGCTATGATCTTTGGTGTAGCTCTTTGTGATAATGGGTTTATGCACCATGGTAAGTAAATACATTCTATACAAGGTACCTCTTGTTTAATGCCATCTACATAGTAGGAAGGAAATGCAGGCGCTGTTAAAGATATTATATCACTGGAGAAACCTATGATACAATCTTGAAGAAGAAGAAAAATATCTATTGTATACTCTAAAAATTATTTTCAATCAATTTTAAAGCATATACTGAGGGTTTCATCTTTCAAAGGATTTAGGGGTGGAATTTTGATGAACCACATTGAAAGAAAATTCTTAAGCACATTTGCGCAGGTGAGCCTGAAGATAGACCTTGAGGAAATATGTAGGAAAATAAAGGAATAATTTTTGAAGGAATGAATTAAGTGTTGTGAAGCATGACTTTAAATATGTGAAGTGGTGACAGCCAGAGAAAGTGGACTGTAGAAAATGTAGAAATGTAGAAAAATAATAAAGACAGCACAGAACAAAGAAGAAGGGAGAGAAGAGCAGAAATATGTGGAGTACGAAAAATGAGAACAGGTTCTATTTAATACCATCAGAGGGAAGATTTCAGTGAAATGATTGAAGCAGTGGGTCATTTACTGGAATAAAGAAAAAGAAGTCATTTTCTCATCAGCTTGTTTAGATAAGGAGGAAGAATTAACTTTTTCTCAGACAGCGTTCACTTTTGCCTTTGATTTTTGAACATACAAACTGCATCTGTCTGCTGTTCTAGTTGCTTCCACATCCCCAGCAAACCCATTTCTAATACTGAACATGGTGTACTTCATTCATGCACTTGAAGAGTGCCAGAACTTGGTGGTGAGCATTTCCAACAGCTGTCCAACAGAACTTTTCAAAATCATGTTCTTAAACCAATTTCAGGAAGAAACCTTGTGCTTAGCATTTTCACTAAAACCAGGCTAAGCTAGTCTTCCTAACCTTGGTGAAATCTAAATACAGTAGCTGAAAATAAACTTAGTGATACCTACCTATAATGGATCCAGAAAAAATAGAGTTGCTAATGTTAAAAATTAAGTTTTCCTTAGCTTCACACAAAAAGTAGTTTGCTAGCATTTAATTTGTACACGTTCAGTATATTATGGGTAATAAAAACATGCTATTCAAGAATTCAAAAGAAGAACAGGATTAATGTTTGTGTTTCTGTGTCATACAGTGTTAGAGAAAAGTGAATTTAAAGATGAACCACTGTTGTTCCGTTTTTATGCGGATGAAGAAATGGAAGGGTCAAATATGAAGCACAGACTGATGAAACATGATTTGAAAGTAGTGGAAAATGTCATAGCTAAGTCATTATTGGTGAGTTAAACCAAATTATCATATGTTTTGATGATTAAAAACCAAATTGATTGTAGTGACAGTAAATTAGCACTGTGTATTTTTTTTTTTTAATGGAGCTATATTTACTAAATGCCTTTCTGAACAATCTTTTGAACAATTCTATTTTTCAGATTAAATCTAATGAAGGCACCTATGGTTTTGGTTTAGAAGATAGAAATAAGGTGCCAATTATTAAAGTGGTGGAGAAAGGATCCAATGCTGAGGTATTAAATATTATAAATTATCTTTCTTGTTTTATTGACTTGCTCACAGGTGTATGATTTATATATCAGTTAAGAAAATGTGTGATAGCAGATGATAATACAATAATTTGAGAACTTTTCAAGTTAGCTATGATTATTATGCTTTTTTCATTTTGTTTTGCTTTGTTTCTTTAAAATTGAGCTGTGACCATTAGCAACATTTATTTTATACAGAGGTAATTTGTTATGAGTTTTGAAAAAGTAATGGTTTTATTTTAATGCTTTAAAAATATTCCAGTGGTTACATTACTCATGAATGGAATAAACATCCTTCAGTAGAATATGAAATGAATATAGAACAGTACTCTAGTCTGTAGGTTGCACTTGATGTATTTCATAATAGAGGATGTATCAAGCAATTCTAGAATTTAAAAATCTGAATAAATAAATCATAGCCTTTCAGTTTGTTAGTATTGCTTTAGTTGTTATTTGGGTAATTTAATACTGTTCTAGTGAATTTTATGGGAGTCTCTATATGTGTAAATATACAGAAATAAGAGGGAAAAAAAAAAGACTTGGACTTCAAGCCCTTCTATTTCTAAGTCCCACATCTCATTGTGGGATAAAAATTATGATAAAAACAGATATGACAGAAAAACAGTACAATACAACTGCAACCACAGAACTATATCCAGAGATCTTTTGCTGTTGGCTTTGCATAATTCCATATGGTCTTTTCAGGAGTCAGGTTCTGTCATGATCTCAGGTGGCACTAAGACTTTGCATGTGCCTTGAGCAGTTCTGTGTACTCCTGCCATCCTAGCTGGGAATGGTTTCTTTCTTGTTAGACTTCTTTAAAGATTGTATGCAATTTGGTTGCTGTACCATTGGTTCAAAAGTATGGCCATAAAACTTTCAAGGATACCATTCCGTTTTGGAGCTTAATAGGTATTCTCTTATTAAAATAGTCATCAGGTCCTTCCTTGTCAAAAGAAGCTTTAGCTCCTTTGGAGAATGACATGTGGGCAAATGAGGTAACATCAATAATATAATAACAACAATAATAGCAAAAAAAAAAAGCAAACAACTGGATCAGTGAAGGCTATTGTGTTAATTATTACAGATATTAACTAATATTGTAATACTTCAATAAAATCTTGACTGACAGTAGGACTTGTCGTTAGGTCTCTTCAGAAGGAGAGTTCAGAAGGAGTGACCTCAGTACACTTGAGGTCACTATAACCAATTCCAGAACCATTTTTTTGTGTGTCTTTTGAGTGTAGTTTGTGAAGGAGGCATAAAGAATTTTCTGTGTGTGTCATTATTCCTATTGGGGTTGCATGCAAGCAGAAGAAAACATAACGTTGGTGGTTATAAAAGGCAAACATCTACACAACTGTTATTGTTTTCTAGATGGCAGGCTTGGAGGTTGGGAAAAAAATCTTCGCCATTAACGGTGACCTGGTTTTTCTGCGACCCTTTAGTGAAGTGGATTGCTTCCTGAAAACGTGTTTAAACAGCAGAAAGCCCCTGCGGGTTCTTGTGAGCACTAAACCACGGGAGTAAGTTGTCATTCCTTTGGGGGAAGTTTTAGAAACTACAATTGAAGCGAATTTAAAAAGACAAGTGGAACTTCAAACAGCGCTATTGTGAAGTTATTTTAAATGCTTTGCCGAATCTCACTTTGTAAAGTCAAGCAATTTGATCTGCTTTGATTTTGTTTTATTAAATTTGTCAGTCAGCAAAAACAAAACACAAGTGCTTAGATCATCAGGTCTGCCACGTTAAGTACATGAAGAAACCGCAAGTGTAGATGAGGTTTCTTTGAATACATGGACAGTTTTGATCACTTATCTCTTACTTATGTTTATTAAACAAGTTCCTCTGTCTGGGGATTAGTTCCTGGTTTGGCAGAAGTTGGACTTTGTGATCTAATGGGCCTCTTTGGTATGTGTGCTGGTTGTGTAAACAACAGTAGCAAGTAAACTACTCCAGATCTTTGTGTAACAGCTGTATTTCTACACAATGATTTGACCACTGCAACCTGAGTAGAATTTTGTTACATAAAAGAAATACAAAGTGAGGCCTAATGCCTAGGTTTAGTAGATATGTTAATGAACATTGGTCTATCAGTAAAGTTGTTAATGGTTTCTGTGTAACAAAGAAAGAGGAGAATAAGAAACAGCAGTTGGGAGAAATTCTGATCAGGTTTTGCAGAGAAAGGAGGAACCCATCCTGTTTCTAGATAACACAGAGAGAGAGGGCTTTGGAAATGGCTCCACTGAAGCAGCAGAACAGAGATGTATTTCTCCTGACAATAAGCAGAGATGGCTTGAGAAATGCAGAGGCAACCAGAACAGGGAAAAGAGCAAAGAAAGAAATACGGCATAAAGTTGATCAATTGGACTGATAATACAAAAAAGAACAGCAACCAAACCAAAGAGCATCAAGAACACAGTAGGTGATAGTATTGTAGCAAACATAAAAAGCATATCCTAGCATTTCTTTAATGCAGATCTTGGATCAATTTCTGATCATGTTTTCTTCACAACTCACCAGTGAAGATGTGGGTGAATTTCAAGGATGACAGAGATTATCTAGTGAATGAGGAGTTCAGAGGAGTTTAAGAACTTGTTTTCTGTACTGCCTGCATTTTGTCAGAAGCTGCTACTAGCACAACTGTGTTGGCTGAAGAGACAACTATTCTCTCGTAATTTCTTAGCTGAAACTGCCAGTGATGTTCTGTTATAGTTTATTCATTAACATGTTCACAATGCATTTTTGTACAAATCTGTACAAATTTATAGGCCCCAATGGGATTTGGATCTCATGTGTGCTTCTAATTGTCTCCAAATGCTAAACATTCTGTATACCAGAAAAAAACTGAAAGTACAGGAAATGAAACAACGATACTGGTCAAATCTATCTGTAAATCCAACTTATTACAGTTCAAATATTTTAAATTCACTTTTCACCATCAATTTAGATTTGTCTGCTTTTGCACTAGCACATGAAGTCCAGTGCAAAGATCCCTTAAATAATAATGGAACTGACTCTGGAAGTAAAGACTGCAAAGTTAGATCAGTGCTGTGTTATGCATGACCTAAACAGCTTTGATAAGGGCTAATGCAGCTGTGTTGCTTTTTCTGGAACCTGAGCTGACATCCTGTTAGCTTACTTTGGGCAAGATCGGGGCTTCATTTTAAGGAGTAGATGTGAATTTTGATAACCAGAACAGTGTTTTTGTTGGTTATGGTTGTCAGTATTTCATATTACTGTTGCACTTAGACCAAGCAAGAACATAACATGATGGGCTTATAAACTGCATAAACGGTAGTATGCAGTTCCTTACAGAACTCATTGCTTTGCGTTGATGCTCAGAAAAGCTGCAGCCAAATTTTTTTTTTTTCAATAAATGTTGGCAAATTCTAACATAGATCTAGTCTCCACGGTGTTCTGCAGCTTGTATGACAAGGCCTGTCATGATCTATGATCCTGAGTCTCTGTGCTCTTGCCTGATAGACTGCCTACCTTCCATTGCTATTTTACAACAACTTACCTGAATTGCAGTCCCTTTGGGAGGAATTTGAAAGCTGCAGTGCTGCTTTGGTCTTAATTAGCATGCTGAAATTCCATGTGAAATAGTATTGCCTTCCTCTGGTTAGTTTTAGTATCTCCACTTGCTCTTAATTCTGATGTAAGCTGTTCAAACTATTGGGAATATGATGCTGAATCTGAAACTGTGAATTGACTAACAGTGTGAAGTTTTACACCCTGGTATAAAAAGCACACTACTTATTGCTGTTCAATTTTATGCTAAATAACAATATGCTACCTTTTGCTATGTTCATATTGGATTTTTGCTTGTACCAGGACAGTGAAGATTCCTGACTCTGCAGATGGACTGGGATTCCAAATCCGGGGCTTTGGCCCATCAGTTGTCCATGCTGTTGGGAGAGGTAAGTCATAAGAACTGTCAACACAAGTGGTCTTCATACATTTTATATCTAAATAGCCTGGCTGAGACAAATCAAAATGAGCTCCAGTGAGCAGGTAAGGTAAGTTAAGGCTGTGACTTCTTCACAGATTGAGGAATAGTTGACAGAAGCAAAATTCCTTTCTCCAGTGAATGGGTGCTGGGAATTTTTTCCTGAAAGTTTATTTGTTAGGTCTCCATGTAGTTCTGCAATGTTCTGAAAACGTTCTCCAGAGAGTCTGTTTTTCACAAACCTTTTCAGTGGTGCTGGTCACCTATTTTGTCACAGTAATTGCAGATGTCATGTCTAAATACCATTTTGTTTGTTTGTTTGGTTTGTTTTTCTGTTTTGTGACATATTATTCAAATGCTTGCCATCCCTAACTTGATAAATTCTGGGTTGCTGCACTGGCAACAAAAATAGTTCAAACATTTTTTGTTGCTGTTGCATGCTGTTAATGGTAAAGCCAGATACCACTGTATTTCAGCTATTGTGGGGCAGTTGTGTCCTTTCCCCTCCTCCTTCCGTTGTAATTGAGGAATTTAAAATGAACTGATCTGCAAAGCAGACAGATTTGAACAGAGCTTCATAACTTTTTTTTTTTCTTGGCTGTGGTGCCAGAAATTAGATTTTCGAGAGAAAGTCTAATAAACTAGACTGAGCTGATGTGATAATTATTTCTGCACCTGGATCTCAATTCAACTGCCTATCCTAATTCATTAAGCACATACTTTATTCCAATTAGCCTCAATAGTACGTACATCTTGCTTGTGTGGTTTGCTAAACCTGAAAGATTGTAGGCATATGCTTAAATACTCTGCCGAATTGGAACTTTTTTTTTTTCATGAAGTACAAAAAATATTTTTTGAGAGGTATTTAGTAAGGCTTATTCTATTTTTTAAACACCAACACCTGATAGTGCCTAAAATAAAGGAAACCCTTATTTTATATTGTTTAATACTGAAAAAAATATGTTGTTTGTTATTTCTTTTCAAATATGCTCACCTGGAAGTCATAACATGGCTTTCTTTTTGTCAGCCCTGCAAATTCAGTTTAAACTTTTCTAACAGTTGGCTTCTTCACCTCAGTGTTGCATTCTCTAAGCAACAGATTTTGACTTCACCAGCACCTCTGTAGCAATAGCAAGAGAGACATAAGGAGGTGAGTGTTCAGGTAGATGGTTATAGTCCAGCAGGCTGTCTTTCAGGAATAGTCTTGAATCATACTGAAAAGACCTGGAGACAGCTGGTATTTTTATAGTACCTTTTCAGTAGATAGAGGATTTTCCCAAGGTGGTTACTCTGTTGTGGAAAGAAAATGCTGAAGCATGTGTTTTATGTTGCACATACAAAATATATATATATTACTCAAGATTATTGTTATTATTGTTAAAGTTGCTTAGATCTTCTACTCTGTTATTTTTGGATATTTCAATTAAAACTGTAAGGCACTCTGTTATGAATGAAATGGAAAAAAGATGAAAACATGGATAGGATCCTCAGAAATGTCTTTGGAACTCTATTTTCTTAGAGTCCACTAACTTCAGAAGCACTCTGTGGTCAGAGGCTTTTGGGTTTTTGGACTGTAAGCTTTAAAGGAAATGGTTAGGAAAGGAAGCCTGTCAACTATGTGATTTTTATTTTTTTTTAACAGGAACAGTGGCAGCTGCAGCTGGTCTCCACCCTGGCCAATGCATAATCAAAGTGAATGGAATTAATGTCAGCAAAGAGACTCATGCAAGTGTTATTGCTCATGTCACGGCATGCAGGAAGTATAGGCGTCCAATGCAGGTACATTTAACTTGTTACTCTTGCAGATTTTTCTGACTAAATTTTTTTTTTTTTTGGTAAAATGTTCTCTGCAACGAAAGTAAACAGTGTGGTATGTATCTCTGTCCATGCACCTGTTGCGACTGAGTGTGATAAAGGGATACAAGTGGTGAATAAAAGTGGAAGAAAGCCAGTTGAATTACAAAAGGCAAACATTCCTTGATATATTGCTGATGTTTGAGGTCTCTTTAATTTCTGCTTTAAAAAATATAGGCTTATGGCTAAGCTCTTAAAATGGTATTTTTAAAGTTTTAGTTCAAGTTTTTCTGCAGTTCTATGCAGAAAGCATTTTGAGGTATATTCTCATCATGATGGAGAGGGATTTACACAGTTCACTGCTTGCTCATCAGCATGAGAATGTAATTCAAAAAGCTGATCCTCTTCCAGAATTTTGTAACACTTCAGCACATAGAGAGCAGAGTGCACATATTTTGCCTATAAAAGTCTTCGTGTTCATTCTTTGTGTTCCCATTGCATTCCAATCTTGGAAATCAACATAAATTCAAGGGCTCAAAATTTGCCTTTTTTTAATATAAGCATCCAAGTTTTGTTATCTTTCTCACGTTAGTTTAGGAGAAAATCTAATGGCTTGCAAGATATAAATTGTATAGAAGAAAACCAAAACCAGCTGGATTATATAATGTAATCTTTCCAAGTTCCTGCAAATTTTTCATAAACTGTGAACTGGTATCATTAATTAACTGTACAGACTCTTCCAGTGCATGTTAATTGAGAAGAAGAATCCAATTAAAATCAGGAGTGAAATCCTTCCCTCATACCTACTGCATAGATATGAGATAAGAATTATAAATAAGAATTAAAACAGTTATGCAAATACTGTCTTCATGAAAATGTCTAGATTTTTTTTTGTTTTTGTTTTTAACTGCAGCATGGAGTTGATGTTGTTACATAACATATCAAGGTAGAGCTCACCTATTCTTTAAAGGAATACGGGCTCTGGTAAAGAAAGGGTACTCTATGAGCAAGTAATGCATGGAGTAAAAGATTGATTACTTTTTTTTTTTTTTTTAAATTGTACCAGGCATGTTTTCTCTCTTTTCTAAGCATGGAGTTCTCTATAGATGTAATTGAAGGATTGATTGATGTTGGCTGGCATGAATGCCTTCATATGCAAATTTACTGTTTTGGTTTTATTTTCATCAGCTTCTGTAATATCTTGGAATACATACCCGTTTTTCTTATGCAGATTATTTATTTCAGTCTAAAAAAGTAGCTAATCATGTTCAGCAAATCCCATATAACTAACCCCCAGGTTGACAAGAATCTCTTAGAAAACCTTCCTTTAGAATGTACTGCTATCAAATGGTGTGAGATAACAGTCTAGACTGATGACAGTATTCCCACTGCTGTCAGGACAGCTAAAATTTCACTTCCTATTCAGAAATGTGGGTTTTTAATTATTTGTAAGATGACTGTGGATTTCTCCTATTTTGTAAGTAATTAGCATATCGTTTAATTAACACAAATATTGCAGTCAGTCTCTCCTGTGGTTGGCAATTGCATAATTGAAAGGGGATCTTTTTCTGCGTTCTGAATATTCCACTTCTCAGTGCGAGGAGTATTCCTGTTTGCCTGGAGTACGAAGCTTCATTTCAATGTGTTGCAATTGGAATAACTTTTCAACTTCTGTTGGACAATGTCTGTATTTGTTGTCTTGTCTGGAAAAATGAAAATTGAAAGCAGATTTTGCTTTCTGATATTCCATGTAATTTCCTTGCAGTGATACTAATCATGATGTGACAGATTTATGCTTAGTGTGTCCCTCTGTAATGCATTTGGAGAATATGGTTCCAAATCATATAGCATTATATCTTATGTTAGCTTTTGAACAAGTGACTTCCAGTTGAAGTAAGTATCCCTTCTATTAGGCCATCTTAAGTTCAAATCATGAAGCAAGAGAACCCTTTCTCCCAAGCACCAAGTAATAAGACAAGGGGAAATGGCCTCAAGTTATGCCAAGGGAGGTTTAGATTGGATATTACAAGAAATTTCTTTACTGAAAGGGTTTTGTGGTATTGGAATAGGCTGCCCAGGGAAGAGGTTGAGAGGACCTCCACCATCCCTGGAGATTTTCAAGAAATGTGTTGATTTAGAACTGAGTAGCATGGTTTAGTAGTGGACTTGTCAGTACTGAGTTAAAGGCTGGACTAGATGATCTTAGAGGTCTTTTACAATCTGAATGATTTTATGATTATGATTGTGCCATTTGTTCTGCTGTAGCTGTTAGAGACGGAGTGATTAATGAAGTATCAAGCTTCTTTTGAAATGTATGAGGAAGAGAAGAACGTTCTGTAGATTTGATAGCCCTTCCAAGAGGATGTGATGGGCATATGTCTAAACAAGTGAGGGGGGAAAATGAGGTGTAAGGCTTACAGGTCGCTCCTTCATAGGCTGTATGACCAAGCTACCATTCCTGTATGCACGTGTCTGTCAGTCACATAAAATGCTGGACTTGCCTGAGATTCTGTCCTTTTAGCATCTTTTGCTAATCTGTGGGAAAATAAAGCAGATCTAATAAAATAACTATCAAAAAGACAAATTCAAGTAATGAAGGCTGTGGTGTATAATTTTTTTGCCAGTGACACATGGGTGATAGATTAGGTGGACATACTACCATGCTATAAATTAACATTCTGCAATCTTCCCGGCTTTGTGGACACATAGCAGATTTAGCAAGACAAGAACTGTTCTCTTGATTTTTTCATAATTTCTTGTCTCAAATATTTTTCAGCCTGCAGTTTGATTTGAAATGTCTTAGATTATTTTTGGCAGAGACATGAAACTGATGGATGTCATACTGCCACAGATTTCCTACTGTCTCATGATAGTATATACATTAAAAAAAAAAAAGAAAAAAAAAGGTTAAATGCTTCAGATGATTCTAGCCAAAGCCAAAATTCTCTGTAATTTTCAAAATATTATTTTGAACTCAAAGCTCAGAAGGCAGTAGATATGATATTCAGGGAATTAAAGCAACTATTATGTGATTTATGTGATTGAGAGCAGTGGGGTAAGTTGCTATCAATTGTGCTTGTAAAGATTTGTAAAGATTTTTTTTTTTTTTTTAACTTTTTTTAGCAAGATTCTATACAGTGGATTTACAACAGCATTGAAAGTGCACAGGAAGATCTTCAGAAAACAAATGCCAAGCCCTCTGGAGATGATGGAGGAGATGCCTTTGACTGCAAAGTGGAAGGTATGTGATAGCTTGTTTTGATTTTGTTGTTGTTCAGAATGTTAGTGTAAGTAGCAAGGAAAATACAGGCAGTGGCTTTATTTTCAGAGATGAAATTGCAGGCAGACAGTAAGTTGTGCTTTATGTAAAGATTTGCTTTTTTATGTATTGTAAGGAGGTAAATTTAACATGCTGTTCCCTGAAAATTATTGCATTTCTCATTTCAAGAAAAAGCTTCTGTGAACACTTCAGGAAAAATCTTTTTAATTTTCATTCATAGGATATGAAATCCTAGGAATTACCTGAATTATTTTCACCACCAGTAATCATTTAAAGTTAAATTAGATGAGTTAGTGACTACTGCATGAGAAATAACAAATCAGCTATCCTTCAGATTATTTTCAGGCAATTGACATTTAGATAAATCTGGATTCGTGTGTTTGTACAAAGATGATAATTAAAGAGGTGGTTAGCATGTGAACTGTATTTGTGTTCTCTGGGTAAATGGTGACATAGTGGTTTCATTTCTGATAATTTTCTTATGGTTTATTTAGAATTTCTCAGTTTTCATATTTTTGTTGATACTGTATTTTATCTGTCTAGATTTTAAATGAAATTGAATTAGTCCCTTTCAACAATGACTGTTTCTAAACAGAGACTGTTGTGACTTGTCTGTTCATGCTTCTTTAGCGATTTTGCATTTTAGCATTCATAAAGGCACTGGTGTTCTGATTTTAAATCACTCACCTGGTAGTTCGGTTATGGGCTGTACATGTTCAAGTAGAATGATTAGACCATTTGTATTTCTAGAATGTTTGCCTATGCCCCCCCCTTTCTTAATTCATTTTTCAGTGGCCAACCCTCCTCAACTGATCTGTATTACTTTCTTTATTCTAGAGGTGATTGACAAGTTTAATACTATGGCAATAATTGATGGGAAGAAAGATCACGTAAGCCTGACTGTTGACAATGTTCACCTGGAGTATGGAGTGGTTTACGAGTATGACAGCACAGCTGGAATAAAGTGCCATGTGTTAGAAAAAATGATTGAACCAAAGGGATTTTTCAGCTTGACTGCAAAGGTACTAAACAATCATATGTGTTAATTCTTACTTGGCTGAATACCAATGTAGCAACATCTTTCTTCTGCTTATTCTTGGGATTATATGTATTTCATTTAATATCTTGTAATTGGTCACCTTTATCCCTTTGACATTTTGAAGGATGATTGTGTACTCAGGAAGCAAAGTAAATTATGGTGTAGTAATAAATTGAGCTTCTAAACTGAACAAACATTAAAGAAATTTAGTCTTCCATTCTCCCTACCTCTCTCCCTTTTTTCTTAATCATCAAATAAAGTTGCAAAGAAAGTCAAAGATTCAATGAAATGTCAAAACTTTGTGAAGGCAGGCTGTAATTTCCAAATGTTATTTTATCTCATTAAATTGCCTGTGTAACTTTTTTTTTTTTTTTTTTTTTTAGTGAGAGTACTGGAAGTAGCATCATATCGTTTTTTTTTTTTTTTTTGTTTGTTTGTTTTTTTTTTGTGTGTGTGTATGTTTTAAAGTAAAATAAAGCTCTGTATGTATGGGAGGCAAACACTGGCAAAATCACAGATGAAGAAAAAAGCAAGTGCTACTTTAGAGTTTGAGCTTTTTTATTGGTGAATATTTCCAAATGGTAAAATCTGCTGTTGTTATGAAAGTGATCCTAAAAGTTTTTTGCATATAACTGGTGTTCTCTGGGTCAGATTGACAAATAATACATACAATACAAATAATACAGCTCCTTTTATTAAGTATTCTTTATCTTTTCATGCGCATATGGATATTAAAAATATATAAGTATGAAAAGCCATACTTTGGGGAAGTGTATTTATATCTGCAAATTTCATATTCTATTTTCTTTCCATCAGAAGTGTAAGCTAAAATACTGGTATTTTACTGAAATGACTGAAGCTACATATTTCCTTTCCCTAACTTCTCTTTGGAGCAGACCAGTTTGACAAACAAGGGAATAACTTCTTGCACCAACATGACAAGCTTTGCAAGAACTGGTCAAGTTAATGCCAAAAGTCACTGTCTTTAAAGTTGTTTATTCTTGCTCTAATTACAATTTCATATAAAACATTAGAGGTATCAATTACTGACTGCTGAAGAAATCTTTTTCCCTTGTTGTATATAGAGTAGAAGTTAAGAAAAGAAGTACTTTCAGCATATAGATTGCGGCCATAAATAATGCTGTGTCATCACCCTTAGGGTTTAGGTTGGTTAATTAATTAAAGACTACATCTCTGTATTGTTTTTTAATAATGTGACTATGTTAGAAAAGTATAGTAGTGACTATGCTATACAACAAAGGGTCCAGTGGAAAAAAACAAAAACAAAAACAAAAAACAGGACCCTTTGCTCAAAGGCAATAATAAAAACTGCAGTAATGTTTTATAGTTGTTTATAGTTGTCTGCAAATGGTTTTCAATACCCTAAACATAAACTTTTCTGCACTTTCAATAATGAATTTTCTTCTCTCCATATCCTCCTCTCTCATCTTGCTGTGTATTTATTGTTGCTTTCCATTTTTAAACATATTTATTCTGCATCATATGTAGTAGGTGAGGGAAGTAATCTTGGACTGCTTTCCTGTACTATGCAAAGCTTTACTATGTTACCATGAGAAGTAACCAAAGCTGTATTGCAAAAGTTACTAGTTTTGAATACATTTAATTTAATGGACAGATGAAAAAAATCTTGAATCGTTGAATTCATTTTCAGGTTTAATTAATAATAATTAAACCTGAAAATTTTAAGTGTAATCAATGTTACTCTGTTGTTTTAATGCCATACTAAAACGTTGTAGCAAAGAGTTAAAGGTTTTCCTCTTTTCATCCTGCTGGAGACCTGAGAAAAATTTCTCTCAGGAGCTTGTCGTGCATAGTTTGTGACTTCTTAAAAACTTGAGATTTTGCACTCCAAAATTTCTGTAGATTGTCATTTTTTTTCCTAAACTCTTCCAAATCAGTCAGGTTTGTAAGTCATATATTACATCTGCAATGATGGATAGAAGAATAATGAACTGTAGCAGAAGTGAATTGTAGATGTAATTCTCATGATGGATTAATTCTGTGTGTGTTGCTTGTTCATAGTTCTTTGCAAGCTGGTATAATATTAGTACTATGGGATTACTTTTGTCAAATTGCTGTATAGACTGACTGGCTGAAGCAGTCAGTCTGGTATCAGCTAAAAAAGACATCTCTTATATTAGGTCACTGAAGAAATTTAAGCTACTGCAGTAATGAAAATTTTTCCAGTTTTTAAGAAATACTGCTTTGAGATAGTGTAGGCACCTAAAAGAAATTACCTGCTTAAGAAAAGTTCAGTATCTCTAAAGTGCAAGCCTTTTCTATTTAGGAGCATTAATCTGGATTTTGGGTGCCTGTTATAATATTACTTTGAGTGTGCTTTTCAAACATATCTTCAGAGTTGGACACAACCAATGATAGGGATATACCATGTTACATGACACAGTGAATTTCAGTTCCTGAAATAAACATTTTACTCCAAAAAGGGATATACACTACCCTCATCTGTTTAACACACTTTTTTTTTTTTTTTTTAACTTTTTTTTTCTTCAGTTTTCTGGCATCATCATTTGCTAGTGCTATTTCTATAATAACAGGACTTATAACAGAATCATATCATAGAATGGCATGGGTTGGAAGAGACTTTAAAGACCATCTAGTTCCAACCCCCCTGCCATAGGCAGGGATGACATCCACTAGATTGGGTTGCTCCAACCTGGTCTTGTACACCTCCAGGGATCTTCAGTCTTTGCTGGCTGGTATAGCTTATTCTGTTCACTATTTCCTGTTTTATGTATAAAGAATACACAAAAGAATAACACTCGGTTTTCGTGAATGCTTTTTTTTTTTTTTTTGTCTTGCTTTTCATAATAGGTGCCAAGTGAAGGTACTTGTTATGCGTATAACTTATGCCAGGGATAAATTTAAAGAAACCATTATTGCTTCCCAGTTTGCATTAATTTTTGTGAAGCAGCATTGCCTGTAATGTTAAAAGGCAACTGATTATCTGACTGTTCAGCTTTAATTATAGGAGATGGTAAGTAAGGGATTATTTTAGTCACCTCATTTTGTAAAGTAATGATCTTGTTTTTGTTTTAGATTCTGGAAGCACTGGCAAAAAGTGATGAGCATTTTGTGCAGAACTGTAACAGCCTCAATTCCTTAAATGAAGTGATCCCCACTGAGCTTCAAAGTAAATTCAGTGTCATTTGCAGTGAGAAAATTGAGCATATCTACCGAAGAATCTCTAGTTACAAAAAGGTATGACCAACATGTCTTAAGCTTTGTGATATTTCTCTTTTAAGGGAAAAATAGGTTAAAACGGCATAGTTTGAATCATTCTTCAAAATGTTTATTGCGGTGGCAAAATATGGCTGAAAGATTAGCTATAGAGAGGTGTGAATGACCAAATTAAGTAATTGCATAAATTGTTTTTAAACTGCGCTTTCTATCATCCTTTTTTTAAACACTAGTTAAATCATATCCTTTCTCCTTTGCAGTGTTCTGTTGTAGATACAGTCAACTATGTATTTCTTTTAAATGCTTTAGACCAATACTGTGAATTTGCTGATGTTAACCAAAAATGAAGCAATAACATCAAAATTACTTTTTCCTTCTTAATTGTCTTAATTTTAAATACCAAATTGTTATCCTTTTATTCATCTTGTTTGCCCTTCAAATTGTTATGAGGTTTTCTAGCATGCCTATTAAGAGTGCTGTGAATTGTTAGATTAACTTGTGTTAATAAAACTTTATAGCACAAAATAAGCAGAAAGTTTCTGACTTTCATACATCTGAGAACTAGATTAAGGAGATAGAAATGAACAAATAAACTAAAGTATATGATTTTTAGCTACCCCCATTTCCCTATAGTTGTTTAGCTAAGCAGTCCAAAAATTAAACAAGTAATAGAGAGGTTTAGTGTAGAAGCTTCACACTGTCCTAAATGGAAAAGAGCAGACGATATTTTTTTTTTGTTCTCCAAAGGAAAAGGAGGGAAACCTGTAAGGGTAATTCAGTAAGGTGTGAAAGCCAAAAAGCTGGTTTCCAGAGGCTTCTCAGGGTGGTCTCTGCTAAGAAATGGAATAAACTCAGGAGCCGGGTCATAAAAGAAGACATTAATAGGATTCTGCTACTGCATTATTTAACATCCAGGCTTTCAGTTGTTTGCCTGACTTCCGTGTTTTCAAAACTGATTCAAAATGAATATATCATTTTGAAAGCAAATTCCTTAGTTGGAACATTAATAATAGCATATTTAGAGTTTGAGTAGCATGAAGTATTTTATACCTTTTTGTAACAAAACAAAACAAAAAAAAAAAAAAAAAGGAGAGATAATAATGTACAGTCCCTTTACAGGGGGCCAAGAAGACAGTAAGTTAAATTTTATTGTGTTATTTTGGATATGAATTTGACAGCCACAGGAAAGTTTTCATTGTGCTTATGCTGTCTAGAAGCAGACATTGCTGATACAAACTGCACTTTTAAGCTTATTCGTTCAAAAATTAATAGTTTCACAGTAACAGCTTTTAATGACAATCAATAATGCGATGAATTGCAGGGATAGATAAGTTGTTTTCTTGGCAAGGTAAAGGTAACCATGGTTACTGAAGACTTTCAGAACGCCTGAGCCTGGCTTGGCTTCTGGTTTCACTGTGAAAGTTCGATTTCTATAAATAGAAACCCCATAGATTTCTGCAGTTCCTACTATTATTATTATCAGAACATTTTGCTCATAATAAACTTGGAGTCCAGTGCCATGAGTCCCAGATGTTTCTCAACACATGTATGAAAAAAAAAATTGGGCCTGACTTATGATCTGATTAAATCTTAGCCAGGCATTTGGTCTCTCTGGAGCAGGATGTGTGGGAGATTGAGATGTGAAATATGTACTGCTTGCAGAAACATTTTCATCGTTGAATGTCCTCAGTGCCCTTCTTAACTATTTGTACATTCTTCAGCCTTTCAACAATTCCATAATTGGATTTCTTCAAACCTTCCCAATCGTGTTCTAATATGAAGATTTGAATGTAATTTATCAATAAAGTGTTCATCAGACTGAAGTAATAGGACACCAAAATAAACAGATATTTAAATCCCAGCAGAAAAGTAATGTTATTACTCAGGAGACATACCTTTGTTCATCTGAAGTGTTAGCCAAAGCCTGACTAATTGAATTGGTACTGCTGTTTAGTAGAGAAGGACCCTCTACTTTGAAAATTTTTTTATGCATGAGCTATGCTCCATGAGGAAGCATCAAAGACCTATGTGATATTCTGTCTTTTCTTTGCTTCTTGCCTTGTCACTGGGCACCACTGAAAAGTGCCTGGCTCTGTGCCCTCCCTTGGAGTAAATTGATGAGATCCCCCCTGATTCTTCTCTAGGCTGAGCAGTCCCAGCTCTCTCAGCCTTTCCTCACAGCAGATTCTGCAGTCTCTTCATTATCTTTGTGGCCCTTTTCTGTACTTCTCCACTATGTCCAGGCCTTCCTTGTACTGGAAAGCCCAGAACTGGACACAGTACTTCTCAGGGCTCACCAGTGCTCACCAGCAAGGAGAAAAGGCTACATCCCTGAACCTGCTGGCAGTGCTCCTAGTGCAGCCCAGGAAACCATCGGGGTACTTCATCCTTTCTGTATATGAAATTCGTAATTTATAGCTTACAATTATGCTGTAAGACATATTGTAAGACAGTATCTGTTTCTATTATAGTTTCGAGCTAAAATTTTAGAAGTTCTTGCAAGACATTCACTTGAATATGTCTGTGACAGCAGATGTTTATAAATGTTATGTGAAGTACAGCACTGGAACATAGAGCAGTTCTAGACTTCCTCTCCAGTAACACTGTTAATATTTTATTATGTTCCCAGGAAAATAAATTCTATCTCCTTGTTACAAGGCTATTTACATTCATAAAAGGAACCGTTTACTTAAATAAATAAATAAATAAATCAACCCCTCAGAAATATAAAATGAAAAATATTTTATCTTTCCTATGTAGAGAAAGATGGAAATTATGATTTGATCTAGCCAGGATGACTGAAGTATTGTAAACTTTTGTTTTCTAGTCACATACTCAAGTTTTTACAGTTAAGTGCTGACATATCAAAAGCTGCTAATCAAAATTTTATTTTCTTTCTCACGTCTAGTTTTCAAGAGTATTAAAAAACAGAGCTTGGCCTACCTTCAAGCAAGCTAAGTCAAAGATTTCACCACTTCACAGCAGTGATTTCTGTCCGACCAATTGCCATATCAATGTGATGGAAGTGTCTTACCCTAAAACCTCAACTTCTGTTGGGAGTGCCTTTGGTGTACAGTTAGACAGCAGAAAACATTCTTCTCATGAAAAAGAAAATAAAAACACTGATCAAGGTAAGCCAGTTGAGAATAGAGGGAACTAATTCTAGTACTTCTGATACAGAATATTAAAATCTAAGTGGTTTAGGTTGATGTTTCAAATACTAAAATTAAGGACAAGCCTTTATGAAATCCTCCTGTTTTCAAGACAGATTTGTTTTGAAACATAATAAGGGCTAGTCATAATTTCACACCAACTTTTTCCTTAAATAGCTTGACTTTCATAAGCAAAATAAAATGCAAAATTAAGTTATTACATGAAGTTTCAAGCAGGAATATTTCAAATTTTATTACATTTTGCAAACTTCAAAATTTATGTTAAAAAGGTATCAATGTAACTTCTTTATATTATTCCCAGGTAAACTGAATCCCATGGTTTATGTTCAACATACCATTACTACTATGGCTGCCCCTTCAGGACAGTCTCTTGGCCAACAAGAGGGCCATGGTCTGAGGTACCTCTTAAAAGAAGAAGATTTAGAAACACAAGATGTCTATCAGAAATTGCTGTTCAAATTACAGACTGCACTGAAAGAGGTGGAAACATGTGTCTGTCAGATAGATGAGTAAGTGAATGTTACCATCTGGACTTGCCTTTAATTTTTCCATTGAAGATACAGATAAATCTTGGTATCCCTTTTTTTGTAGTATGGGATTAATATTGACTACAGACAAAATTGTGATATAGCAAAATATTTAAGCGTAGCTAATTTTATATTTTTTTCTTTGCTTTTTTTTTTTCCAGTGCACCTATTTTTTTTTCCACATTAGTTTATAGCTTTTCTATAGAATGGACTAATAATTTTGAGGTGAGAGAAATATGAGGCCCACATGTCAACTAAAATTTCACTCAGAGTGGAAACAAAGGCCAGAGGTACAAAAATAACTCCTACGTAACTCATCAGATATTGTTAAATAGTCCTGAAGATGAATTTATAGGCAAAGAATTTTTCATCCTTAGGAAGATAATTTAATAGACATTTTTCAAAACCAAATTAGCCTTAATGAAGGACTCTAGGTCTAGAGAAAGCCACTCTTGAGTGATTAGGACACTTGTCTTGAAAGTGGGACACCCAGAGTCACATCACAGTTTGTTCTAATTCAGGACAAGGATTTTAAACTTAGTCTTCCAGTTTTGCGATAAGTGAGTTGACTGCTTGGGATGAAGGAGGATAATAGGTGTTTCAGTTTTGAAAGATCCCTTATGTAAATGTCAGAAATGATTTCTTTTGAAAATATAAATTACATACATTTTTGAGTTTAAAAGTCATCTTTCATGACCTGTCATAAATTTAGACAAGTGGTACGTCATTGCCTCTCCTGTTATTTTGATGACTTTAAAACAATTTGTCCTTTCATAGTTATTTTTGAGTATTTTGTTTTATTTTATTTTATTTTATTTTATTTTAATTTTATTTTATTTTATTTCTGTAGTAGTAATGTAATAGTTACACAGTAATAAGTAAATGTAATGTATGGCTATACTTTAATAGGAATGAAAGTAAGTATACCCTGATTATTATCATTTCTTTTTAAAGAAAGAGTTACTTTCTGTGCCTTTAAGTAGTTCTGCTAACTATCATGATGAAGTCAGTTAATTAAATTTAATGTGATTTCAGTGTTTGCGTGTGCTAAGAAAATGACTGTCTACAAAGCCTGTATTGTCACTGCTCCTCAGGGAAGTCAGTAGATATATATGGAAGTTCAGTCAATATTTCAGGAAGCTCCAGCTACCAGTCCGTCACGCCTTTCCTTTCCACTCCCTTGAGCTAGTAATGTAAAAGCACATTAATTTATTAGCCTTTCCTTTGTACTCATGTATATCTACAGAAATACATGTGTCTACAGATACACATGCATATTGTGTGTACATGTATAGCATATATCTATACATATTCATTTTGTGAGTCACACAATTGTGAAAGTAAACACAGGGATTCACATTTTCTTCTTTCATAAAGTTCCAATACAGTGAACTTACAGTGAGTGGAGTGTGAATAGGGTACACAAAGTTATTTAGCAAATTTACTTTTTACTATTTATAAGATTAGTGCTCTCATGCTTTATTCCTCACAGACTTTGAGTGGACTGCTAGTGTATAATTGTTGTGGAGGAAAGCAGTTCTATACAGGCAATGGGATAGCCAAGGGACCTGCTTGAAAGTGCTGAACAGGAAAGAGGGAAGCCAGGACTATCTGGGTGTGAGCAGTTAAGCAGTACATAGTGTATTGTATCAGAACACAGTTATAGCTACTAATTAACTTCTAAGAGAACTGTTGGGATTACTAAGAACAAAAGATAGAGTATCAAGGTAGAATAATGGAATAGCTGTGGTTTGATTAGAAATATTCTTACTTCAACAGCTAAGAGCATATGCTTAAACATAATGATCTGTGAACTTCACATAGACTGTAGAACATCTGTTTTCTCTTGCAACATGGACAACAATGAAATTCATGTCTTTATTTCCTGAATTGCCTATTATAAGCAATGCTCATTCCTATAGTTTTCTCAGAAAAGGAAATAAGAACACAGTAGCGCAATTTTAAATTTAAATGATAGAAATTGGGCTACTAAATGACTATTTTGTACCTTTCATAATAGTAGCATTGAGAAACTATTGCTCCTTCATGTTACTAGATGTCTCTGCACTGTGCTGAGGTCAGCAATGGGCTGCTTCTCTACCCCCAAAATCTAGGTGTTTATTAATGTTATCTGTCCAACCTCTCCTATCTGTTACTGAAAGAAAGAGAACTAAAAAAGAAGTGTGTTTCACCTGAAGAGCAGGTCTTTAAGGGCTTGTGGATTATGGAAGAGGATATGTAAGAGACTATTGCGTACTGCTAGCATTATCTTCATAATATCCATCATGGCTCCTTGAATAAGTACTGATGGAGAGAAAAAGAGAAGTACACATAAAAAGACATTTGTTCCCTTCCCTCAGCCTCTCAAAGCTCTACTGACTTCATTCAAGTAGTTTAATATTATCACAATATTTCTTTAGTACTGTTGCCAGATGCCCACCATTAACAGGAGGTGTTATGCAGGAATCAGTGCTTCTTCCAGTTGCTCTCTTATATTGTGACTTTGTTGTGTTGTTGGTTCACATGGACCCAGCATGCTCCCACGATCCCAGGTGTTTTTTTGAAAGATGTCCATTGGGAATATACAAGATGCTTGAACATTTTCCAATGTTTCCTCATTTTCCACTCAGGAGAGGTTGCATATTTTTTTTTTGTTACTGTATGTGGATATCTATTTTTAATGCATAGACAGTCCATAATGGGTTTTAGTTTGTTTCTGACATACTTTTAGAATTGTGTTGATTTGAGTTTCATATAAGATTACTTCCACATATGAGGATTTTTTGGCAAAGTTTTAAATGTCTTGATTTAATGGAAATTTTCTTCATAGTTAAAGGGACTTTCTGGTTATTAGTTACTGCTCATACACATGCTTCTTCTCTAAGATGTGTCTAAGATAATTTTGTTTGGGGTAGCCCATCTCCAAAGAAAGTATAAAGTTCATATTCTATACTTTAAAAAAAGAAACACTTTAGAAAATAAAAGTCTATTTAAGCATGATTACATTTTTTATTTTTTATTTATTTTTTTTTAGAGACCAGGCTTGGGTTTGTGTGTTTTAGACACCCTGTACTGGGTTTCTAAAAGCACTTCATTGACCTCAGGAACTACCAGCACCAGAACTGTTATCCAGAACTGTTATCCAAAGTTCCAGCTTTCGTTCATGGTAGTTCAGGAAAAAAAGTTTCCTTAGAAATGGAGCTTGCCTGGTGGGAGAAAGTGAAAAGCTCCCTTAGGAAAAGCTCCAGCTACTTTCATCAGTCTTTTACTGAGATCTTGGCAGCAGTGACTAAACAGTCACATAAAAGAACAGGATATAATAGTCTGTCTGTGTCTTGACAAATAATTACTCAGGGGAAGATATTTTCATGAGCTGAAATTGCAATTCATTATGCTTGTTGTTTGTTTCTTACTCTTGCTTACTTTCTTGCAACAACAAAATCCACAAGAAGTTACTAGAATGTATCTACCCAATGACCATTTTGTTTTCCTAGAAATGGATGATAAGAGGAACATAAGAAAAAAGAGAAGCATATATTAATCATTCTTATCTCACCTCATCTTCTAATAGACAGTGCTATATGGTCATATTGGAATTGACCTTTTATTTTAAAGGCATGGTTAGAATGATCTGCCACGAATTTATTTAATCCCTTTTTGAACCCTTGTTGTATTTTGGTATTCAGAAAATTCTGTACTAATCAGTTTTACAAGTATCAAGAACTGACCCAAAATAAGTCTCTCTAGTGGATGCGTGGATTTAAAATCCAGTAGGATTTAAATTCCAATTATGTTTTTTTTTTTTTTTTTTTTTGTAGATAATTTATCTACATTTTAGTTACAGTTCAGATCAGTACCTTTTCCTATATGTATTACAGAATGATAGAATATCCTGAGTTGGAAGGGACCCATAAGGATCATCAAGTCCAACTCCTGGCACCGCACAGGTCTATCCAAAAATTTAAACAATGTGACTAAGTGCACACAGTCCAATTGCTTCTTAAATTCAGACAGGCTTGGTGCAGTCTGTTCACTGGAGAGCCTGTTCCAGTGTGTGACCAAATGAATGGCTTGTATTGGAAGGGACCTCAAAGATCATTTAGTTCCAACCCCTTTGCCATGGGCAGGGATGCCACCCACTAGATCAGGGTGCCCAGGGCCTTGTCCAAACTGGCCTTGAATACCTCGAGGGACGGGGCATACACAGCTTCTCTGGGCAACATGTACCCATGCCTCACCACCCTCTGAGTGAAGAATTTCCTCCTAAGAAAGGAGATAATTTATCCTATGTAGGATAAATTGTCTCTGGTTAGCTTTTAGTAAAAGCAAGCTATACGAAAATGATGACAGACTTTGCTAGAAAGCTTTGTTTCCCATCCTTGTTTCCTTCAAGTGAATGTCAAACCCTATGTTAACATCTGTCACGTCATGATTTCAGTGAGACAGAGCCTGATATGCTGTTTGAGCTATGTGTTCATTGCTATACATTACACAAACAGCATTTTGGGTATAGTCTACCCTATTGCATTTCCAAGGTGTATGATTTCTTAATTTCTTGCCCTGACTCTGCAAGTCAGAAAACTGTGTGTTCTCAAAACTGTTGTGGTTGAACACTGTAGAAAATGTCCATGTTTGCTATGCAAAAATTCACTGCTTTGAGTCCAGAAACTGAAGCTTTCAAGAACAGCTTAGAGTCATGTTGTTTTCTGGTAGATTCTTTGTGAAAGTAGTGGAGAAAACAATAGCTTGTTACTAGTGTAAATGTAGCTGAACAAAGTTAAGAGAATTGTCATTTTGTTAGGATTAAGAATGGGTGAGTTCCCCACCTTTCATAATGGATTGTGAGAAATTAGTGTAGAGGAAGAAATTCTGAATGCTACCTTTTAATAAAAATAAAAGCAGCATTTTTATTCACAAAAATATGCATCTTCTGTAGTTTCCCTTCAGAAGTAAAAACGTGTAACAAGATTGTCTATGCATTTGGTCTGAATTTGGCAATGTTGATCATTCTGACAGCTCCTAAGTTAAAACCCTGCTACTGTGTTTAAGTACTTAACAGAAAAAAAAAAAAAAAACATAAATCAATGTCTTCTGATTTCACCAAAAAAAAAATATTACAATTTAGAAAGTAGTTTTAGCAAGAAAAATGTTGCCATACAAATACAAGTTTGAAAATGTTATTCTAACAGTGTTGGAGTGATAGAAATTAAAGCAGAAGTGTCTGTATTAGCTGTTCTGAACTTGAAAATAAAATTAGAGCATCTCATTACCAGTATGAATTAGCCATTCAAGAATATGAACCTTTTGCTTCCAATGTCTGTGAATATTCCAAATGTAGCAGTTTGTAATGTTCGCTGTTCTTGACTGGATGTCATTTTTGTGCTTTTCACATAAGCTTGTAGATTAACCATCAATTTTACTAGTGATTGTGACTTAGACGCTTTGAATGTGAGGAAATACACAGGTATGTTAGTAATGATTCTTAATACGCCATAGTAAAATAGCTTGTGATGTAGGCTGTCATATCTGCTACAGTATTAATTAAGAAAATACATGTTTTTCACAAAGAAATATTTTCTTTGGTTTGTTTTCTTGATTTATGCTGACAAGTACGTAGTTCATTCTTAAAAACAGTTCCTTTAATATAAAATGTGACTCCAAGTATTCAAGAATAGGCTGTATTTTTTCCCCAAGTGGAATATTGCCTTCATACAGAATTGAATATTTAGCAATGCCGATGGGTTTCGTTGATTAAGCTGTGATTGAATAAATTGTTACAATTTTCAATAGCAGAATGTTCCACTTTCTTTCCTCGTTTCAAATAGATATGGACTGAATTAAGATACTCCCTTCACATATCTTAGAATAATATTTGAAGGATGTTGATGAGAAATAGCCTGTTGGTATCTCAGTTCTGAAAAATATTAATATATCTTGATTTTTTTTTTTTTTTGGTGTGTGTGTCTCACAGCCTTCTTTCTTCAATAACATATTCTCCCAAATCAGAACGTAAAACACCTGAGCCTTTAATACCAGCAGACAGTGATAATGAAAAGGGAGAAAGGAATGGGAAGAAAGTCTGTTTCAGTGTGACAGGTGATGAACAAGAAGATTCTGGTCATGATACCATCAGCAACAGGGATTCTTACAGGTAACTTTACTAATAACACTTTTGTTCATCTGTCAACCAAGTCAAGCCTGTGGGTTTGTATACTGTCAAGTGGCTATGAAGAATTTCAAAATATAATGATTCTGACATTTCTAACAGAGGAATAACTGTCATCAAGATGTGTTACAAGGTGTGTAAAATAAACTCTTTTTTGATCACAATTTAGTTATTAGATCTCAGTATCCTTTACCTTAATAGGATATCAGCCAGAGCTGTAGGGCTTTTCTTTAGATTACTCATTTCATAACATACAGAAATGGTTATGATGCTCCCCAACAATAAACCAAATATCTGCCATAGAAAGCTAGATGCCACAGCCATCGCTCTTGCTTATCTTAAGGAAAAAAAATAATAATTTTCAACATATATTCATTATCTTCTTCCACTCAATATTGTAGAATCATCCCACATCTAGAATTCATAATACATCACCTTTACTGTGAATTAAAATGCAAAGAATTTTGAAAAGGAAGGAGTAATTATAGCAAGCATAGGTCTTTATAAACACCACCTTCTGATGCTTAGAGAGAATTGGTTAATTACACTTGATATAAAATCTAAATTAAAATTTTAGCTGCAAGTAAAATAAGGCTTTATTATGTGTTCATTATCATGGTTCATTATTATGCTTGTGAAGTAGAATCTCACTAGGGTCATAGTTTTTCTACAGAACGCTGTGTTGCTGAGATCTCTGTGTTGCTCTTTCATAAGCTAATATTTGATTACTGCAGCGTAGTTGATAGGAACTCTTTGTTAGAGTAGAAATAGAAATATAGGTATTAATTTAAGCATAAATAAATGTAGAGGTAATTTGCACATCTCAAGTCCATCTCATTTTAAGGATGGGGAAACCACAAGCAAGGTACAGTTGCATCTGAAGTATTTTTAGGGGTTTCTGCATGTCCGGAATATGTCAAACTCTAGTCTCCTGCACTTGCTTGAGTGGGCAGTACCACAGTTGGCACTGAGTTTACATGTAGAGAAAAAAAAAAAAGTGAGTTAGGACATGACAGCTAATTTTTTAGAATATTTTCTTTATTCTGATAGTAGTAATTTGTAGTCTGATCTGGCTATTTAGAAATGATAAAATCTAGGATTTCATATGGAGAATAATCACAAAATCTGTGAGTTTAGAATATTTGGTAGAATGAGATTGGATTTGTTTGTTTGTTTAGGAACTACATCAGACAGTATTTAAAATTTAGAGATCCCATTATGCCATAGTAACATTATAAGAACTTGTATGCTAATCTCAACTGTTAGAATGCCCTAATTCTCTGTTGTAGGGCCTCATTCTAAACCTTGCAGTACAACACGGTAAAAATGCAAAATGATTTAGCTAAGTAGTTATGTCTAATCTGTTTCTAATTTTCATGTTTTATTTTCTCATGCTTGGCACAATCCAGTTTTAAATAACCTTCATCTTCCCTTTGGAGATTTTAATACGTGAATAGTTAGAAAACATTCTTAATATCCAGCCAGAAATTCTTAATATTCCTTGGGACTGATCACCCTCTGTTAGGAACATGCTGTTACTGATGTCTTTTCACCTATTTATTGGATCTGATTGTAATAATGCTATATTGCTTCAATTAAACATTTTATCCACTTACTTACCTAGCTGGCTACAAGGCCAAAATGTAAGTCAAAGCTAATAAAAGACAACTTCTATAAAAAAAAAAAAAAAAGAAAGTAGGGAATTTGTGGATGCATGATTAACTGCAGAAATATATATGTGTGTATATATGTATACCTTGGAGTATGGTACACCCAATTCATAAAACCAGAAACAGATCATTACATGTAAATATGCTTTAGGTACATTTATACATTATCTTGTGTTCACTAGGGTTTTAAAGACTCCCTCTGCTGGATAATTACCCTAGCATTTCCTGCAGTGAAACTAAATGGTCTTCATGAATTGAATATATCATTCACTGTTGAATTTGAATTAAAATGAGGGCCTCAGGGCCTCATTCAACCTGGTCTTGAACACCTCCAGGGATGGGGCATCCACAACCCCTCTGGGCATTTTTGAGAGGATGAGATGAATGAATGGAATATCTACAGCAGAGAAGATAGCAGAAAAACAGACAAGTTTTAATCCCCATATCTCCTTAGTAGAGCAATAATGGGTGAAATTTTGTATGCCTAAAAATTTTCACTGAAGTCATAGACATAAATGTCTATACATCTTTCATAGAATGAACAGTTGTAAAACAAAAATGGGATTATAAACTATATTTTGGCTGGCAAGGAAAGGTAGTTTGTAATTTGAGTTTGATGGATTCGAAATTGATTAAATCTGTTCTAAATCTGTTATGGATTGTAGTTTGCAAGTCATAAACCAGAGTACTTCATCATGTTGTATTAGTTATGGACTGGAGTACACTTTTTAAATGTGGAGTTACTAAACAGTTGGAGTCCACGGTTTTAAAAACTGTCCCTCATGAAAGAAAATTTGGTTGTTTGAATTGAAAGTGTATATTTTCAGTCTGCAAGTACTTGTTCACATGCAAGGCGAAGGGAGACAACTGAATCATCTATTCCGGAAACCTTGCCCTCTCAGTTCTACTAGGATTGCAAATTACATGATAGCTGAAGTATAGGGATCTTTATTGTTGATAAATGATTGTAAAGACCATCTCATTATTAAAGTAAAAATGAGAAAAGGGAGAGAATGTTCATAACTTTGATATAAAGTCTGTGTAAAAAGGCATGACTTTGTGTTGTTTTTGTTTTTTTTTCTCGTTTCATTTTCCAAGTGATTGCAACAGCAACAGGAACTCCATTGCTTCCTTTACCAGCATTTGTAGCAGTCAATGCAGTTCTTACTTTCACAGTGATGAAATGGATTCAGGTATGTCTAGAAAAGTCAGCTATGAACCTGTCATCAGTTCCTTTTACTCAGTTATATTCTTTTCATTTGCCTGGCAGTTTTGTTGCTGCTTTTGTTTTAAAAATTGCTTCCTCCTTGGTAATAGAAGTGCATCATTTTGTTTCTGCCTAGCTAGTGCTGCACTTAAGACTCCTTCTGTGAAAGACAGCCAACATTCCAGCATCTCTGTAAATAGACTGAATTAGTTAGAGCTCTTAGAGTGGCTGCTTTTAACCACTTTCATGCACTGACCTTGACAGCGCATTATGTTGCACAGAGTAAGGAGCATTTTAGGTGAGTCCAGAATGCTCTCCCAGCCTGCGTCAGTGCCCAGAATGCAGGATACGGCTGTGTATGTTTGTAGGAAGGAATGTGAGACCACATAGAAGCACATTCTTGTTTATGCCATGACAAATTGAATTTAAATAAATGCAGCTGCTAATAGGACTGAGATGGGATTTAACTGCATGGAGTACAAGGTCATATACTCAGGGACTAATAATAAAAATGTTTGCTCCAAGCTGGGAGTTTATCATTTGGGAATGATTTAGGAACAGAAAGAACAGGGCATATTAGTTGAATTTGAGCCACCACTGAGACTTGGCCATAAAGAAGGCAAATTTTATTGCTGGTCACATCAATTTTCAATTGGGATAGGAAAGTATTAATGACATTATCCAAGGTATCTGAGATACCTTCTGAATAATGTAATTCCAGTCAGCTACTTTCAAGAATTGGAAAGAGTGGAGCAGACACAGAAGAAAAGGATGAAGGACATAAACAACAATTAATAACGTAGGAAACACAGGGTCTTTAACTTAGGATATGAATGAGTTAATATGTCCTAATGCAGCAACAAGATGAGGTACTGGGATGCCTAAAAGAAAATCTCTGCTAGCCAAGTCCAAATGCAGCATTCACATTGATTAATTTTGTCACTCAGTGAAACTCCCACTCTCCCAATGACAGAATTTTCTCCTAGTTCCAAAACTAGCCTGGCTAACTCCAGATCAGGGCTCTTTGGCACTGTGCTCCATCTGTTACAATTAAAATCCTGTGTAGGGTTGTAACTGCTGTCTGTAAGGACATCTAAAGGAGCTAAAAAAAAAAGCAAGGAGACAAAAGTGCTATTTAAGTGTTTCAGTGACATAAGAAAAATGAATCTAGGTTGACCATGAATAAATTCAGGTTATAAATTATCAAGTGGCTACTTGTTATCTGTCACTGCAACAGCAAGGAGGAAAACGAGTTTTAAGCTCAATTTTTCACAGTTTTTGAAGAAGTTCAACTTGCATCACCTGTTGTCTGAGAGTGCAAGTGACTGAGGGCAGTGACCTAGGAGAGTCCTTCTCCTTTGTATTGTCTTGGGAAATAGTTTTCTCTGTACCACTAAAATCTTTGTATCAAATACAAGATTTGGATACTGTACTGTTGTTTTAATTCCAAAATATCAGAACGATTTCAATAGTAAGAGCATTAAGATTGTGAAGTGTCAGTACAATCCCTATAAAAATTTCATGATGAATGCATTTCAGCGACTTTGTGGTCTCATGTATTACTACAGTTTCACACTCCTTAGCTGTTTAGTCTGGTGTTTAGGGTGTTGTCCAGCACAGAAGAATCCTGTGTTTTGGTCATAGAATTGCTGAAGATGGAAGGAACCTCTTGAGATCATCAAATCTAATCCCCTGCTCAAGCAATAATCTAGAGCCATGTTTCCCAGATCCATGTCCAGCTGGGTTTTGAATAAGAGCTCTAAGAGCTACTTCTGTGTTATCTAGTGACTGCTTAATGCAAATTACATAGGGAGAACAGTTGTATGATGTAGGATTCTGAACACTGTAGACTTGTGTTTCTGTGCCTAGAACCGTAGTGGGTATAATCCTAAGTAAAAGTGTGTGTGCAAAGCAGATTATCCAAGATATAAATATTTTGGAAAATGTGCTGAAACTTCTAAACAATTTTTAATTTTAAAATATTTTTCAGGCGATGAGCTTCCCATAAGTGTTCGAATCTCTCATGATAAACAAGACAAACTCCATAGCTGTTTGGAACACCTTTTTGGTCAAGTATGAGATGATTTTTCTTGGCTTTAAGTCCATGTTTGAGCTAAGATGTCTTTAGCAAATAGCAATTCTGTGATACTTTTTTACTCTTTTTTTTTTTTTTTTTTTTACTTTTGCTTTCCACTGTTTATTGGGATGGTATGTATTTACTCCTCCTACTTCCATTTTCTGTAAATAGTTCAAAATTTCACATAAAACAGATTTAGTAACATTATCTAGCCTTGAGCTTTAACTATAGCATCCAAGAAAGCACCCAAAGCTGCTTTTCTCTAGTCCATGTTTCTTAAAGAAAAAATTGCAAATTTTTGCTATAGAAAATATTCTTCTCACAGAACTTCAATCCCAACAGGTCGATTCAATTGTCAATCTTCTGAAAGGACCAGCTGTGGTGAGGGTCTTTGAACAGACAAAATACTTCACACCAGGCCGAGGCCTACAAGGTAAAATTAATTTTGTCATTAGAATCAAAAGGAAGCTTTAAAGGTATACAGGTATGGCTATGTATTCCTTGAGCTGTGTGTTAAAAAACTGATTTTGCTTGTTCTTGCCATATTCTACAATAATAGATTTTTGGATTTTTTGACAAGTAGGTTATATTCTTAGTGAAAAAAAAAGCACAACATATAAAAGAATTTCAGATTTCTTGGAAAGTCAGCTTTAAATTGTAGACTCTAAACTGACTATAGAATTGCTGAGGTTTCTGAAGTAAGAAGCAGAATTTTATTTTATTTTTTCAGATACTTTATTACATTTTTGTCTCAACTTAGGAAGCAATTTCTGATCTATTCTAATATTAATGCCAGTGTTTTAGTATTTTTTGTAGATGTTTTATTCGTGAAGCTGATTTATAAATAATTTGAAAATGTAAATTTATAGTCACAGTCATATTTATATCAAATACGTACTTATTTAAGTGTTAGTGATTATTTAAAGAAATTCTGTATGTAATTTCACATACTCTGCTAACACTGTTGCAGAGTATGTCTAAGGGTATAAATAAACAAATGGTTATAGCCATAAGATTGTGATGAAAAATGCAAGGGACTTCTCTTAGTGAACTGAGTTTAAAAAAAAAAAAAAAAAAAAAAAAAAAAGGCCAACAGGAGACAGACTTGTATTAGTATGCATAATTGTGTAGTAGACTTTATTATGATTTTATTGAGCCTGCATATATATCTTTTGGCAAAGAAAACTAATTGTAGATGGCCAGAGGGTGGATCTTTGACTTTTATAGATCACCAAAATCCCATTGAAGTCAACAGAACATAATTATGGTATACATATTACCTGGTCTTATGAAGCCTCACCCTTCAGTGAATTTGTGTGGAAGTCAGCATAATCTCTTCCTCTTCCTCTTCTTGTCTTTCTTTTGTTTCCAATTTTGGGACCAAGATAATCAGAATGAACCTAGAACATTTGTGCTTGCTTACTTTAGTTTCTCATTTTTTCACGTTAAGTACATGACAAACTTACAAAACAAAATGTTAACCTTTCAGTGATTTAATAAATATTCAATTAGATACAAGATATGGACAAGTTGGATGTTTTACTCTTGGTCTTCACTATCTTCAGGAACAGTATGAGGAACATCGGATGATTCGAGACTAGGTTAGGTTAAGGAATAATTGAATTTTTCTCAAGTAAAATTTAATTAATTTTCTGATTGGATTAATTTTGCCTACATTTGCCTCTAAAAGTTCTAGGCTCTCTCTTACTCCATGGAGAGACAGGCACCTTCTATCTTACATACTTCATTCAGAAAGAATCACGTTTGGGAGCGCTGCTCTCTCTCTCCTTTGATAAAGTAGGGAGCTTAGACAATTGTTAGACTTGTCATCCTAACTTTAACTTTTTTAGAGTTAAAAAAGATGAAACCTATGAGTTGTGAAAACATTTAGAAAGAAACAGTCTTCCTGTGACTTTTTCAGGAGGTTTAAACAGAAAAAAATATATATTTTTTTGTCTTTGCATAGAGTTTCAGCAGGAAATGGAACCGAAGCTTAGCTGTCCAAAGAGGCTACGACTCCACATCAAACAAGACCCTTGGAACCTTCCCAGCAGTGTCCGCAGTCTTGCCCAGAATATCAGAAAATTTGTTGAAGGTTAGTAGGTACAGCATGGCTGTAAACAAACAGTTTATGATAAGAACTTGGGAAGAGAACAGGGAAAGACACAACTGCTTCATGTTGCTGCTAGGCAAGGTTTGCAGAACACCATTATGTCTATGGGAGATACCTGAATTTGAGGACTTGTTTGTGTTTGCAGTAACAAGGTTAGTAGAGTACACCTAAGCTGCTTGATGCTCACTCTGTAGATTTCAGGTATTGAAGAGAAAATAGTTTCTCCTGACAAGTTAAACTGATGAACCATATGTTGCATGTGCTAGGTTATTTCAGGTGCTGCTGAAGTCTAGTGTGCTTGACTTATTTATCACAGAACTTTATGGAACAGATACACCAAAATTTGACTTTCCTTTAAATTAACACTTTTTTTTTTTTTTGTACTATCTTTAATGGAAAGATGAAGACTCTGCAGGACAACTTCTGTCCCATTTCCTGTTCTTATGCGTCATTGATCTGGAATTGTTATCCTTCTGAAATCATTCTCCTTCTACAGCCACAAAGACAAACCTCTTCCACTGATTTTCAGTCACTCATTCCATCACAACTGATGCCATATCTGTCTTCATCCTATACCTTCCTCCCACCATTGTCTAATAGTCACTTAATACTCTGCTTTTCCTCACCACCAAGTGACAGGTTGGGCTGGTGTTTCTGCTTTGTTCCTTGGCTTCATAAGAAAGTCTTCCTCCCTCCCTCTCTCCCTCCCTCCCTCCCTCCCTTCCTCCCTTCCTCCCTCCCTACCTTCCTCCCTTCCATCTTTTTTTCTCTCTTGCTCTTTCTCATTCTTTCTCTCATGCTGTCTTGCTCTCCCACTCTCTTTCTCTTTCTTCCATAAGAAAGCTTTATTTCTTGTACTGTTTGATAGTGAAACAGACATAATGAGCAAAATAATCTTTACAGAACTACTTGTACTAGCAGTCTATGTGGGAACAAAAACCTTTAGTCTGTCAGGTTTAGTTCTAAATGGTTTCTCTGTGTTTAGCTTCTTTCATTTAGCTTTTTTAAAAGGCAGGGCTTGCCTTTCATGAACCCATGCTGGCTGGGCCTGGTCCCCCGGTGGTCCCACATACATTGTGTGATTGCATTCAAGATGACCTGTTCCATCACCTTTCCTGGCACCGAGGTCAGGCTGACAGGCCTCTAATTCCCCGGGTCCCCCTTATGACTCTTCTAGATGCACATCACATTAGCAAGTCTCCAGTCATCCTTTCTGGATGACCATGACTGCTGATAGATGATGGAAAGCAGCCCAGCAACCATATCTGTGAGCTCCCTCAGCACCCTTGGGTGGATCCCATCTGTCCCCATGGACTTTTGACAGTCCAGGTGGAGCAGCAGGTCTCTATTTCCACCTGAACTGTGGGGGTGTTCTGCCCCCTGTCCCTGACTTCCAGGTCAGGAGACTGAGTACCCCAAGGATAAGTGGTCTGGCTAGTAAAAACAGATGCAAAGAAGGCATTAAGATCCTCAGCCTTTTCCTTATCCTTAGTAGTCATGTTTCCCCCTGTGTCCAGTCAGGTTAAGTTCCTAGTGACTGGGAAAGGAAGGGAAAACATAAGCTCATTTTTTAAAAGGGAAAAAAGAAAGACCCGGGGAACTAAAGGTCAATCAGTCTTGCCTCTGTGCCCAGCAAGATCATGGAGTAGATCCTCCTGGAAACTATGCTAAGGAATGGCTTTAAACATGGAATGGCTTTAAACTAAAAGAGGGTGGATTTAGATTAGATATAAGAAAGAAAATCTTTACTCAAAGGGTGGTGAGGCAGTGGCACAGGTTGCCCAGAGAAGCTGTGGAAGCCCCAACCGAGAAAGAGTTCAAGGCCAGGTTGGAAGGGGCTTTGGGCAACCTGATCTAGTGGGAGGTGTCCCTGCCCATGGCAGGGGGCTTGGAACTAGATGGTCTTTAAGATCCCTTCCAGCCCAAATAGTTCTATGATTCAATGATACTTCATTCACCCATAAAGAGTATTAATAACCTATTTCAACATTGGTCTTACACCTTTAATATTGGGCTGAGGTTATTTGAAGGAATTTGTTTAAACCTAACATGCAGTTTCAAGGGAAAGTTTAGCAAGATACAAATGTCTCACCACCTCTCCACAATACAAAACTTCTCTTTTTACAATACTGCTGTAATGTAATAGTGCTTTGTTAGAAAGAATCTTGATGTTTACTGAACATTTTTCTTGTGGTTCAGAAACTAGGATAAATAAAGTTTTTTGTTTTTTGTTTTTTTCCTGTTAATAAATTACAGTAGTTAATGTTACCAGAACTGTTGTGCTTGTGAATGATGGTGGTTCAGAGACCTGAACAGTAAAAGACATTACTCCGGTGCTGTTCAAGGAGAACATGCGATCTGACTTACCTTCACTCATCACTGTGTCTTGGAATTTATCTGCCAATTTTAAATATTCTTGGCTCTCTCTTTCCATTCATGGCATCTAAGCATTTGTCAGAGATTTCTAACAACTGGCTTCTGTGCTACCTTCTTAACCAAATAAGTAGTTTTACATTTAAAGTTATCATCTGAAGCTGTTTATTCACCATTAATGGTCTCCACAGCTTTTTGCTCTATTGTAGGCGTTTTTTCTTTCTTTAAGTTGATTCCTATTCCACCCCCCAAAGTGATATCACTAATAATTGTTCCTGAGAATCTAGAGGAACATGGTACACATCTTCATTATCATTTTGATCTACCTGTGAGACCAAGATGTTCATGTGATAGAAAGATACCTGAAAGCCAAGGTTCTTGTGGTTTCCCTGGCAAAAATAGCGTAAAGGAGAATTAGGACAGTGGAAGTGAATAATTGCTTCTCAAGCCTTAGTTTACAAGGCATGTCTGGACAGGTATATTTAATTCAGTGTTGAAAAGATTCAGAGCAGAAACGCACCCCTCAGGCAGTTTTGGGAGACTGCTGTCATTTAAACAGGCTTAGGCTTGTATAAATTAAACTTGAGACAAAACCAGCAGCTGGATCTAACTAAAATCAGATGAGCACAAAGCATGGTTAAAATGCTGTAACAGCTAAGTTTTCCCTACATATCTACACTTCTTGTTTTCTTTTTACTTTTGCCATTTTGTATTGTCCTCACATATGGTGAGGATACCTAGAAGAACCATGAGTATTGCCCTGAGCTGTTTCTAGCTGAAAGCCTAACACATGGTACAATGATTTACCTTCCTGTTTTCCTCCTTATTTGCCTAATGCAGAGAAAACAAAATATGTGCCCTAATTTGCTTGGTTGGGCGTAAGACTTTCTTAGCAAGTTGATCAAAGTCTTGGCATATACAAAGCTGTTAGAAAAATTCTCTTTCTCTCTCTTTTTTTTTTTTTTTCCACCAAAAGGCAATGTTTTAATAATTAAGCAGATATATTTGTCTTTTACATCAGATTCTATAGGAAGTAGGCAAAGGAAACTGCAGATAGAACTATGTTCACCGTGGAAAAAAAAAAGTGAATAAAATTTCCAGTATTTATATAAGTATTTACCCATTATTGGTGAATGCTAAAATAAAGATGAATGCTCTCAGTGAATGCATCTCCTTATTGAAAACTGACTCATTTTTATTTTCAAAAATATACCACAGGCTATTGTAATTTTTATTTACTCCTCTGTTTTCTTGTAGAATGTGCTGTATTAGATCAGACTGATTAGCAACTTAATGAAGAGGGAGACATGGGAGCCCCGCAAATGAAATGTTTAATTCCTAGATCTTAGATTATTTTTATTTTATTTGTTTAATAACTATGAAGAAATGGGAAAACAGAATGCCTGGAGGATGAGAGGATGATTGTTCTGAACTATCAGTTTTCTTTTTATTAGTATTCGAATTGCGAGAACAACAACAACAAAAAGCTATGAAGGTTTTTATACACAATTAAAAAAAAAAAACAAAAAACTTCCTTGGCAGTAATTTAAAACATATGGGGAGATTACTTTGTCTCATTTCATTTGTCCTACCATATTACTAGAGTAAGAGAAAGAAAGAGAAGTTTACTATCGTTACAGTGAAAGTGAGCCCTAGAAGGCTAATCATGATGATGGACTTGAAGAGTTCTGATGAAATAGCATACAGATTCTGGGAGGATTTATCTTCAGCTAAGTAGCTAAAGAAAAGATGAAAGTTATTTCTTGGAGTGACCGGGCCTACTAGATTGTTAGACCAATAAAGATGAAGACAAGTTCTTGGCAGAGGCAGATGTTCGAGGATAGAGTGTTCGATTTTCTTGCAGGAGAGAGCAGTAGCCAGGGCAAGAATTCAGAACAGCTGATGAATAGAGAATAATGAATAGAGAATAATGAATAGAGAATAAATAGATAAGAAAGAATGATGTAGCTACAGAATTTTGAATGTATATGAAACGTGTGATGAGAAACAGAAAGCACAGGAAGAAAAAATGAATGATGACTAGAGTAGGAACCAGGAAAATTAGCCAGACAGATGGAAAGAAAGAGAACCTTCGTAAGGAAAGTAAAATCACAATATGATGGTATAACAGCAGAAAGGTGTAAGCACAGCAAATCTCTCATGTTCCTTCTCCCTTCTTTCCCTCTCCACCTTCCTTAAAATATATATATAGAGAAAATAATGTTTTAAAGCATGTCAAATTTATAGGCAGCGAACTTGATGAGGAAGTGCATTTGTTTTGCTAACACAATAATATTAAGTTTCAACAGGAAATACTATGCATTTGAGAAATTCCACACTTATTTTAATTTAACTTATGAGTAAGGAGTGAAAGAGCCTTCAGTCATTAAAGACATCAAAAATGTATTTCAACTTAAATAATGAAACATGCAGTACAAATCTCAGTCTTTAGTCTTATTTCAAAAGAATCTTCAGATGTGAGAAACATAATAAATCTAAAATCTGTCCTTAGAGTGAAAAGTGTTACTGGGAAAAAAACAGAATATTGTGTTGGGGAAAAAAAAGTACAAAAGAATACTTAAGAATAAAAAAAAAAGTTGAAAGCATTTTATAAAGCATATGATCTAAGGAGAAATTGCTAGGGAGTTATTTTCTTCCATATGCCATGTAGCAAGAAGGGGTGAAAACTTCGGTAACATTTGGAATTTATTTAAAAACAGATGATTGACATCCAAGGTTCTCTTCTAACCCCAGGTATGTCTCTACTTATACAAAACCTAAAAATACTCTCTTGCCTGAGGGTATATTTTGAAATGGAGAAGACTTCTAGCAATGACAAAGGCAAGTTGCTGTGTCCTGTAATTTTCCCATAAGCAGGAAATCATTATTTATAGATCACAGAATCACAGAATCTCTAGGTTGGAAGAGACCTCAAGATCATCGAGTCCAACCTCTGACCTAACACTAACAGTCCCCACTAAACCATATCCCTAAGTTCTACTAGGCTGATACCTCAAATGCTTTTGAATTCAGAGATCTGACAAATCTCATATAAAACAAGCTGCAAATAATAGCCTCAATGTGTCTAAATTCTTCAGATAGAAAATATATTTCCCTTTATTGTATTCAGTTACTAAGCCAAATGTTTAGTCTCCAAGATCCCAAGTTATTAATCTCTAAGTTTTTCTCAAATGACAGAAGGAGAAGGTGAAGACAAAGACTTTTCACCAGGCAATTTTAAAGAGTAACCAATAGTTTTGGTTCTTGTACTCCATCATCTGAGATGTATGTAATTTTTTGAATTTTGAACCTATTAGATTAGTTTCAGTAGGAGATGACACATTCCCAAACTGTCCTTTGTCCCATATACTCCACAACAACCCTTATATTCCTGTTCTTGGAATATGACTACGCAAAAAATTGGATGTGTGAAAGAAAGGCTGTCACGATGTGAAAGCATGAGAAGTAGTGGTGTGTTCCTACAAGCAGTTACTGTAGAACAACTGATGTGCTGGAGGTTTGACACAATCTGAGGTTATGGCAGTTTTTTTATCTGCCTGCTCCTTACCGTGATGGTTTACACATTTAAATTTGTCCTCTGGTACCAGGCAGAGGGGAAGAATCACTTCATTTATCACTGAAACTTAGAGAAGGCAAAAGAAAAAAAAAAAAAAAAAAAAGAGGAGGGGGATATTTTGCATATAATATCCTATGTTTCTTTTTTCTTTATTTGTTTTTGCCATTATTAAAACAGCATAAAGACATATAAAAACGTGTTTTTTTTTGTTGTTTTTTTTTTTTTTTTTTTTTTTTAAGCGTAAGTTAAAATGTCTGTTAAATCTACATGTTAGACAAACATGTTTGTTAAGACATGTTTGTTAAATCTACAAACATAAATCTATGTTTGTTTTTTTCCTGGATACTTTGGTATGCATGAACAATGAAAATAACTGGATATTTTTAAGTATGGGACAAGTTGGGGGAGAGGGGTGGAGAAAAGAATTGGGGTGGTGTGGGTTAGTGAAAACAGGTCTTGTTTTACAAAGCTTTAAGTTTGGAGTTCTTCATATGTGGACTTGCATTGGCCAGCTGGTACTCTGAGGCAGCCTCTTGATGGGTTCTTCTTATTGTTGGTACTTTTGATAATCATAATTTGTATCAAGTCAAATATAAAATTTAGTGAAGTTGAGATTCATTACTGTTTTGAAGATATAAGTCAGGATGGCATACACAAAAACTTAGAGTGAAACTGATTTTATACAGAAGTGCTAATGCATTATTATGTTGATAAAAACACTTTTAACCATGGTGACCTCAATATATTTTCTTTTTTTTTTTTAAGAGGTGAAGGCACGGATACTCTTGGCACTTCTTGAGTATACAGGTAATTTTGATTATTTTTATAAGTGGGATTGAACTTTTGTTTTGTTTTGTTTTGCTTTTTGTTTTATTTTGGCCAGAACAGAGAAAGGTGTAAAAACTGAACCATAATAATCCAATAATCAGTAACTTTACCCCTGTGTTTACAGTGAGGATTCCTGAAAGACACAATTCCACAGACATTTACATTTAAAGCAAATGTTCTACTTTTTTAATGCAAAATGCCTTCTCTGGTTATTTACTTTGGATGTTGGCAGATGAAGTAGCTGCCAAATCTCTGAGCTTGTGCAAAGTACTTCTGTCTTCCTTCTTTTGTAATCTTCCCCAATTACAATATTTTCTTCCCATCTTATCCCCATCTTTCTTGCCTTGCCTTGCTTTTCTAACCCATATCTTTCCTTTTATCCTTCTTGTGTTACCTAAGGCAGCATAATTTAGTGCTAAATACTTTATTCATTTATTTATTTTTAAATACTTGCTGTTTGGAAGGCGTATTCTGTGTATCACCTTACTGTCACCTCATACAGCCTCAAATGCACAGAATATGTATGTCTGTGAAATAAATGTCACTAAATCAGTATTTAGAAAATAACTACTATAGCTGAAGATTCTGTACATGTTTTGTAGATGCATGAGTGACCAAGTAAGCAGTCGTATTTCACTGTAAAAGCTGATTATTGTAACCATCCGACAGCACCATAAGAATGTGTTATTTCATGACTTTGTTATGACACATAGCAACAATTTTATAAAAGAGAGTGTAATGTTTCTTTGTGGTCAAATTTCATCCAGACTTTAAAAATATTTTAATAATTCCTCAGGACAGTTAAAATAAGAAGTGACCTTACAAAATAACCCAGGCTTGATTCCCCCCCCTCCCCCCCCCCCTTTTGGCTGTTTTCCCTATTTGCATGATTTCTTAAGTTCTGTAATTTATTTTGTTTAAAAATCTTCTGTAATTTATTCTGTATAAATAAAAAAGTAATTTATTTTTTATAAAAATCTTTTTGTGAAAAAAGCCCAAAGTGCTCTTGTATGCAGTATCTGATGTTCAAGTAGTATTAGATGAGATTTGGAAATGAGGTGTCAGCGACATAAGAGAACTGCTTCAGAAGCAGGCAATACAGAGGAAGGTACTGAAATCATCTGCTGTTGGACAAATAGAGATAAAATTGAGCAAGGCAAGACAAAAGAATGCATTTTGGGCCCAAATCCCTGAGCACTGCTATGATATTGGAAAGATTGTGACCATGTAGAAGCCAGTGGGATTTCTGAAGCAGAAGGTGGGTGGAGTTTTTCAAGATGAAAATTCTGTCTGCACTGGATTCTGCATAACTTGAGAGACTGGAGACAGAGTGAAATTTTAATAATCAAAATAACAAGGGATGAATCACAGTATAGAAGCATTAGTAATTAGACCATTTAAGAAAAATATTCTTGAGGTCCTGAGAGGCTGTCAAATAGAGCAGTAAAAGAGTGGTTAGAGTTATGAATAGTTTGAGAAAAGGTTTGAAGATCTCAGAAGGAAAATGAACAGAATAACTTTCACAAATACTTGGTGTCCAAGAAAAACATAGTTTTAAAGTTAATATTAATTCCGTAAGTACAGGATTATTTTTACCAACTTATGCATCTAAAGCCTTGCTAGCCCCATATAAATGTGGTAAAGAAGCTAATCTTCCTAGAGGCAAATGAATCTAAATTGAGGACAAAGGGACAGAGTTTAGGTTTTCAAAAGACCTCAATGTCATCCAGTCATGGATGACATGACTCAGAAATGTTGTCTACCTGTACCATCTGTGATTGACATTTGCCCAACAGCTCATAATGATAAAAAAAAAAAAAAAAAAAAAAAAACAACTTGAAGACCTTCAGAAATGGGGAGAAGCAGGAAGCACTGAATATTTTACACCAGGATTTTGTGCTTTATTGAGAACACGTTTCCTTTTCCAACTGTTTTGACCTTTAGCTAATCAGATGTCTGTGCCCTCCAGAATAAATTGATAGGTTAGCTAGTCCCTATTTTAAATCTGTTGCTAATGGTTCCATAGACTTCTAGCTAGGGACCTGTCTTGGGCTTTCCTGACTCCATAAATCTCTACTGCTTCCTGGATATGTGTTGCTGCTCTGAGCTTACTCTGTGGATTTCATATTCATGTATATGGTATTTGGATAGATTGTGTTCTGCTAGCCACACTTCTACGTCCCTTGTCTGCAGTTTGTAGCAGGCAATCTTCATCTGCCCTACCCAGCTGGTAGCTGTAAAATTGACCAGATGACACGGTCATATTAAGAGCTTCTGCCTGTCCTTGCTTTCTCGTCGAAAGTAAATGTTTTTGTGCCTAGTTTGTTCTTACATTGCAGCAAAGGAATCTGAAACACATCTATCACCTTTTAATACCAAAAGTACATGGAATTGATGGCATATACATTAAAATCTGAAGTATAAATATACATTGTTTATGTAGAAGTACTTTAAATTTCAGATTTTAAACACATTTCTATATAATTTTAGAATTATAGAATAATTTTTGGAGTGGAAAATGGCAGTTTGGGTTGTAGAGTGCTACTTACTTGAATAACATTAAGCTGTAAACTTGTGATTTAGTTGGACTAGGAAACAAGTTATTTTAAATTAAAGAAAAAAATTATATCCCAGTTACTGTACTGTTAATTAATCTCCTGCTCCATCTCTGCTTTGCTTCTTCTCTTTTGGCTTTTACCCATCACAGACAGCGAGATACAACTGAGGCGAGACATGGTCTTCTGTCAAAGTCTAGTGGCCACAGTCTGTGCTTTTTCAGAGCAGCTAATGGTGGCCTTAAATCAGATGTTTGACAACAACAAAGAATATGAAATGGAGACAATGGAAGCCAGCAGAAGGTGGTTGGAACAGATAGCTAGTGCGGGTGTTCTCCTTCATTTCCAGTCACTGCTGTCACCTAACCTGGTAAGAACCTTTATGTAACATAACCCCCAGGCTGTTCATGGGGGAACAGCCCATGTTTGTTCCCCAAACCAGGAGTGTGGTTAAACAGTCTTTGTTGTAAATGGTATTTTCTATGTCCTTTGTGCTTAGCTTGTTACTTAATTAGCTGCTATTAGGGAAGTTTGCAGTTCAGATAATTGCAGATATGAGAAATGTTTGTTTGTGGTATGAGAAATAAGTTATCCACAAAAGATAGTATTTGTTTTAAGTTAGCAGATACTGATTCCCTACCATTATCATAATTGTTCTCTAGGAGTGAATGTAGTGAATTAGATGATAACCAGAGTTTGAGTTAGCAATAAGCAGCAATGCAAGTAAAATAAAATACCTGGTTTGGATACTTGTTTTTTATTATCCCTTCCCTCTAAAACTAGGTTTGTACTAATTGGAGGACTAGATATGCTAGTCTGCTTTTCTTCAGGCATAAGGCAAATCCTTGTAGCCTGTTGGAGTAATTGGAAATTAGCTCCTTTCTTCATAAGGCTTGGAAAAGAGCCATGGCTTACAAAACAAGTTAGAAAAGGATATAGCTTTATAGTCCTCTAATCTCCAGCTATCCAAAGCATCTCTTCAGCTGTTTAAGCAGCTTCTCACACTGGACTTGTTCCTGCTAACCTGAAGAAGAGTAAAGCAGTCTGCAGAGTCTGCTCTGTGGCAGTCTTCTCAAACTCTAGATTTCCTCAATGAAATTAACTCATTTGTTATAATAGGCACATGGTTTTCTTGAGCTAGTGTTCTTACTGTTAAGCTTTAAGGCCATTTAATACCATGTTTGTGAACATTTCATTACTTGACTAAGCTTGGACATGGGATCAAGCATCACAAACCAGAATTGTACATCTTATTGAATAGAAGCCCACACAATGACAGATTATGTTCTTGCTATCAGAAGTTATCTTTCCTTGCCTGTCTCAGCAGCAATTTGCTGATGAGTTGTCCTGATCAACTTTTAAAGCAGAAGAGATCAATAAAAATAAAGATATTTTAAAACCGTAATCATAAAGTCTGTGGTGTTGTTTGAGACCATTGTCATGAGCTAGTGTGAACAGCAACCTTACTAGCAGTTGAGCTACTAGCATGGGCCTGTGTGGGACAGGGTATATCGGGACAATCGGGACAAGGTATGCAGCTCGAAAGCAACTCAAGTTAGGGCTGTTTATCCACATGAGATGCATGTGAAGAAAGCATGGACAGGGGATCTCCTGCTCACGTTGTCTCTAGGATATGTAATTGCACGATTCAGCACCAGACTGCTCTGGTGCTGGAGTCCTCAGAGTTCAAGAGCAAATTCAGTTGGTTCTTGTCTTATGTTTTAACATGCACTTAGTTGTATTATCACAAGATAACTTTTGTCTTCACAAAACAGAATGCTTCTGTGTTTTGTTTTGTTTTGTTGTTTTGTTTTGTTTTCTTTTCTTTCAAGATTGTGGAGACTTCCTTTGTAATGAAAAACCATGCTACTTAGCATGAATTGTAGTCTGATACCAGCACTATCCATTACTGAATTAAAACAAACAAAACAAACAAATTCCGCCAAGTTTAGTCTCTTCTGTATATGTATTTGCACAGAAATTCTGAATGATTTCAGTGATAACTGTTCTTAACTAAGAGAAAAGTATTTAAAGGCAACTTTCTTAATACCTTCTCAGGACCATTTTGCTTAGAAATGATCCATGTTATGTTAAACAAGGGCATTTGAAAGAAATTATTATGGCCAGAGTTCAATAAAGAATGAATAGTTGTGCAAAGATTTCCCATGTCACTGAATGGTTTTCAGACTATTCTGCTGATAAAACATTGCTTTCTCCAGAGAGACTTCATAAATTGAACCAGGAGACAAAATATTTCAAGCACAGGTGCTTTTTCATAAATACAAGTGGGAATACTATTTCACTGTTTAGATCATGGAAAACCATGTTGTTTTTTTTTTTCTTTCTATAACTCTGTAAGGTGTAGTTCTCATTTTTTAGGCAGCTAGTTGATTATTCTTTGCCTTTCTACTGTTTCACTTCTTAAAGGAGAAAAATACATGCCTCAGATTTACATTTAGCTTAATGAAGCTAGGAGAGGGTTGTATAAAGTTACTTTGAGTGATTATTGATTTGTCCTATAATTACTTAAAATTACTATAAATACTACTTAACTCAAGATAACCATTCTTGCAGATTACTATTTCTCTTTTTAAAGCTTGAGTATGCTGTCCTGAGAAGTTAGTAATTTACTTCCTGAAGCTTTTTTGATACATAAGGCTGGATATTCCATTTCTTTAGTTCAGGAGCACAGAGAGTGAACCACTGGTGCAAATTCCAACATTGCAGTATCTACATGTATGTACTTTATTTGCATCTAGGTTTTTGTAGGTGGAGGTACAAATGACTCTGTACTCATTCTGAGCTACTGGTTCAGTTATTGATGCCTAGAGTGGACAAGAAGAACTTTTGTATGTTTTTGTTTGTTTGTTTGTTTTAAATATTGAATTTAGGGCATTTTTAAAGGAAAATTGCTAAAAAGAGGAATTTGTTTTTCAAATTTGCCCCGTGTTAGTTTGCAAGCTAGGCCTGGTCTCAAGGACAAGATGTTGAAGCCTGGCATCTCACATAAAGAATAATTACAATATTGTTTGTTTAAAAGCCATGAGAAGTAGTGGTAACTATAAATTACCCGTTAATTTACTATGTGAAATGATACCATTATTTTAATAATCTTGGACTAGTAATGTAAGGGAAAGTGCCTATAGGCTCAAATATAGTTATGTTATGTAGGAGTTAATTACATTATACAATGTATCAGTGAAATTTTGCGCAACGTTCTGTAGTGTTTTTTTTTTTTTTTTTTTTTTTTTTTTTTTTTTTTTTTATATATATATATTTTCATATCCTGGTCTCATGTTACTTCTGGTAGGGAAAACATCTGGCTGAAAGGACATTCAATTTTTTTTTTTTAATTTTGCTTTTTTTAGGCTGATGAGCAAGCCATGCTAGAAGATACACTGGTTGCACTGTTTGATTTGGAAAAAGTTACTTTTTACTTCAGACAATCAGAGCCAGAACCACTAGTTGCAAGTGAGTAATTATAATTAATATCTGGGTTTTACTGTTCAGAAACATTCTCTGTATTTCTAATATGTTTGTCTTCTAGAACATTACATCCTGTAGGAACTGTTATGTAATTTGGGATTATAGAGAATTAACTCTCCTAATATTCCAAGATTTCCTGAAATGCAGCTAACATCAGCTATGATGTAGAACCATTATCTGGTGGTGTTAGCAACCCAGCAGGGAAACGTGTCTGCTTAACTGAAGTTTCCATTGGGGTTATATGACTGCATAAGTCCTTGGAAGATCAAGTTACTATTGAAGAGTTGCATATAAAAGAAGATTGAAGGCCATAATAAAGAAATGCAACTGAGATAAGGTGGAGAAATATTAAAACAATTTCTTTTTAATGTTACTCATCCCTTCTGAATGAAAAGGTAGATCTTTGAAGAGTTCCTTAAAAAGAGGTAGCAAACACTGTTAGGGCAGCTTTAATTGTAGAAGGTTCCTCTGAGACCTGGTGGTGGAGACAGTCAGGGACATGAACTCCACCTTCTAATACTTGTCCAACTAGTAGGAAGGAACTGTCTTCGCAGTCTGCTGTTTACACTATACCCTTCACTCTCTTCCAGCTACTTCTTTATTATATGTTTTCAGCCAGTAGAGATTTTTCTGCAGTGAATTTTGTGTAGTGAGAAAAAAACAAACACATTTTTTCTCAAGTCTCAGAACTCCCCTGAGAAGGGAGGAAAGCATGTCTGCTTAACATCAAGCTTTTCTAAAACAATTCCCTTGCTGGATCAAGACCACACATAAGAGCACTTATGCAGTAAACAAGACCAGAAGAAACAAAGCTCCTCCACAAAACTACTAGTGAGAGGTTGCCTGTGTTCTGGGGCATTCATAAGCACACCCATACCCATAGGGTGCTGACAAATTTGCACATGGAAGGCTGGTGGTCAGCTAGGAACTGGCCTATGTGAGACTGTTTGTAAGTCAAGTAAGGATCCTGTTCAGACTGTTTGTTTTAAAAGGAAGCTGTGCCAAGCTGGGTAACAACATGGAACTGGAGTTATGGGAGAACTTTCTGATGGGGAATTAACCATATACTTGTGTCATAAACTGTTCAAATTGCTGTGTCTCTTGACTGAAGTGTCTGTGCTAAAATAGAGATAAATGGAAAGCCCGTGTGTTCTAGGATTGTGATAAACTGTGTTTCCTTTTAGCTTAAGTGCTGCTGCCACAGTCATCCTGACTGTGGTTTCAGAAGACAAGGAACTTTCAAAGACTTTTTTTTTTTCATTTATGATTCTGTATAATGATTGCAAGCAAAATGTATTTTATTACCAAAGATAGTGAAAAATGTTCCTATAAAATATTTTCCATTTAGGTGCAAAGTAATTTATGCACACTATAAAAACTACATAAGATTATTAATGCAAATTGCTAAATGTTTTACTGTTTTCAACTGGGAGACTTATTCATGGAAATGATACTTAAACAGGAAATATGGAAAAAGACATAAATTGAATTAAATGGACTTCCTCTGAGAGACTTAGCTAAATGGAAAATTTCCATCAACTTTTGCTAATGATCATTACACGTTAAGCACTTTGCATAATACACAAAATATGTGCTGGGGATTCCATGTAACTGCAAAATGATACTGTTGGTTGCACTGAACTCTACAGAAATTGACATATTATGACATTTAGTTTCACAAAGTGTAATGTAGTGCATTCTTACAGTTTCTTATATTCTATCAAATTACAATTACAAACTTGTGCTCTATCCTACACAAATCTGAAGAGATGCTGACTCTGTGGAAATGATAGCAGTATGTCACACTGACCTTATACATCATGCACCCCAGGAAGGCATATGAAATATGGCTCTAGCCATCCTTCCAGTGGTTTCAAACCATGTGCTGCACATAGATGTTTCTTCAGATTTACAGAGAAATCAATGTAGGATGTTGTCAGCTTACATTATTTTCTTAATATTTTTGCTGTCATTGACAGGCAAAGGTGACAGCCACTGATTTATGTTGTTTTTCTGCCTCCCAAAAATGGGTAGGCATTTGAGCAACACTGAGTAAAATGTAAAATACTGCACATATTCATTTTATGACTGGGGAGATTTTATCTAATCATGTGAATTTTGGGTGCAGCAGTTTCTGGGAAAGGACATGTCATTGATTGTAATGAAATAGTAACACTGACTTTATTCTTAGATGTTCCAATCACATACCAAGCAGAAGGAAGCCGGCAAACTCTGAAGGTTTATTTCTACCTTGATAGTTACCATTTTGAACAGCTTCCTCAAAGACTGAAGAATGGAGGGGGGTTTAAAATCCACCCAGTACTTTTTTCACAAGGTAACTTGATTTTTTTTTTCCAATTCTTTCAAATAATAATTAAATCTCTAAAGCACATCTTACTCACTCTAACTTTAATGCTTTGTAACTCTAAGCACATAATTCTTGTATTTAACTGAGTTGTTTAATATGGGCATTTACTGAGAATTTAGAATTAAACTGAATTTAAGAAATGCTGAGTGTTGTGGTGAAAAATAGACATACAGGTATGTATTTCTAATTTATACTTGTTACGTGATTCCAACACCAAAAAATGAATGCTCTTTCATCAATGTTTTTTTCTTTTGGTTATTAGTGGATGATAGTCAGATCATGAAACTTGCTTTTTGAAGTATTTTGCAATCCTAATACTATAGTAACCTTTTCCTGTTACTTCAAATGTACGGATTAAATTGTTACCCCTGAGAATTATGTCTCTTTAAAATGTAATGAAGACTTAAATAACTTTTTCAGGCTTTTGTAGTTATGAGACTGTAAACATTACTGAAATGATGCATGGTGGCACTGATGCTCAGACTGTTCATAAATCGCAGGCAGCCTGCATTAGCTGCAGTGTCATTACAGTCATCAGGAACATGGAATTTGATTCACTGAAATAGTAAATGCAAGGTGCTGATTGCCTTGAGCTACATTTCATTTCAGAAGGAGCTGACAGTACTCTGTAACTTGCAAAAGGCTTCCAGGGTCCATAAGGAACAGGCAGAAGACATACAAATGAAGATTTCAAGGAGGGTTGATAAGTTAGGAGGATGTAAAAGGAAATCATGAACAGTAAGATACATGAAGAGATAACAGAATTTACTGTAAATCTAACCCACACTTTTTTTTTTTTAAGATCCCTGAAGTCTGACTTTTAAATAAACTAAAAAGGACAGACTTCACTGGATTTATTTTGAAGGGATTGAGTTCAGTCATAGAGGCAAATGAGAAAAATGAGCATCAGAAACATTTCTGGAAAGCAGACAAAAACACATATGGAAGAGAATAAAAAGTACCTTGGTTCAGACAAAATCTTGGAAATACCTGTTCTTTTAGATTCACAGGACCGTGGACAGGGATTCAGTGTGCTTGAGACTTTCTTCTGCAGAATTTTTTTCTTTTGTTTCTAGAGTGCCCAAAATATTTGTGTCCTAGTATTAGAACCTTTGCAGTGAGCTAAAGCAAAAGGGCAAAGATTCATTGAAGTGTCACATCTGTTTAATAATTTTCAGTAATGGGAAAGTCTTCTTTCTTTCTGATACCAATTTTCTTTAATTATCAACTGTCTTCCGTTAAAATAGTCCATTAGAATCCAAGAATTAGAAGTCCTGGATAAGAAATTAAATCCTACTGTTTAAATATCTCTCTATATATTTCCCTTACTAATGAATGTATTGAGATTATAGTTTTTACTTCATTCCTGTAAGGTTTGGATGAGCTGCCATCAAACTAACTCAGTAGATGCCCATGTTTAACTGAAATTTATTAGCTTTGAGAAGAGAAATCTTTTGCAAGTTCCTCTGTGAAGTAAATTCTTGCTTTCCAACCTTAACACAGCTAAGCTATTTTCTGCCTAAAAAATACAATGGTTTATGATGCTTTCAATTGAACATTTAGAAAATAGTGTTCATGGAATAGTTTGTCAATAGAACAAGCTAGTCTCTGTGTTGTTCTATTCTGTGTTGCATAGTTCCATGCCTAAAATTAATCATGCCTATATATTTGCAGGATTGGGATTGCAGGCATTTTTATAGTTTTAAAGTGTTTATGCAGGCTATATTATGTATCTTTCCACTTGTAAGAATAGTTTTGTACAAACATATGTTTAAATACATACATTCAAAGGGTCCTGATTTATAGTATTGGGGTCTGAGAATGTTGACAGTTCTTGGCATTCAGAATTCTCTATTTACTACATTAGAATTGTGATCTCAGCAATAAATAAGCTTAATTAAAATATACTTTATTTAAAATTGAAATTCAATTTATTGAAAATTTCGCTTTAGTCTCTTAATAATATAAGCTTTTTTTTTATGTTTTCATAGAATAATTGAATAATTCATGTTGAAAGGGACCTTGGGAGTTCCTGAGGTCCTGGAGAACCTGCTCACAGAAGGGTCAGCTGTGAGGTCAGAGTGGGTTGCTCAGGGTTTTTTCAAGTAAGATCTCTAAACAAGAACAGAGATTGAGCAGCCACTTGGAGAACGTATTTCTCTATTTGCCCTTGTCATGGAAAAGTGTTTCCTTTCGATCCAGTTACAGCCTCTTTTGTTCCAATTTATGTCCATAGCCTCTTGTTCTGCAACCTTCACCTTTGTAAAGAGCTTGGCACTGTCTTCTTCTTGACCTCCTGTTAACTAAGTCTAGTTAGGTGGCATGTAGGTCACCAAAGCCATCAATTACAGGCCAAACAAGCTGAGGTTCCCTAGCCTCTCCTCATAAGGTTTCAGGCCATGACCATCTTGGTGACACTCTACTGAACTCTCTCCAGTTGATCAACAGCTTTCTTGTATCGTGGGGCCCAAAACTGGATGCAGTATTCGAGATGCTATCTAATGAGTAAGTAAGTAAGGAAGTAAGGATAAGCACTTCTGTCAATCTACTGACTGTGCTTCTGTTAATACAACTCAGGATGCTCTTGGCCTTCTTTTTTTGCCAGGGCACACTGCAGACTCATGTTGAGTTTGCTGACTCCCAGGTTCTTCTGAGGCTCCATGCAGGACTTGACATTTGTCTTGTTCTGTTTCACATTGTTCCTGTTGGGCAACTCCTCCATCCTGTCTAGGTCTCCTTCTAAGTGGCCCTGCAATTGCATATTACACTGCGTCCCCCACTTCGGTTTCAGCTAAAAACTTGACAGAAGTGCACTTTGTCACCTCCTCCAGGTCAGTGATGAAGATAACGAACAATGTACATCATTATGGTGTCCTGCTTTTTAATGGGCCTCTTGATGCAGACTGTGTCCTATTGCCTACTACACTCTGAGCCTTCCCATCCACCTATTTTTTTTCCATTCATCTGTTCATCCAGACCATAAAATCCTAATATTGATTCACGAATACTATGGAAGACATGTTTCACTTTGTAAGGGAAGCTTGCCTTACAAGAGAGCTTTCTAATACGTTGAATAGCTAGAAATACATGAAATCCTTTAAAAAATTGGAGAGTTAAAGTGTACACTATGATATTCCCTGCCAACAACCAGTAGCATGGTCCCCATAGCGCTGGTAGAAGCAGAACTGTGTGCCCCAGTCAGTCCTGAGAAGCGACTGAGTTTTCTCACGTGGGTGATCTAACTGGACAAATTGAAGTTTATTCAGGTAAAACAAGACATACAGATAGTCAGCTCTATGTGTGCACTAACCTGGTATTAGAGAGTTCTGTGGATATTTCTGCATTATTATTATTATTATTTTTTTTGGTGGGATAAAGCATCAAGGAAGTTAAGAAGTCTTTCTGTTGAAATTTAATATTTTTGCACAGAAGCAGAATTACGAGCTTTGAAAACACCGAAGGGGAGTGCAATTTGCAAGTTATTTCACACTGAATGAATTATTTATTAACTGGTCATATTAAGCAGTACAAGCAGAATTAATATTCTGTGTGCAGCTGAAGCTGTAAGACTGCAGCATGTTTTCATCAGAGATCTGCTTATTGCATGCATTTTCTGATAGGGTGATGAATTCTTAGAATGAGTATGGATTATTAAAGTAGCAATGTTCCTAATTGTAAAATCTTTAATGATCCTCTCCCAGAAATGTATATCACTAGGAACCTGTGTTTTGTGTTATAATAAAGTTAATCTCTTAACAAGCTCTTGTTATGTAGAGATCTTGATTTTTGAGTTTCAAATTTGTTTGAGACTTTTCAAACATTTGACGTGGCTTAGCTAAAGAAAGGATTGAACTTTGCTGAGTATCTAATTTAAAGGAAGGGTGGGGTGTTTTTGTTTTTGTTTGTTTTTGTTTGAAAAGTATTGAAGAACATGCGAAAATGGAAGGTTGTGCATTCCTTTTATGCTCCTTTTAATTTCTGTGTGATGATCGTATGAGAAGGACAGTGACCTATACTGGAAATCTTTTTTTGGTTCCTGAATTCTTGTAGCAACATTCATCCTTGCTTTTGTCAAGTGAATACAACAAAGACAAGGAGTCCATCTGTAGAGATATACCTGATCCCTGCAAAGCAGCATATATGGCATTTTCAGAGATCCAGAGAAATTTGCTTTACTTAATCCAGAAGAAGGCATTCAGATTATCAGTGGAAATAGCTAGAGTTTGAAGTGTTCCATATCCCCTCATCAGACTTCATAACAAGTTTTTAGGTCTCCCTCTGTGAAAGTATCTGTACATTAATCCAATCCTTTCTTTCCTCTACTGCTCCCCCCCTTCCCCCCAGTATATATATCAGAACTAAAAAACACATTTACATGCAAGGGGCACGAATACTTTAATTAGAGCAACAGAACTCATGCTATATTTTCCATGGGGCCAGAAATATAAATTTTGTTGTGAATGAAATCTTAAAAAGATCTGTATGAATTCAATGACATACAGAAACAGCTCAGCAATCCACAGGGATCTCAGCTTCAAGGTTTAAAAGTAATACACTAGTCTGTGAACAAAGCTACAAAGAATGTGAATACTAAATATTTAATACCGATTTTTCTCTTCTGTATTCTTCTTTCTCTTTTCATAGCATTGGAAAGCATGGAAGGATATTACTACAGAGACAGTGTTTCAGTAGAAGAATTTCAAGCTCAGATAAATGCAGCATCACTAGAAAAAGTAAAGCAGTATAACCAGAAACTACGGTGGGTAATAAACCAACTTTCCTGAGATTACCTTAGCAAGTTCAGCTTTTTGACCCAGTTTCTATGACACGTATTTAAACTAAAGTGCATTGTATGGTGGTTGTTTTTGTTGTTTGATTGAAAAAAATCCAAGACTCATGGTTCTGACTTTTTTTTTTCTATTTCTGCACTATTAAGATTACATTGAAAAAGAAAATTAAAATTATATTCTCTCCTAAATCATTTTCCTGTGAAAATTATAGCTGCAAATGCCTCAGAGTTGATTTACTAATGCATATAGTAACAGAATTGTCTACATGATCACAATTGGTGTACCAGAATCTCTAAATATTATGATCTGATTCTTTAGATCATATTTATGTGATTTCTACAGAATAGGGCTTATAAAGTAGTGCTGTTTTCCTCAAAAGTGAATGTAGTTTTTTTCTAGTACTAATGGGAATAAGAACATTTCTGGGTACTTGCATCAGCTTCAGGTGTGGATTACGGAGTATGTACTTACCAGTATATGCAACGATTATGCAGGTGTGTATTTTAGTAAATAATTAAGAAGTTGCTCATAAAGACAGAATTTCTGGTGTACTGATCTCTAAGTTACGAAGTAAAATGATGATATACCTAATAATGATGATAAAATACCTAGACCACTCTTGCACCTCATTGTATCTGTGGAAAACACCTGTTTAAATATACTTATATACACAAATAGAACAAAAAAGGGTAACATCACATCTTTTCACTTTTTAAATCCCTGAGTTGGATGGAAATAGTACCATTTGGCTACACATGTTAAAAACGACAGAGAATTGGAGATAAAAAGAGATGAAGGGCAGCAAAGAAAATGAAAGAGTAGGAAGGAGGATATTTAAGTATCCTGTCTAAGTGTATCTAGGTGGAGACAAGCATACAAGTGAAAGTCTCAATATTATTTTTCCAATTCCTTTACCTGTTGATCTACTCCTGTCTTTCGGATATTTTCTTCATGGATCTTGCAAATATATTTCTCTAAGATTTTATCAGAGCAGTGGACTTCCTAAATTCTGCTTTAATCCAAGCAATATTGTAGCAAAAACAATTTTAAAGCCAGTTGTATTCAGTGAGTACTGTATATTTACTTTCTTTGTTTCATCTGTGCCACTGGAATTCTATCCAATGGCAAATGTAGTATTTATTTATGTATTTATTTGTTTGTTCCATTTTCCACTTTTTTTTTTTTTTTGGTTAGTACTTAATGTTTAGGGAAAAAAAAAGTTCCTCCTAAGTATTTTTTTTCACAAATCTTATATGAAAATATGACAAATAGGTTTTTGAAAGCTTTGGTCATGGCAGTGTTTGGCGTAGATGAACTAGCATTGGAATGAGTTTTCCCTCAGATGTGCAAGGCGAAACTTTTTGCCATTTTTTAAGTAAATGAATAGGTCTGATTTGGCCCCCATAAAAATCCTAAAATTCTTCCTGACATTGTTTCAGTGTTCCTTGATCCTATTTACCATCACGTGTTCTGGTTAGGACCTTCATTCATTCTGTGGATCTAATGAGATATAGCACTGGTATTTTGACTCACAGGTATGACCAGTTGCTAACCTCCAAGGACTAGTTTTGCTGAAAGATACTATGAAAAAGTCAGCATTCAACAAAAATTACCAATGGTTGCTCTGTCCAGTCTAAAGAACAGGAAAAATACGGATTTGTTCCAGCCTTCTAATGTCTGATGAGAGCATTCAGTAATTGATCTTTGCATTTGTGTTCTGGTGAGCTCTACCAGTTGCTTAAATGAGGCACAAGCAGCTTCAGGAATTCACTGACATAACGCGAAGAAAAGAGGAAAAACAGAAAAGCAGATGCTTTGTTCTTGTTCTGCCATTTGCTAGCCTGTGTAGGTGTTTGGACAGGAGAATCTAATAAAGTAACTACAGCAGCAAAAGCTATTAACATTTGGATAATTGCTCCAAAGAAAAACATAAAAGTGAAATTGAATACTCCTTGGAAACATACGCATATGTAATAACACTGGATTAAACTCTTCATGTGGAAGAAATCCTCTATGTAGAACCACCTAATCAGTAATAAAACAAGTCATTCAAGACACACACAATCCATAAACCATTCTTTCTCTGTAGAAAAAGAATACACTGCTGCTTCTGAAATGATCACCCAATGACCATTTTACAATCCTCATTGATACAGCAGCAGAAAGCAAATGGGGAGCAACAACAGAGGAAAAAGTAGTCAGTGGGAGAAGAGGAGGGAGTGGGAATGAAGCCACTAGCTGGTCATGACACTGCAGCAGAATCATCCATTGATGAGATTTCTTAATGCAAGTTCAGCTTCTCTTATCACAGGCACATTTGAATAATAGTATTCTCATAATGTGTACCAGAGGAGACCATTTTGGTTGTGTATGGTCCCACTGGCAATGAAACGTTAGCCTGACTTGTGATGGCTTCAAGTGGGACAATAAAATTAATAAATGTGAGGTACCCTTGCTTAGATAATTCTTAAATTGTAAGACAAGACTTGTTAAGAATGAGTACATAAAACATTTTTGAGGAGTGCAATTTTTTATTTTTTTTTTTTTTTGGTGTGTGTGGGATGGAATTTATACTAATGAACACATTAGAATTCATTTACAATTTTTTTATTTGAATGAATTAAGAGATACAGTAGTAGATTTACAGTGGAAGGAGGATAGCCTTTATCCTTCAAGTAAAAAAACCCTGAATCTTAGCTATTCTTGCAAAAATCATTAATTACTAAGGATCTGCGACCAGCTTTTTCACAGTATCAGAAGTGAAATAATAAATCCAGGTGCAAAGTTGTCCTCCTTGACACTCATTTGAGCAGTCATAAGAACTTCTCTTCGTGGTTCTTGCTTTGGGACTTTTGAAAATACTACCTCAACTACAAAATATAAATCGTAAGATTATCATTTTTACGAAAATGCATGAAAGTTGAAAACCAGTTTTGGAATTTGATACATACAGAATGAAGAGAACATTCTTCCATCTTCTGTAACTCACTTAACCCTAGCTATTTGAATCTAATCAATTATACAGGGGAATTTTCATTCTAAGGACAGCTAAGAGCTGAGTTGTTCTACAGTTCCTGAGGCCCCCGCAATATGTAGGAAGTCCTTTTTCTGAATATGATGTTATATTAGAAACAAATTCAGAAATGTCATAAACAAACAGTTTATGACATTTCTGAAACTGCAGGGAAATTTTCAGCATCTGGCCCACGATTATTCTTTATGGTGCTGGATTTCATTTTCATGGTCAGCTAGATTGCATTTATTTTTATATTTCACCTTTTCTGCTTCTCTGACACTCATAAGGAAAAAAAGGCTATACTCAAATTGTATTTGCAAGTTACGCTGATGCTGGTAAGTGCCAACATTGTAAATTTAACCTTATTAAACCGTTTGCTAATGGGGAAACATGCAGTACAACCAAGTGAAAGTAATTAAGTCAGCAAAGATTTTTAAAGATCTTTATTACTGTGTGGTTTGATAGCTCTACAGTTGTCTTCTAATTTAGAAGAGGACTGGAAAGAACCTGTGCATCTGACCTGTACAGAGGCTGACGTTAACTGGCTGTGTTCTGCATTCTCCCACCTTCTCTTGCTGTCCTTCATCTTTCTCCTTTGCTACTACCTGTCATTCAAATTTTTTTTTTTATTTATTTTTTTTTCCATCTTGAGTAAGTCATTTTGCTTTTACAGATATGAGAGACCATTTCTCTTCAGCAGGGAACAATGAACAATGGTATTTGAATTCATAACTACAACAAATGCTGATAGGAATAATGATAATTCATGAATGCAATATAATTACTTGGACTGATTGGTTGGGTTAAATCTTCTGATGCACATCTTGAATCACACGTGTCTGTAAAAGTATGAGGGAAAGCTTAATTTATCATTTTTGAAATATTACTCTTTTAAGAATTATTTAATTAAAATACATTATGTCCTATGAATATGATTTTTATTTTTGGTAAAGGTCTCTTTCCTGCATGGTATGATTCATTATGGTATTTATTACTACATTGCATAGAAATAAATTATATAGTCATTACTGGGACCAAAGGTTGGGTTACAATGCAGACCTGTTAGAAGCTGGGACAAACCTGACATAGAGGTCAGCTGAATGGCCATAACTCAGCCAATCTTTGGACTGAGCAGTGACTTTAAGATATAACCCTTAGTTGAATAAGAGAACTGATTTTACCCTTGGAAGAATCAGGTTTTGGATTACCTTACTAGAGTAAGTAAGATAGTTTTATAATGGACATCGATGAGTATAGGAATGAGAACTGAGAAAACGTTTGTTTGAGGTGTCAGAGGTTTGAGCTTGATGGCTTAGGATGGGCCTTCCAGTAGTAAGGAAGCTTGCTCTTCCAGTCTTTCCTTTTTCATAAATATTTAACATTTTTTATCAGGCAGATCAGATTAATTTTTTCTTTCATTGTAAATGATCTTTCTGAGAAAAATGTGGGTCCCTCCTTCAACTTTCCATTAAAATGTACTTTTCCACAGATACTCTTGGTCACCTTCTTAAGCAGAAAAGTCCAGGAACATCTGTTCTTAAGAGCTTTTTCTGGGCCAGGTCTGTGCACACGAGTGATGTATATAAAAGATGGAAGGGATGCTGTGGGCACAGGTCATTCAGGGGGGTGCAGGGCCGTGGCTATACCAAGTATGTTAGGTGGCTGCAGTATGCTCCACTGCATGATGTTGATACGAAGAGCAAACCATAGTGGAATTTATGTGCCCTGTCAGTACACTCATATGGGTTATGAACTGTCTATGCAGCTAATGTTTTAGCTGATGAGAAATTAGTGCAATCATTGGCTGTTAGACACATTAAAATGTCTATTAATCTTTAGCGCCTATACTTACATTTAGATATCTAACCACTTTTAAGATTTGGTTCCCAATAATGTGGTGGCTTGAATTGGGAAGATTGAGAGAGGAATGATCAAGGGAATAGATGAAGGTGA